CACGATTTGACTCTAAACTGTAGACTTTCGTCTTCTTTGTCGTTTTTCTCGAAACTCGTTTTTCCGCCACCTGGTTCACTTGTGCATGGGATATCTCGAAAACTATTGATTCGAATTTAGTTCTGTTTACTGTGATTTGTTCCTAAATAAAATGTGCAGGGGGTGAAACTATTAGATTATTAGTTTACGACCTCTAGTTTTTACCATAGTTGTACAAACTTTTGGTGAAATTCGAGAGTACAGTGCTAATATTTTTTTCATGACAAAAATTTTTTTCTATGCACCTGAAAAATATGCCAATAGTTTCACCCCCTGGAGTCATGTCTTGGGGTGGTAGACACCAACGTTCATCATGATGCAGAATGTTATTAGATTTGTGGAGCCTGCACAAACCATCAATATGCATATTAACATATTTGACAAACTAATGATCAGAAAGGCTCCAAAATTTCTACAGTTTACCTTCTTAACAAAGCAAGAAAGTGCTTTAAATTTCATAAGCCTAGCTTTAGTACTTTTGAAGTGAGCCTACAAACCCAAGTGCCCCCTTAAATGATGGGACAATCATCCTACATTGTTTTTAATGTTCTGGAGTTGTTCACATATACTCAAGGGGACTGGCCAAAGACCAGTGCAATACAGTACCGTATTTACTCGCATAATGAACGCACTTGCGTAATGAACTCACCCCCAAGTCTGCTCTCAAAATTTCAGCTTTTTTTTTTCACTCTCGTATGCACCCCCAACTTGGATGTCAAAATTTTGACCCCCTCCCTCCACGCACGCGAAATGAACACACTTTTCTATCCTGGTGCAGAGCGAGGTCGCAAATGTATGGGCAGCGTGGGCGAAAACAAAACGCCTTGCAAAAGGCGTAAAAAAAAAAAAAAAGATCCAACTGAAGCAAGAAAAAACATAAAAAGGAGCTTTTTTTTTTTTTTTTTTTTTTTTTTTTTTTCTTTTTGCACAGGGCAGTTTGGATTTTGGGGTGGGCGTAAGGAGATAAGAAAGATAAGCGGAGAAGCTACACCTAAGCAAAACAGCTTGCGATACGCGGCAAAAAAACACTGAATTAAGAGAGAAAAACAACAAAGGAGCTTTTTTTTCTTTTTCTTACGCACAGGGCAATTTGGTTACGGGGTCGGCCTTGCACAAGGAGTAAAGAAAGATAAGCGGAGAAGCCCTCGCCTAAGCAATGCCTAAGCAAACGAAACAGCTTGCGAATGGCGGCAAAAAAAACCAAAAAAAACCCAGGAACTAAGAGAAAAAAAAAAAAAAAGAAGAGGAGCTTTTTTTTTCTTTTTTGCACAGCCCAGTTTGGTTACTGGGTCGCGGGCCGCACGCAAAACGAGAAGTTGGGTCGATTTTTCAGGATAAAAGGTCCGTTCATTATGCAAGTAAACACGGATGCAAAAATTTTACTTAGCGTAATGAACTTTGCATAGATTTTTCGGGAAAAAAAGTGTGTTCATTCTGTGAGTAAATACGTTAATTCCTCGTTATAACGAAATCGCTTTTTTCGAATTATCACTTTTATCGAAGTTCAATGTGGTCGCAACCGAAATGCATGCATTTGAACCGGGTTATTCGAAGTGTGTCGGCGGCCGACCATTCTTATTAGGAAGGCCGAGGTGCCGAAAGCATGCAAGCATACACAGAGGCGCACGGAGACCTTTTTGTACCCTTCCCTTTCTCTACCAAGGCAAACGGCAAACTGGGAAAACGTCAAACAAGTAAAAGGAACAAAGGGGTGACGAAGGGTAGAGCGCCACTTTCGATGCCGATGCGCCGACGCGGGCAGGTAGCAGCGTGTCTGTTCCGACGCTACTCGCGGCACCCGTGGCCTACGCTGCCCGACTCCTGTCAGAATCAGGTCAAGAGAGCAGTGGAGCCTGGAGGAGACACCATCCCTTCGGGATCCCCTGACACACGCGCGCTTGCAAGGGCGCGTTTGCGGCGTATTACACGCTACAAGCATGCGTGTGTCGTATGGAAGTGGGAGTGCTTACCGAAAGTAGTTTAGATCTGCAAGGTTGAGGAAAGCAGCCGGCCCAAGTCTGAAATCGCCAAAGAATACTACATTCCGGCATCAACTGTTCGACTCTGTCCACCGTTTTACGAAACAAGCAAAGTACACTGGACAGGTTCGAGAAGTTTCCCATGCAAGAGTAAGCGTGCACGTGACCCGAAGATGAAAGGTCGCCAACTGCTTTAGGCATGTCGTATTTTCTCTCGCTAGCATGCCTGCCGAGCTGGCGCATGATTCCCAAAGCTGCAACGGTCTCTACAAGTGTGTGTGAATACATGTTGGCGAAGCCACCGAAGATAACTCGTTAGTTCTTGCTTGTCAATACGGGCACTCCTGTTGTTGCTCCTGTCACGGATGCTGCAATCGTGTACCTTGTGTGCAGACAGGGTAAACATGAAGCGACGTCAGAAAGGCATTTCGGGAAATGCTGACTACTGCGGAGACACGAAACATCCTACGGCTGCTTCGGAACAAAATGGAGTGCAGTGGCAGTGACAGTGTCCTTGCAATGCCTGGAGCAAATGGAGGAGAACCGATGCCCAGATAAAATTATTGGCAAACTCTGCTTAAAAGGGGGTAGGGGGGGGGGTACTACCTGGGAATGTCCATTTTTTAACCATCGGTGTGATATTTGCAGGTTGTTTTTGTAGCCGTATAGAAGGGGGGCATGCCAAGTTTTAGCCCTGTGAACCAATTTTATGAAGTACTATACCCCCGGAACGAAGTAAAGCATAGCTTTGCATGGAATCTGCTCAATGAATCTACCGTTCAGAAATGTTGTTCATATCCACATATTTTTCTGGCGGAATGCATACTGAAATACCTCTTGCAAAATACTATCAAAAGAAATGAAAAAAAAAAAATTAAATTTTAAGGTAAAAAAATTATGAAAAATATATATACCGTAATATCCCGAGTCATCGCCCACCCCCCTACCGCCTGAAATTCGTTAAAAAAGTGGGGTGGGCCATGTCTCGGTGGGTGAGCACAAACACTTGAAAAAAAGCGGAAAAAACCGCCTATTTTTCTCTGCGTATCTAGCGCTGATGCACAAGAGATACATCAAACTCAAAACTCGATTTAGTTTCATTATTATATAGAAAAAAATGCTCACGAAAGAATATTTTACTATAGCGAAGTCCGTTGCTTGCATACGCGCTAGAAACACCGCCGATCTGCATATAGCGCGAACGTTTGTTTCGTGAAAGAATGTCTCCGCTATGTTCTCCTAGTTAGAAAAAAAAAAAAAAAAGAAAGAAAAGTCTACAAGAAAATAGAAAAACCGAACAGGCGCAACGAGCTAGCGAGCGAGCGGACCAGAGAAGCGACCAAGAGCAATCCTGGGAAAGCGGGAAAGCCGGCGGTCGTGTTGGCAAATACTTTGGCGTCGGGCCAAGTCGGGCACCTTGTCAATCGCGAGCTCTTGCGCAACTTTCTTGTTTGGTGCGTACATACGTGCGTCCGTGCACGGCGGGCTATCAATGCACGGTTGGGACGCTCTGCAAACATCTGTGTAGGGCGTTCCAGCAAAGCTTTATTTACGCGTTGGCTTTGCCTAAAATATTGCACAACCACGGTCGCGACGGGTCGCGGTGTCCTAGCTTACTTCGGCGTAGACAGACTTTGACTTAACACTCCGGGGTTACATTAACAAACTCTTATTTTGTTATCTCCATCGTTTTATTTTCGCACGGATACATGACCACTTTGGGGTCGCTCACGGAGGAAATGCGTAAACAAAAAGAAGTGTCTTTCCCTCCTTCGTTTTACTTTGTCACGGACGTCCTCCAACTGTGCGGCCGCGTCATTCGGGTAGGATGAGTGTTCGCGGATCGCAAAGTCCGCGCTGGGGTATTTGAAGGGGTGGGCGATGACTCGGTGTTTTTTTCGGAAATCCATATTGGCCCAAAAAATGGGGTGGGCGATGGCTCGGGGATGGGCGATGACTCGGGATATTACGGTATGTTTACATTTATGAAGTTTGGCAAATTACAATTTTTTTATAATAAAGAAAAAAATTCAAGTTCCTAGTAACCGGCTCCATAAAATTTCGGCTAATAAGCCGCAAATACTAAGTGTCTGGTGGACAGTTCATACTGGAACAAAAGTTTTATCAAGGCGGGTTTTATGCCAAAAAGGGGATTGGGAAAAACACATTCAAAGTGCTCAATATTCTACCTTTTCTTTAGCATTGGTGGACTGAATTTATAAAAAAATAACTGCACTGTAAACAAATGAAACTTTCTGGAAATACTCTCTTGATGTTGCCAGATGTAAGTAGGGTATTTTTCAAAATTAACTTTTTTTGCAGAATTTTTTTTTTTTCTGTGTAGCGTCCTCTCTTAATTATTTTTTTTTTACTCGGTGAAGCTGCCGCTTCCTGTTCATAACCAAGCTTTGTTTGATTAAATATATGATCAGAACGTTCCTCAGTCTTCTCATCCACCTCGAAAACTGCTGGTACTGTTTTTTTTTTTTTTTTTTTGCTCTATCGCTTTTATCGAATTACCACTTATATCGAATTTTTTGGCCGTCCCGTTGACTTCGTTATGATAAGGGATTACTGTATTCAGAAAAAATGTAGAAAGTCACAAATATTAGCTGCATGATTGTTTGAATGCTGCAACGTAATCGTGGAGGGTCGAGCCTAAAGTATCCTGTGGACCAAAAGAGAAAAGGCTCCAAACAATGGGGTGTTTCGTCTAGCAAACGGTATACCTGACACAGATTTCCACGGGCCCAGAAATAAAATAGAATATTCAAAGTGTGCTCCTTTTGACGTTCGTTTAAGTGGCTCGTAAAACAAGACCAATACGAGGGCTTCGGCAAACCCACATGTAAAAGAGGCCTTGGACTCTCCGTCCAAGGTTTCTTTTACATGTGGACTTGCCGGAGCCCTCGTATTGGTAACGAAGACGACGAAGACCAGAATGAGACGAGGGCCGGGCTCGTGCTCCGCCGCTCTTTGCAGGAAGGAAAAGAAGCAGGAGCTGCGGGAGATGAAGAAGAAGCAGAAGAAGGGCGACGCGGCCGTGCCCACGAAGCAGCCGTCCCTGGAAAAGGAGGACGATGCCACGTCGGTGGTGAGCACGGGCTGCGACTCGGTCAGCAGCGCCTTCCAGGACGAGGTGTCCGCGGTCCCCTCTGCCGCACCCTCGGATGTGGCAAAGGGGGCCAAGCCACAGGCCAGGGCCCCCCCTGCGCCGGTCTCCACTGGACCGGACGAGTCCAGTAACGAAGCGGCTACCAGTTGCGCTTTGGTCCAGCCTTTGCCTGGTGAGCAGTCGATGTGATCCGTATTCGTTAGAAATGTAAGAATAATCTTTGAATGCGGAGCACAAGTTCGTCTGCTTCTTGCGCTGGGATTGCGGCAACGTCAGAACGCTGAGCTCTGATTGACTCTGACTGGAAAGATTGTGGGTAGGACTCAATGCAGCTAGCCGTGAAGCTGGCATTGAAAATAATCCTTCCAATCGGAGCACGGCGTTTTGATGTCGCCACGATCCCTGTGCAAGAAGCAGATGAACTTGCGCTTCACATAATTTAGGTATAGTGCTATTTGATGGAAATGTGAAAGGTAAGCATGGCTTAGTCGCCGACAGGATGCGAGTGGCAGGAGAGCTTTCGTAGGCCCCGTCCCTCGCATGACGATTGGCTTGCAGCTCTGTTCTTACTCTGCACATGTGCCGCTTAGTCTGGTAAATAGGTCCTGCGGAATTTATGACGAGGTGACGGCTCTTAAAGCCAAATTTTGAAGAATCTGAAGAAGGTGATATCCACATAGTCGTCGGGTATGATTGCTAAGGCGCCGCTACCACTTAAGGTCCGTTCACACTCTTGCAACCGAGTACGACCAAGAGAGACCAGACCGGTTTTTAAGCCTCTTGCGACCTCTTAGGACCAGATCCGCTGCTTCGCATCCGACCCTAAGAAGTCGCAAAACGCTTAAAAACCGGCCTAATCTCTCTCGGTCGAAGTCGGTCGCAAGAGTGTGAATGGGCCTTTAGTGGCAAGTGCAACGTTAAACAAAATTTAACAAAACTGTCGATGCACTTCTACCAGGCATCTTTTGTCTTCAAGGGGGTGGAGAGAGAGAGAGAGGCCTGGCCATGTTGCTATGCACTGCACTTCTTGCTCTTGTGGAACGGAAGCAAGCACTGCTGCGGTGGCCGTGTCGATCGCATAGCGTTGTAGTAGAAGTCATCGCGGCTAAATTGTGCCGCAGGATTTTTATGGCTTTGGGGCACCAGGCCTTCGAGGTGAACCAAAAGACCTTTGAATTGAATTTGCAAAGTTCAGACATGTGTCTTTTGATTTAATGTGCAACTTCTTTCGATAATGTTGTACACTCAATCGCTGGAATTGTACCCACGTTCCAAATCAGTTAAAGATTTGAATTACAGTGAGTTCACCATACTATCGTAAGAAAACCCGCATATAACACAAAATGCAATCTAAAACCCATGAAAAAAAAAAAAGGGAAGGAGAAGTTTGACCTGTGTTTAATGCAATCCATGAACACACAGGCCCAGCTTTTGCCTGCAGCAGCTCGGTGCTTATCGCAAGGTGTTCCTTCACGAACTGAGCCGGGTCCAGATTGGTCTCCGCAAACTTTCCTTTCTTTGGCCCTCTGAAACATTTTCTTGATTTTCTTGTACCCTCGCTCGCGAAAAGGGCTCATTTTTGTCTCTCTCATCCACCGATGCAGCCCTTGTTCGCCACATATTTTTGTCCCTCTGCACTGTTGCCAATGCTGTCAGCGTTTCAGATGCAACTGAGTACTGCTTCTGCGACGACACCTACTCACTGACGATAATGCCGATGACTGGAAATTGAAACTCTGTGAACCCTTGTTCGCACGCATCCCGTAAAAGCTTCAAATCATTCAGATCCGCATATAACACGAGCATATATTTTATGGGCGAAAATCGGGGGGGAGGGAAAGATAGTGTATTTTATGCGGGGGTTCTAATGCGAAAGCATTAACTATCCCCCAGAGCGTAGCTGGCGGCATCTGTAGCCGCAAAAAAACACGAGAGAAATGCCCATTTTCCCATTGGCTGAGCAAAACGGCTGCACGATAGCCGTTGGTGGCCGCTTCACAAGAGCGCGCGCTCGGACGCCGGCCACAACCTCGGCAGTAGCGAAATGTGTCCGTCCACACCAGTACACCGCAGACGAACTAAGGGAGCAAAAAAAAGACATTCATGCTTTCACATTCACGACTCGTAAGAAGTGCTCAGGCGACCTCGGAATTTTTATTTAATGTAATGACCCGCCAACTTTTCTAACACTGAAGCTCTCTTGGCCCTAAGCTTGTAATAGTGAGGAATCAAATATATGGGTAGAAATTGAGGGAGAGGAGGAGTTGTGAGCGTGCAGATATGTCCGGAAACACTCGGCCCTGGTTGGAATGATTAGCGGATAGACGCAAAGTGGCCTTTGTGTCTACCTCCTGTTCGAATGGGAACTCTAGACGCCGGAATTCAACGTTTGGACACATTTAAAGATTGAGTAGAGACACAGACAGCTAGCTTTGCTTCTACCCACTAATCATTCCATCCGGGACTCTGTGTTCAGACGTCCCCGTGCACTCTCCTTTCTTCTTGATTAATTTCTACCCATACAGTGTGTATTGGCACATACAACTTCAATGCTACTTTTGTGTTACAGATGCTCCATACCTACTCAAGCGGGAGGAGGAGGAGGAGGTAAGTTTTTCTCACAGTGGAACTTTTAAGGGCTAGTTTCCCCAGTATTGTGTCCGTGGGCAAACAAATCTTGGGAGTACATCATACTCCCGATGTTGTTGTATTCTAGGATGACGTTGTTGACAGTCGGCCCAAGAAGTGGAAGAGAAGGAGACCCAAGAATGTCTTGACCCTGGAATTGGACTCCAATGACCATCTTTAGTAAGTGACCTGTTTTGCTTTCTTTTGTTTGCGGGTGATTAGTGTTCTATACAGTATAGACCACTTACAACGTAACCGCTTATAGTGCAGGACCGGGTATAACGTGGCTTTTTTAAACCACCGGTTCGCCTCCCATAGAACTCCATGTATTTACATACCGCCTAAAATGCAGGCGTGCAAAGGGAAATACCGGTTATAGTGCGATTTTCGAACAGCGCGCCGACTGACCGACGCTGCGAGCACGCTTCCCTGTGCGACACTAGATAACGGCTCAAGCTGCAAGCGGCACTCGCGGAGCAAGGAGATTGCTCGAAGAAGCGAAGAGAGGCTTCAGTTGCCATAGCGACGGAGGGACGCACACACGTGTCGTTCACGTGCGTGCGTGTCTCCGCTGTGTTGGAAACAAACAACCGCAACGACAGACCAATCGCAGGTCAAGGAGAAGTGTTCGCGCGCGTTGCGTGCCGGTCGCGGGCCGGCTGCTTCTATCCGCAAACATGGCACCGGTGTTGATTGTCGACATAGACGGCGTGGTAGAAGCTCATCGTTCCGCGTAAAAGCGCTATCCTTGACTGTGAATTTTCGTTGTGTGTTGCTATGATAACTCAGCACGTACTAGAAGGGAAGATCCACCTACTCGTTCGGCGATGTTGTGGCGGCACTCTCAAGACGGCAGAAACGCCCATGTCGTCGTGTTTGTTTACTTCGACTACAGCGGTGCTTTCTAAGCATTTGTGTTTTCGAACATCGCCCGGATTTCTTATTTGGAGCATTTCATGCCTGTGCTCAAGTTGAAGGTATTACTGGCGCATACCGTATAAAGGATGCGAATTTTCATGCGTTTTCATCGCCGTAGAAAAGTGATTAGGGTTAGCAATCCTGAACGCTCGCAACGTCCGTCCACAACCCGCGACGCCGTCTTCACAGAGAGAAGTGTACTAGCCTGGTGAAATAAAGACTTTCCTCAAACTAAGCTTTATTTTTCATCTAACATAAAATAAATTCTTTTACAAAGGTAAGTTGTCTGATGGCATGTATTTTGGCCTGAAAAATTGATGTTTCGGTTATAGTGTGGTACCACTTATAGTGCGGATTTTTGCGACTCCCGCGACATACGTTATATGCGGTCTACACTGTACAGTGGCCGACCAATTTTTCGGACTTTGCAGGGACCGAAAAAACATCAAAACAATGGAGCAGTCCGAAAAATCAGCAGATTCAAACACTTGCCTTTATTACGTCTATGTGAGCCCAAAAAAGCTCTACATAGTGGCTTGCTTCAGGTCACTCCTCCGCTTTCATTCATACTCTTTTTATTAGTTTGATAATTGCTGCCTTCTTTTCTAGTGTTATGGTCGACTACTTTCCGAGCTTCTTAGTGACACTTTGCGGCGGCGGAAGAACAGATGGGGCCATCACGTCCAAACCAGCATAGTCTGAAAGCACGATTCAACGAGAAGAGATGATAGGTGCAAGTCCACGACTGCAGACTAGCAAATGAACGAAGTGAAATGGTAATGATGATGACAATGATGTGCAGCTAGGGGAAAAAACAAAGCCGTAGCATAGCGTCACCTATTGGTAGGACTTGGTACTCAAGTAACGTTACCAAACCAAGCCAATCCATATGCAGCCAACATAGAATCTCAAAGGGTTGCTTCACAGTGGTGTTTCCCGCTGATCGCTCACGACGATTTTGTACGTACGATCAAAATTTTAGACTTCAAGCTGTCCGAAACATTGGCCGTGAAATGCAGTACAGTTGAATCAGAATATATTGAATTCAAAGGGGACTGTTAAATAGTTGGATATATCGGTAATTTGATATACAAAAATATGTTAATTGTAGCTCCAGTTGAAATTTCTGAGCGTCTCTGTTAATACCGAAGGCCGCGACTAATGGGACCTTACCAAATAGAGCCTCTAAAAGCCCCTAAATACAGTAGAGCTTAGTTGGTGAAGATCACAAACACCGCGGTGTTTGCGGTCGTTCACACCTGGTCACGACCTCCTCACAGTGCCTACAAAAAACAAAAAAAAAGCGAGTTGCAGGAAAAACAAACAAAAAATCTTTATTTATAGATTAAGGTTAAGCAGTAACAAAAAAGAAACCTCACTAAATTCAGGCTGCAAAAGAAGGCAAAAAAAGAAGAAAAAAAACAGCGAAAGAAAGAAGTGTGATTGCTCAACCGTTGTCAACGTAATCAACTTAAGGGAAAGATGGGGCAGTTCTGCATTTGAGAAAAAACTTTTGAATCACGTTCATTTGACCTTTAGAATAACAGATACCACAATTATGTTTCAATGCAACTCGCTGGAGAACCACTAGAACAATTTCGAAATAGGGCTGAAGCCCCAGCTCCCTAGCCTTGGGCAGGCAAAAGATCCGTCGATGACGTCACGTACAGCGACTGTCTTTTGCGTTTTCTCGCGTTTAACAATACTTGCACAGCAAATTGTTTGGGTATTCGGGTTCACGGGGTAAAAATACACTAGAACTTATTTTTAACTCGTTTTTTTTTTTTTAAGAACCTCAGTAACTTCCCTTATAAGACCTTTTTTTTTGCTTATTTTATTTTAGGGATAAGGGGAAAGAGCACACGCTACCGTTCCAACAGCGGGCACTCCCTGTCTACTTTGCTGCTACTTATTTTGTTTCTTGAGGCAGACTGCATCAAGAAACATTTGTTTTCCTCCGCTGTCTTCAATTATGCTCCGGCTTGGAGTCCAGCTACGTTATGCGTTACAATGCAATAATATACCACCGTCTTGACTTTCCGTTCACGCCACACTCTTTATCAGTAGGGCCAAAGGCTTCCGTAACATCGCTCGGTCCTAGCGGTTCCTAGAACGACGAATTGAATTGTTTTGTGCGCCAAGTACTCATATTAAAATTAGGGGTGTGCGAATACCGAATAGTAGTTTTCGAATCGAATACCGAATCGAATCAAGAAAAAAAAGCCGAATATCGAATCGAATATCGAATAATGATTTTATTTGTAGGAATTCTTCAAAGTGTGCTGCGAATGAGATTATTATATGTGCAGAGTATGCACCTGTTTCAGAATATGCATCTTGTGCAGAACAAAAGCTAAAATGTAAAAAAATTCTGGTGAAAAAAAAAATAATAAAAGCAGTTGCTGTTGGATGTTGGGCACTAAAGATCCAATTTTATGGCACAAATATAATCTATCTTCCCTAAACGTCACAAAAAAAAAACGAAGTTACAGCCACGCATGCCTTTTTTAAGCTCAACCTAACACCGCGAGTTTTTTTTTTTTTTTTTGTATCTCAGAAAAAGGGCATTTTGCGATATTTGGTTTTCATTTTAAGGAAGAAAAAGGGCACCCGGGATGTTATTTCACGTAAATAAACAGATAGGTGTTAAATCTTAGTAAACAGGCTTAAACAATATAATCTGAAGTAAGAAAGAAAAAAGCGTGGTTATGTGGCGCAAGACACCGTCCAACTGCCGCTATGCATCCATTTTTCCGTCTATCTATCCTGTTTTAGAGAGCCTTGATTTAAAAGAGGGAGCAAGCAAAACTGAAACCACGGAGACGGCTCCAGTGCAGATAGGTCGTAAGTGCGCATGTGCTGTGTTGTCGCGAGGAAAAAGGCGAGCAAACAGAAGGGCAACGACGCCTACTCTCCCTGCCCTGCCTGCCTGCCCGATCCTGATCGACGCTTTCGTTTTTTCGTCACCTTCTCGCAGTTCGTAATTCAAACGCGGCTATCGAACGGTTGGAAACCCTCTCAAATCTAGGCACACTATTTTCCCGTTCCGTTTCGTTCCGAATCAGAATTTGTGGCTTCAGGTCAGGTTCCAAAAGAACGACGACGATAACTCGGCTGGTTTCATCGGCGTGTTTAACGTGGTTTTCTTTCTGTGATCGTGCAGTCGCCAATTTCTGTGAGTGCGGCCAGTGTGTTTTACATCGGTGCTTCAATTTGAAACGAGGGGCTTTACTCGTGAAAAGAATTAGGCATGGCGCGGGATTTCGGCCTCCCAACAATTCCTCTCTGGAAGCGGCGCAAACGGGATGTTTCGGTTGTGATTCAAGGGTAGGTTGTATCACGATCGTGAGTAAATCTGCGTACTATAAAGTTTGTGGCGTTCGTTAGTTTTCTTTTTTTCTAATTTGTGCGTTAGGTGTTTGTGGAATGGGTAGGACCAAGAGCTTTTTTTCGCATGGTCTGTCTAACATCACGGCGCTTACATCGGGAGAAAAAACGGCTTTTTTGTCAGCTCCTCGCCGACCGCGCGTCTTTGGCCAAATATATTGAATATTCGAGTGACCGAATACTAGGAATTTGATTCGCGAATCGAATTATTTGGGAACTTTCTATTCGATTCGAATTTGTATATTCGAGTATTCGCACACCCCTAAAGAAAATGTTTTGTGGTTCCTTTAACAAAGCTTTCGAAAATTTAGAACACTAGGTAATGTTTGACAAATATTCTCCAACACACACAGAACGTTGCGTAAGTTAACCTTCTAAGACAGAAATTTGTTCACTGTATTTATTATTTTTTTGTCAGGATTATTACTAAAGTTTATTGCTGTTCAGTACTAAATTAGCATAAAGGTGCTAAACGTGGAAATTGCATAAGAACAAACATTTGAAGAATAAGGTTGGAAGAGGCACGGGTATGTGTGGCGCATATTAACCTCGAATGTAAGCATCTGGCATTTTGGCAGTTTCTTTAAAAGATTAAAAGTGTGAACTGAAACACGCACGAAACAAACACGTACGACAAGGACAGGCACCACTTACTACTCAATTTCTTGAAAGAACATTCACTTCGCCAGAATGTCATTTACCATAGTGATAACAGCCCATAAACCGATAACATATTGAGTGCTATATGAAGCCCTCTAAATAACACAATTCCTTATCCAGCAGAAAAACAGACAGCATGCTCACACATTTTTCATTTCTTTTCATTTCGTTACTTTTCTTTTTAGTAACCTGTGCGTTAGATTTTTGTGAAATGGTAGGACCAAGAGCTGTTTTTCGCATGGTTTGTCTAACAACACGGCGCTTACATCGGGGGGAAAAACGGCTTTTTTTGTCAGCTCCGCGGCGACCGCGCGTCTCTGGCCGAATATATCGAATATTCGAGTGACCGAATACTAGGAATTCGATTCGCGAATCGAATTATTCGGGAACTTTCTATTCGATTCGAATTCGTATATTCGAGTATTCGCACACCCCTAATTAAAATACTAATCTGAAAAGGTAGCACGATGAGCATCTAACCAGCCAAGTATAACACCCTAACAAGTATCAGACACGCCGTAAAGTTTGGTACAGTTGAATCTCATTAGTTCGTACTCAAGGGGGACCAAAAACTTGTTTGAATAAACCAAAGTTTAAATTACCGGGAGTTTCCGCCCATAGAGGCACATAGGATGGGACCTGCATGTTAGTTTGAATTATCCAAAAGTTTGAATTAAGAGAGTTTGAATTAACGAGATTTGACTGTATTTATTGGCAATATCAGCCACATCAGCGATGAAAACAAGTTCACGGTTATTTCTAGAGTGCTTCATGGCGCCTGGGCATTAATATAACCAAGTACAGATACTGTGGCATGCGTTGCTTGTGTACCACTAGTCGTTAAGACAGAAAAGCCCCAGCGGTAATTGATGCAACCATGACCTGGTTACACATTTATTTTTTTTCTTTTAAAACATAATGCAACATCTTTTTGCAGATTTTTAGTTATCGGTCATCAAGGGCCTATGGGGTAAAATCTAAAGGAAATCGAGAATGATTATTTTTTTTATTGTCGCACAAACTTCACAAAATTTTGACTTTTTCTATTTTGACAAAATTTCTGGGTGCAGTGCAGAAAATACTTTCAGCAGGAGAACGCTAATTAATTTGTTAAAAGTTTACAAAGCACGAAACACTTGACACAAAAAGTTTCAACTTTAGAATATAAATTTAAAACAACTTAAAAATTTGCCAAAAAATGCCTCCCTATGTAAGATTTGCCTCAGAAGCCAAGTTTGTCATTTTATTTCGCCTGAAATATATGCTCATATAAGTTCGCTTTAACCAATTCTGGCAGCAAAATATACGTGCATTAAGCATAAAAATTGTGACGGTGTAGAAAGCTGCATTATTTATTCCTCCGGCCTTCAAAGTCGCATCATCGCGCAGTTCGGAAAATCGTTGTTTCAACCTTCTCTCGAATGTGATTTGTTTCACGAATACAAGGAACTATCTTGCAAAAGTAAGGCCTGTCCCGTTGTGTGGACAGGTTTCGCTACCGTCCTTATCTGAACACACCCAGCTATCACTCTGACTTTACTGTGGAGTAATGCAGGGCTGCTAATTTTTTTATTTTATATTAACATAATCCTACTCCCACGTTTTCTCAATGCACTCAGGGTGCAAAAATTTTGGCAAGTGAAGAGATGGGGATGATATCTGCACTGAAGTCAGCAACGCTCAGAATCTCTTGTAGATTAATTACATTGTTGGATCAAAATGTTATCTTTCTTTGCATTATAATTTGCACCTCTTCCGTAACTCACAATGAGTTACTCTCTCCTTTCTGCACGAGAATGGGGATTGCACAAACTTATATTTTTGGAAAGGTTTCTCCTGTTTTGAAATGAATACAGTATATGAATTTCGCCAAAAAGTCTGCTTTGCTGCCCCCTTCCCCTCCGCCCATAAATTCAGGCAGTTTAAAAAATTTAGTTAATCAAAATATGCTCTACTTTGTCACTAGCTCAGAGTACCAAGAAAGGATCCAAAAGCTGGCCCAGTACAAGAACATCATAGAGGACCATGGAGACTGGAAGACTTTCTGCGAAAAGAAAAAGCAAATGTAAGGCTTTGTCTCTTGTTCGGAAGGGAAACTCATCTCGACTATCGCCTTGGGTTTCAATATATTTTGAAATTCATCGCATAGAAGGCTGGGAAGCAGATTGTGAAAACCAACCTGTTTTGCTTGTTGCTGAAGTTGACCTCTGCCAACAGGATTCCTGAGCTGGATCCGGAGGCTCCCTTCTTCATCCCGGAGGCACTGAGGAACAATGAGGCTGCCTTGGAAGCCGTCCTCCAGCATCGCATTGGTTTCGGGGATCTGGGGAATGAAAGTGTCCGAGAAAACGTCTACCAGTAAGCGAGCAGCACCGGCGGCATGGCTTTTAACTGGGAAAGCGTGCTAACAATGGCAGCTCGGAAAACCTTTGGGGAGCACATAAACGGTAGCTGTGTTGTGCATCTATTTTTCGTGATATTGCAGTCATTGGTGCTTCGATTGGACATTTGTAGGTTAATTCTTAAAAAAAGAATAACGAAGGCATTTAAACAGCTGGAGAGGTAGCTTTTAGTTGCGGCTATGCTAGACCTCGTAATATAAATGTTTGTTGCCAGTGCCAAATATGTTGATAATTTCATTATTTTTTGCATACTTAAAATCTGAACCACGTTTTTCTTTGCTGTACGCACCTGTCGGAATGATGCATTTTTTAAGTACTGCAGTTATTTTATTATGATAAAAGATTGTGAGCAGACAAGGGTTGGAAGAATTTCTGCCCAGTTCTTTCAATTTGCTTTTATAGCTCGTACCTCCGAGTCTTTTTTGTAATTTGGTATTGCGCAACCATGAATAAGTTTTCTTCGTCTCAAGAGTACCAAGCGTGTTTTGAACACTTCAATATCGCCCAAGAAAATTCAGAATGCCTACCGAGTGCTTCTGCCAGGTTCTTCGTGGCAAATTAGTTGTTGGCACTCCCTTGGAGACCTACTTTTAAGTATTTGTGCCAGATCAATGCTATTTTGAAAGTATATTAAACATGAAAACTTGGGAGGCTACACCAACTTTCAACCCAAAAAGTCTATTTTTTTTACAAGATAAGCCTTATTTGTTAAAAAGAAAAAAAAGAACATGTCAAAGTGCCAAGGGAAAAAAACATTCGTTTGAAGATATGAGCAAAATGCCACAATTGTTTTGCTGGGATATAATGCTCTGTGACTAAGCTAATTGGTCGTAGGCTTTAAATAATTTCTAAGGCCATAAGGCCACAAAGCGACCACTAGTGCAGCATTGTACTTTCCAGGCTCTCTGGTGACGTATGCTGGGGACACGATCCGAGCACAAGGTATAGTTAAAGGGGCACTGAAGTCATTTCTGAAAAGGGTCGTTTTTGATCTTATATTGTTTTAAATGTGTTAGTTCCCGCATATACCAAGTCCTATATTACAAAACTGCCTATTCATCTCGGGGCAATAGAAAAACATGGGGACTTTTTTTCTCCTGGACTACATTGTGTAGACCAATGAAAGCCCTGTATTAGGTGCAGATTCCGAATGATATTATTATAACTCGTTTCGAAGAGGGTCTGATGGGTACACATTCGGATAAGACCCCTCTTTTTGTCCGTGGGTGAAGCCATCGCTTGCAACTCGCCGACAAGCACCCTTCGTCGACCACTTCACTGGGAAGAAATTTCTTCCCAAAAAGGGTGTGTCGCCATCTTTGAACATGCTTTTAACGAGGAAATAAGCTATGTATGATTGTGATTTCGGGTTTGTTGGGATGATTAGAGCATCTAGATTGACTTGTCACCACGAAAGGAAGATCTCAAAATCGACTTCAGTGCCCCTTTAATGGCTCGCAGCCCCGATTGTGGACATCAATTTGTGCGTGTGCGATGTGGCGTGTGGCTGATGCAGCTCCTTTCCCCCTCTTCTGTTCTCAGGTACCTGCAGGAGCTGATCCAGAGCCACGGCCCCATGTCCGTGCACGACCAACTGTTGCAGGACGAGGTGGCACTCTTCCCTCCCGTGGCCCGGAGCCTCATCGAGGAAGCCGGGGGGCTGCAGCGCTTCCTGATGCACTCAATGCGCTTCTTCTTCATCGACGATACCACGGTGCAGACCTATGGGACCTGGGCAGCTTCTGAAGACATGAGTCTGGAGGATGGCTGCTCTGACTATCTGGTACGTGCCTGTACTCTGGGCCACCAAATGTTCTCAGAATGGGGCTTGGTGGTGTCTGTAGATGGTTCATCTGCTAATGCAAGAGATGAATGTGGTTCGTCTGCTTTGAAGCGCCTTTCGAAAACAAAAACAAAGCTAGAAAACACAGTACCTAAGTCATTTCCTAATGGACTCGAAAAAAAGTTGATCGTCTGCTTCAAGTCGAAGGAAGTGGAAAAGTAAGATAGGACACAGGCTGAAATCGTGATCATCCCCTATTTCTTGTTGGAAGCCAATGATAACCGGTGCTTCATTTGCATTTCTCGATTAATTCTGCCGTACACAAGCCGACATAGGCCTGTAGATAAGGGGGTATTAAGGACAGGCACATCGGAGGCCGCAAGACCTCTAGCTATTTGTAGGTTGCAGTGATGTGATTGCTGCGCGAAACTGCGCCAAGGGGCTAACCGTAATAGAGCTTGCTTGTGTTATGTGGCGCTACCGGCTGCCCGACACAAAGTACCCTGCATCAATTGTCTTTCTGGTCTTGCGTGGTTTTCTCGCTGTCTCGCGTTTCGCACCGGGTACCAGCCATGACGTCGTGCTGTGAAACAAAACCACGTTTTTGCGCAGCGGGAGTTACCGTAAAAACCTGCGTATAATACAAAACATGATGTGAGGACCGCGAAAAAGTTTTGTTCGCATATAATACGAAACAATAACAATATAAGGACAACGAAAATATTCTGCTTAAAGTACAACCCAGGAAGTCTTAAGAAAAACGTTTATTTGCGTCATAACTTAACCTTAAAATCACTGTCATCACGTCCATCAGACTCTTGACCCACTTCTCCTCCCGTTTACGTTGCTCTTTTACAAAGTTACGGCGAGGTGCTGTTCACATTGCTCTTTTACGAAGTCGCCAAGACTTGCCTCGACATCGGTGAAGACGCCAATCTGTGGGCTCCTAAAGCTTCTCATTCCGTTGCACGCGAACAGAACTTGCTCTTGTTGTCTCCATCCGCGGATGCTGCCTCCCTTTACGGCGAATTGTCGTGCGGCAGCACTGTTGCCGATGTCTTCCGCAACCAAAAGCACTTTTCTTTTGAAGGCGGCCGATTATTGTTTTCGTGCCGACGCCGTTGCTGAGCCTTACTGTGGACGGATGGTGGCGCCTTGGACATTGTGATTTTAATGATGATGATAGCTGTTTTGAGCGCCATATTGCTTAAAAACCGAAAATATGTCAAACAGCGTTAATCGTGCCTCATCGAAGCTGAAAATTGTTGGACCCTTGTATAATACGAGCCGCAAATTTTTCATGACAAAATTTGAGGAAAAAAACCTTGTATTATATGCAGGTTTTTACGGTACTTTGTGAGTTGAAGCACTCTCTTCTGAAAGCAACGGCCGTGGGAAAACTATATTTGGTCCCTTCCTTCCAGTCACCATGGTCGCGCGATGTCGGGTGTTACCGGCCCCACGTCGCTGCAGATACTGTGCTTTATAAAATGAATAAGTACCGCCGCATGTTCATCAACACACCTGTTCTTGTTGAAATCATACGTTATGACGAGTCCCTCTTTAACTCAAAGACTGCTGTGTCGAACTATTTATTACCTAGGTTTCTCTCGGTGGGCTTTCTTTCGAGAGGGACCCCGGTCCGTGAAAAATCCGCCGCGAAAGAAAGTTGGTGAAGAGAAGTGAGCTAAAGCAAAAAAGGCAATGTCTGCACGCTGAACCCGCACAGCTTGCTTGTTTGCCTCGAGTTCAGTCATTGCACAAAGCGCTCGAAGAAAGTTTTGACCCTGGCTCCCGGTGTCTTGCATCAATGCGCTCAGGTTCTTCTTTTTTTTGTGTGTGTGTGTGTTTTGCTTGTACCTTGTTTGCCGGCCTGGAAAGCTCTCGCCGCTGGACTGTTTTTGTCGTATAATTACATTTTGCTTACAATTTTGGAAACCAGTTGGCAACGAAGTGGAGTGGCATGGTTTCGGTTTCGATCGAACAGCTGTTGTCTACACTCGTGCGATGAAACACGCGCAACTGCAAGCCTGCCGAAGTTGCCCTCACATGCATGCGAACGTGATTGCATGACAGAGGCACCTACCGGGACGCTTGCAATCCATTGTTTAACGTTTGCTTACTTTTGACAAAAATCTAGCACGGCGGGAACCAGTAAAACGGTGGCAAGCGGTTTTTTGGAATTGCTCTGCCATACCAATAGCACTGTACACTTGTGGGATGTCTCAGCAGTAAAAAGACAAGCGGCTGAGACTGCTGAGACACAACACAACGCAAATTGCCCTTTGTTTGTACAGCACTTAAAACTAATATTTTTATTTTTCTAAGGATATCTGCTCCAGAAGCCACTTTTGCTGCTCCGAAAGACTGTATTGACTGCTCCGAAAGCCACTTTGCTGCTCCAAAATGCTGTTCTGGTTGCTCCAACGGCCACATATGCTGCTCCAAAACACTGTTTTGGCTGCTCTGAAAGGTGCTGCTAAATGGCTCAGGCCAATCACATCACTGAGGTTGGCGAGATGTCTCCCCAAAATATTGTCAGATTGAGAACTCTCAAATGGCTAAAAAAATTTCTCATTGGTTAATTATGCTCTAGTGTGGCGCCACATCTAATCGGCTTTCGAGAATGCTCTATCTGTCACCTTGACCAAAATCGGACCCCTAAGGTCATTTTTGGCGGGCTACCGATCGGCAAATTAGAAAGCTACAAAATTCAATGTCGGCAGGCCATCTTCAGCCTTGCTGTTGGCACTTCTCACTACTTTCCCTAGTCGCACATACAGTCAAACCCACTTATAACGATCCCACATATAACGACCTATTGGTTATAACGACCAGCTTTCAGAATATATAGGAATTCAAGACCCTACCCATTAAATTGGTCCAGATAAAACAACCATTTTTCAAAGCATCATACTGTTACAACAAACACTCAAAGTTCGCTTTCGGAATAAAAAAAAAAAAAAAATGCGCTAAAAAAAAAGCAAAAAAAAAAAAAAAAGCTACATCTCGGGCACGGCGCTCCGGGAAATGCTCAAGGTCACTTCCATGGTCGCGCGGCATATTCCCCTAGAAGGAAACAAAACTAAGAAAGCAAAAACGCTGATTGTGCGTGTGCGGGAAGAAGAGGAGGAGAAGGAAATTGTGGACACTCGCGCCGTGCTGCGTTCGTTCGTTTTATGTTTGCATACTCAAAATTCAATGCTCGGTATAAGGTGGCCAGCATCATCGCCATCGTGAACGTTCGTTTACATTCGCCATTTGTATCTGTATCGCGCACATTCTCTCATTTTACGGACTCGTGTCAGTCATTCTAAAATGGGGTATACAGAACGTTCAGCTTTTCCACTCTCGTGAAGAAGGAAGACCAGCGGAGCTGTACCCGGTACACTGCCACAACGCGCACGCGCCCAATTACCACTTTTTTTGTCCGACACGCCGCCAATTGTGGGTACGTCTCCGGCGTCCCAGAGTCTGTCGCACACTGCGCACGTGATACCAAACGGGCAATCCACGAAGTCCCTCTGGAACATCGCCGTCGCATCTGGGAACTGTTCAGCCGGCGTGGAGTGCAGTCGTTGCCAGGCCTCGCGCTTACGCTTGACCTCCGCGGCACGATCGTCAATTGTGGCGTTGGCCCACCTGCTGGTTACATCGCTGGTTCGGTTCTCGGTGGTGGCTTTCCAGGCAAGCGATGTGCTCTTCTTTGGCAAAGGAATCTGAAGCGCTCGACGCAGTGGAAGTCAAGGCGACAGCGGCTTTGCGGCGGTTATGGACCCATTCGCGCTGTTGCGTACGTTGCCGCTCCTTCCGCAGCCAGTCTTCTTTCCCCGAAAGGGCACACGGCAGACCCATCCCAAGTCCGAACCGAAACTGATAAGAGCGTAGGATGGTGCGCGAAACAGACGAGGACAAAGAAACGCACGTGACGAGCGCTGCGCTCGTTACATGTGCTTCTTTTTTGTCGTCGTCTGTTTTTCGCGCTGTTAGCTACGATGAATTCCTCACCAACGTGCCGCCCAACTATCCATTCTTCTATGATAGCTGTAGAGTTCCTGTATAGGCTCCCTACAGGAGCCAGAGTTGCACGTCTGTTTTCCTCGTGTTGCCGTGCCGCTATTCGCCGAGATCCGATCACGTGAGGAGCCGGATCAAGTGCCAGTGCAGGAAAGTAGACATTGCACGTGACCCGGCGTATGTTCCCCTGCTTTTGAGCGTGCCACGCGCCTCGAACGCGCGGCGCCGCTATATGCCGAGTTTAGTCACGTGAGAAGCAGACTTCGACTGCCGTGCAGGAAAGCCGGCGCTACGGGGATGAAAGCGCAACTCAGGCTCCCGTAGGGAGCCTATACAGGAACTCTAGAAAGCTGTAGAGTTCCTGTATAGGCTCCCTACGGGAGCCAGAGTTGCGCATCTGTTTTCCCCGCGCCGCCACGCCGCTATTCGCCGAGATCCATCACGTGAGGAGCAAAGCATCCAGTGGCGTGCAAGAAAGCCACCTCTACGGTCGCTCCGCCGACGTCTCTCTTGCCCCGGCGTATGTTTCCCTGCTTTCCGCCTCCTTTTCCTCCTCTCCTGTTTTCCATGCGCGGCGGCGCACGCGGCGCCGCTATTTGCCAAATTTAGTCACGTGAGGAGCAAAGCACCCATCTCGTGCGGGAAAGCCGGCTCTACGGCCACGCGCCGAGGCTGAATGCGCAACTCTGCTACCGTAGGTAGCATATACAGGAACTCTAGAAAGCTGGAAAGGTTGGCGCCATCTACCAGCGACGATGGCAACCATACTGGTTGTGTGCTTGCCGCCGTCATAGACGGCGGTAGCTGTCCAAAGGCGTTTTTGTCGACAAGTGTTTTGTACCGAACACAATCCTCGGGAACCTAACCCTTGACAGCTCCGCTGTAAAAAAAAAAAAAAAAAATTTATTAGCAGGTTTTATTTAAACGAAAGGACATCATGCTCGCGGAAAAAGATAACTGAGCAGCACTGCATGGCCTCACAATCCCAGCCACCCGATGAGCTTGCAAAGTGTTTGAAAGACGACCTTGCCAGAGGCAACGGCCGCGCACTCGTACATGCGCAGGAAGCGTGGCACTTGGAACACTTTAGACCAAAGCAAGTATTAATTATCCCTGGATAGTGAAGAACCATCATCGGACTAGTATAGGGCATTTATTTTTGTGTCTGCGTGCGGTTCATAAAATCTTTAATGAGATTTGTAGTTGATTTTGATTATTTTACCTAAGCGGTAGAATCGGCAGCAATTTACTTTTGAATATCGGAAAGCTAAATCTGCCTGCACGTTAGAATTGGGGGCGCGTTAGAATCGTGCAAACAGTTTCTTTAAATAAAGAGCTGGCAGAGTAAAACTACAAGTACCAGCTTTATTATCCTTATCTATAATGTGTTTTAAAAGTAAGTCCAGGTATAACGAACTACTGATAAAACTACCACTTTTCGCGGAACTATCGCGTTCGTTATAAGTGGGTTTGACTGTACATGCCGTAAAATATGGGGCAGTGCCCACCCCACTTTAAAGTCCGACCTTCAGAATTGTCTTCTACTGGGGAAAAAACCGGTTCCCAGTTTCCTTCTCTTCATTCCCTCTCGCCAACTTTTCCCCTCCTCTCCACACAGGAGCGGTTCTCTTAACTTGTATTCCCGGTAGAGAGAAGGAGGGTCTCTCTCTTTCTCAAATGGAACGGAGGAATTGCGGGAGTTTCCTTCTCTCTGCTTGATGGTCGGCCTTTAACTGAAAACTGGGTTAATCTAGACATGGGCTCTTGTCCAGTCGAATTGGGCGGTTAGCATATAATATGCAGAATTCCAAAGTTTGGGAAATGTTAATAGTAGGCACTTGAACCAAATGGGCACTTCCTCAGTGTTTTACGGTAAGCAATTCTTTGTTAGGGCTGTCTGCGGTGGTGGCAAAATGCAGAAGCAAGCAGACAGTTCAGTCGACGACGGAGCTTAAGAAGTGCAAGCGGGGACGTATTTGAGATGCTTAAGCCTAAGCTTGCTCCGGTTTTTCTCTCCAGGGCCGCCTGGCGTCATCAGCCAAGCCATCTTGCCCGGCGACGAGCCGACTTCTTGAGTGCAGGCTTGTCTGAAGTCCGAATGAAATAACACCAGTTTTATTATGATTTAAATCGGTCCTCTCCCATGAAAATAATTCTCAAAATAAGATTTTACTCTTTGTGTGTTATTTGATGGTTTTTATGTGCACTTGATTTGTTTTTAAATCAGAGTCATTGAGGGGAAAAAAGAAGAAAGATTTATAACAGGTTTACCACGAACAACTCTTCCCTGTAAATTGGAGCGTTGAGCTTCTCTTTCCACATTTCACTTAGTTTCTCAGTTACATAATGTCCCACTGCGAGCAAGTAAAAATGTGAAAGAAAGAAACCAAAGCAAGAAAACTAATGTCCTATTGCAAGGAAATGAGAACTTGAAAGAAAAAAAAGTAAATACAGCGGCCAACCGATTTTTCGGACTTTGCGGGGAGTGAAAACATGTCCGAATAATAAAGCAGTCCAAAAAATCTGCAGTTAAAATACCTGCTTTATTACTATAAACGGGCTTAAAAAAAGTGAAAGCCGTTTACAACTCCCTGTAACACCAAATTAGAGCGCAGCTCTTGAGGAGGAGGAGGGAAGGGTAACGGGGGGGGGGGTGGGGGGGGGGGGTGAAGTGACCTGGGGGGTCACGTGACGATGCCGATGATGTCATCAGTGATGATGACGATGCGGACTCCAATGACGTCATCAGCGATGATGACGATGACGATGCGGATGTCAGTGACGTCATCAGTGATGATGACGATGACAATGCGGATGCCAGTGAGGTCATCAGTGACGTCACTGATGACATCATCAGTGATGATGACAATGCAGACGCCGGTGACATCATCAGTGACGATGACGTCATCGGGGAGGTCACGTGACCTCGGCGGGGGGTTCAGTGACCCTGGGGGGTGGTCACGTGACCTCGGGGGGGGGGGGGGGGGGGTGTCACGTGACTTCGGGGGGGGGGGGGGGGGGTCACGTGAGATGACCTTGGGGGGTCGCGTGACCTTGGGGTGACCACCTTGGTGACGCCGACGCCGCTCAAGCCGGGAACGGGCCCCTAAGAGCTGCGCTCTAAAAATCGGCATTATTGCCTTGCTTCAGGTTACGCCTCCGTAGCATAGCATCCCCTAGCGGTAGGACTTTACAGTACTCAAGTTGCGGGCTGGTGGTGTTTCCCATTGATTGCTTGCGACGATTTCATCCTAAAAATCTAACTTTCTGATTTCAAGCTCTCCGAAACATCGGTCGTGAATATGCAGTATTTCTGTTAGGTCCAAAGTATCGAACAACTCCAAATTATTGGCCTCCAAAAATCAGTCGGTGACTGTACTGCTTTTCACTAACTAAAAAGTTAGCTGCTTTTGTTCGAGCATGGCAGGTTTAAATCTATAAAAGGGTATTAATTAAACATGGTAATTCTTTCTTCCACATTGTTTTCAGTGTTTTAACAAATTGATCAATCAGTCTGCAGTGTAAAAGCACATATGGTGTTAAGGAATAACTTTTCTAGCTACAGTGATTTGAATCAAATGAGTCTGATTTAGATCAATAATTCTGACTTGATTTATTTCCCCCCTGGTATTGATGCACTGAAATTATAGAACTTATGCACGTAGGTGCAGAAGCGCTAGCCTTCCGGTACTCGGAAAGGGTCGAATGCTGCATAGCTATACCAGATTAGCGTGCTCTTGCATAATAGATCTTTGATCTTTTTGTTCAGGATGAAGACTACAATGACGATGAGTGGGAATCTGAAGGAGAGGAGGAGGAGGAGGTTGGGGATGGCGATGGCGATGGCGGTGGCTGGCGCTCTACCCCAGCACAACCAACGGTGCCAGCACATCCGACGGTGCCAGCACATCCGACGGTGCCATCACATCCGACGGTGTCATCACATCTGACGGTGCCATCACATCTGACGGTGCCATCACATCCGACGGTGCCATCACATCCGACGGTGCCAGCTCAACCGACGGTGCCGGCTCAACCGACGGTGCCAGCTCAACCGACGGTGCCAGCTCAACCGACGGTGCCAGCTTCTGCTGTCACAGTACAACCCCTCGCTCCCAACCTCCATCCCCACGCACAAGACTTCGGGGTACAGAACCTGCTGGCGACGGGCCTTTCGGGAAGCGGTGACAGCAGGGCCGAACCTCGGCTGGACCAGACGGTGGCAGCATTGCCCCAGGCAAGGCGATTGTAGCACAATGGCCTCGCTGTCATTCAGAATGCATAGGAATTCGGTAAAATTGGCACTGGTTAGTTGGGCTCGCCTAGTGACGAGCCGGAAGCCTTCGTAACTCTATTGCGGAAAAACCTCATACATTTACGTCCCGTTAATTCAAATTTTTTTATAGTTTATATTTAATTTAATTTACACTTTTTCTTCATTGCCCCCCTCAAAATTCGTGTTAATGAGTGTCTACTGTATGGTCAAATGCCTCTGTAGCGAACTCCTCTACTACGAAAAATGCTGTTTAATGCATAGAACCGAGTTTCGACCCATTTCCTACGTGTTCGATGTGTTCCCGCATTTTCATTCTGGTGCGATCGGTTGCCTGTAAACACTCGAGGCAAAACATCACACTGGTGTTACAGTCTAAGCTCATTATATAAGACCTGGTTACAACAGACATTTGGATATAACATACCGATTTGTGAAGTTCGGTTGGTTTTCCTCTATGCGCCATTGACTCAACTTCATATCTGCATAGAACATACTCCTTTTACAACAAACCAAAATCTTGGTCAAAATCAAGGTCTGTTATAATGAGCTTAGACTGTATCTACCGAGCAACCCTGGAACACACTTTCAGTCTTCAACTAACTAGACCAAAGGTTTTGCAGAATTCGCAAGATCAAACGGTATCTATGGGAAATGGTTGCTTAAGGGCACAGTCTGTAGTTTGAAGATACTCGGTCAATTCTGATCCTATTTGGATGAAATTCCTATGCCTAGTGTAACTCTCACTGCTGAAAACAAATCTAAGGGTTTTATTTGCCTACCTCTAATACTTTGAAAGAAAATCTTAGATTTATGGCATATTCTTTTGCCCAACTTTTCTATAATAGCCCTAGAAATAAATATGGCAGAAAATATGTCTATACTTTGTAAAAGCAGTAGGGAGTGCAACAAAACCATACTTTTAATTTTAGCAATCTCCAACAAAAAGTTATGACACAATAAATTTTTTTCACTGACAGAAAAATGTTATTATACGCATTACAAATTAAAAAAAATTATGATACAGATTCCTCTAAAGTTTGAGTCTTGTTGCACTCTCCGATTTCTGAGCTATCAAACCCAAAAAGAATTATTCCTATCCACATTCTAGATCCCAAGATACCGTGGGCAAAACTTTGTGTTGTGATGAAAAAATGAATACTGTGAAAACAAGGGAAAATGTTTTAAACAATACACACAGTTTATTTACAGCAAAATATACATGAAGGATGTATAGGACAATGCCTAGAAACCACCAGGAATATAATCCTGGTCATTCTTTTGCCCACGCTTTCTTTTCATGGCTTGTGTGAAGGTTTGTGCACGGGCATGTTTCCTGTTAGAAGCAGTCAGTCGCTGGTGGTCCTTCTCACTTGACCTCTGAGCACTTGCTGTGCCTTGGTGTAGATGGAGCTCTTTCAGGATTGCACTGGTGGCACGCTGTTTGCCGCAGTTGAATCTGAGCACAGCTTGTGCAACTGCACATTCCACGCTGAACAAGGAGGCATGCTGCTCCTTTGAAGAAAGCGACCATATTACTGAGTGGAGGCTTTCATTGGCATTCTGAGTTTTTGCACGTTACCTTTTCAAGAGCTTCTGGTCAGAGAGGCGTGTATAGACAGGCAGCAGGGCATCACTGACATAGCTTGGCAGGTTATAATGATGCTTTGGCGGGGTTTCATTTCTGGCAACAGCAGCATTTTGCTTGCACCACGAGGTTTCCCCTGTGGGGCAAAGTGCATGGTTGGGCTTCGCATCAGTCGATGTGATATGATAATACGATGCCATTACCGCTTTTTGCATTTTTTCAATGTCGCCCTCATGCGACTTCAACGCCCATCCATAGTACATTGTGAGCTTAGTTATGAGATCAGCAGTCAGTTTCCCTTTGCCACCGAGAGGTGTCTTCCCTTCACCCTTCTGCTTCTGCACAAGGTTACGAAGTGCAGTGCCCATTCTCTTATATACATAATTGACACAATCCTCTTTTTCTACTTCCACAAAGCCATACACTTTGGCATCCTGAAGTGCATTGTATGACCGACTGTCGCCATCACACAACATTGTTGTGTAACGTAGTCCATGCTTTGCAAGCGAACGCTCGAAGAGGATAGTTGCAGCTTCAACTTCCATTTGCCCTGGCTTGCTTGAGCTGTTCCTCTGGCAGATGTGAGTGTCCTTCCACTCTTGGTATGCAGGATCACTTTCCTTTGGTCCAATCTCGCAGCCCAGGCAGAAATTGGACAGGACAACAAAGTCAAGCACATAGCCGGAGAACAGTTCAATAACGCTTCCAACACCTATGTGCGACGAGTGACCCCGGGTCATCCAAGTTCCATCGTACGAAACAGCGATGTTTCCAGGGTTTCCGAAGTTCAGGTCTCCGTAGAGCGTCTTTACTGCTCCCGCGCACTCGCTCATTGCAGTTCCAGCTGCCTTCTGGGCCGCCGGATTGATCTTCTCCTTTAGACATTTTTGGAACGTCTTCTTGTGCAGACCTCTTTTAGAAATGTTCATCGCAGAGAAAAGGTCATTCAGCACCGTTTGTCCGTTTCCGGTACTCACAAGAGCAAGCGATGCGAGAATGTTGATCTCGAAGGGGTTGCATGTCGCGTTTCCCTTCCCCCTCGGAGAACTCCACTCCGATTTTAGTTCACCGCACTCAGTACAGCTTAGAACCAGCTTGACTGCAACCCCATACTCGCGGTCTCCTTTTGAGATGCTTACAGTACCGCCGCAAACATTGCACTTCACGCACTCAAGAAGCGCATTCAGAGCCGTTAGGCTTACAACTGTGAAGGCGGTGCCGACCTCCGGCACATCTGCGTTTTCGTCGAGCAGAGAAGACTTCCGATGTGTGGCCGACACGGACGAGAGCTTTTGTCGTGCTTCGGTGGCGTGATGCTCTATTTCCACCAGCTCGGCTTCAGAGATCAGAATCGTGTCGACGCGCGTCGTTCCGCTTTCGGTCACGGAGGACGGACGAGCGGCCACACTCTCGGGAGCGACGCAGCTTGGCGCGGTGCAGTTTGGCGCGCTGGCAGAGCCGGACGCCGACGGCTTTGAAGTTCCGGACGACACTTCATCAACTACGGGTCGTCTTTTTCGCCGTTTTCCAAACTTGTGCGCAGTTCTAAACTTCCGATGACCGCCAGCCATGGTCGCGCAACGTATCCAAGATGGCGAACGCGTCTAGCAGCCGAAATCGCGTAGCCTCCAATGAGAACGCACCATTTCCCACATGTGACAAGAAAGCTCCAATGGCGAAGCAGTATTCGAGTTTCCTTTCTCTTCTAATATGTTCATTGTTGCCAGACTTAGGGCACAGATTCCGCTCAAAACGGATAGCTGAAGAAAGCAGCTTTCAAATGATACCAAAATGGCGGCATTCCACAACCTGCTCCCCGCACAGCATTCGGCCGAAAATATCGTTTTTTTCCGGGTTCTTCACGCGCGAGCAGTCCGATATGTGACTTTGAAATTATGTAACTAAATAAATATGAACTTTCCTGGTGTAATAATTGGTTGAAATGTAGCTTGGGACTTAATAATCAAGAAAAAAAATGTTTGAAAAAATCATTTTTTTTACGATTTTTTTTTCCAAAGACCCGGGTGCCCCCTTAAAACAATGTCGGAAATGTTTGACACACGGCCCAAAGGAATGATGCATAAAATATGCGCAGATTAGAAATGCTAGTAAGTAAGTAAGTAAGTCAGGTGAAGCAAGTCCCTTTTAGATCAGGGTGGGTACTCTGAAACCGTGCCTCTGGTTCCATAATAAAATTTAAAAAAATCGTTCAGCCTTTCCACTTGTGAAGAAGGAAGACCAGCGGAGCTGTACTTTATACACTGTGTGCTTCTTCTTCATCGTCGTCTGTTTTTCGAGCTGTTTCCTACGATCAGTTTTCAACGCGCCCAACTATCCATTCTTCCATGATAGCTGGAAAGGTTGCCGCCATCTATGAGTGACGGCTGTAACCAGACTGGTTGTGTGCTTGCCGCTGTTGCTTATAGATGGCAATAGCTGTCCAGGCAGGTTTGTGTCGACATACCGGACACAATTTTGGGGAACTTGGCCCTTAATAGCTCCGCTGTAATAAAATGCTCTGGGGCTACCCGATAGGTGGCGACAGTGTGTTTTCCCGTCGTAAGTGGTCACAAGCGGTTGCAAAGCGGTCGATCACAATCAAACGCTGACATTCGTTGCCGGACATGTACGGCAGCGATTGCACATTTTCAAATTGCCCGCCTAAAAGCGCAACCGCATGCACCGCTGGAGGTGTTGCTATTTGTTATGTCTTTGGCAAGCCATAAGCGTTATATTTGCGGGTTTTTAGATTGATCGGGGCTATCTATAGTTCTGAAACTAAACGCTCTACCCATAAGGCGGTCCCTTAGTGCATCGGCCGTTCCAGCAGTAGTGGCAGTTGGAGCACCGGCTCTTCTGATTCTGACTTTTAATGCCTCTCAAAATCGAATTCGGAGGACGAGAGCTTACCATCTAATGGTGAAGCTCCGCAAGGTACCGCCGGATGGTTGCGGAAGCGGACGCGCCAAAGTGGAACCGAGTGGAAGAAAGGTGGCAACTTTTCGCCTTCGATATTTTAATTTGTTGCTTGTAAACCCTAACAGCTTGCAAGCACTGTGCGTGCTCCCGCTAGATAAGGAAAAAAATCTGCGCATTGGCCCTTTCTTCATACCGTTTCATAAGAAATAGAACGCCCGACCACCATGGTTTCATTCCAGTGGTCGAGTTGGGAATAAAAGCTGGACAGTCAAAGGGTCAAGCGGGAGTGGGGTGATTTTTAGTGATGATGTGTCAGGGGGCTTCCCGTTAAGCTCCACTGCGTGGCACCTCCTTGATACAGGAGGGGGGCACAGCGGCAGTTGTCCCGAGTGATAAGGGTGCTGGCCGGGAGCTGGTGGTGCGGCAGCTGCTGGCAGGACTGGCGCCCAGGCAGCTCGCGGAATGCCTGGTGGATGCGGTGCAGGGCTTCAAGGGACCCCTCACTCCCAAGATGCTGGGCAAGGTCAACAAGAAGTTGGAGTTCTGCAGGCTCTCCAACAAGTCCACCATGCGAGACTACTTTGTCCAGGTCAACCTGGTGAGTGTGGACGCCTCTTCTGCTCCACGGTGCAGGGACGTTTTTGGTATTGACAGGATTTTATATACACGCGCGAATGTTCGGGACATTTGGATATTGATGTGACAAGCTGTCAGTTTTATCGAGCCTCCAAACTGAAGGGTTTGACTTCAATCTTAATGTTTTTCAATACTGTAGCATACTAAGCAAACACACTAAAAATCTGAAAGTTAGTCGTCAGATTATTTTTTATGAATTATTTTGCAAGGGGGGTGGCAGGATTTAGGCAACCTGACACAGACTAAGCATCCAAGCCTCTTCAAGGTACTGTCGGGACCCATTATAACTAGGGTTCCGCGTTTTCGGTTTTTATTTTTTCAAAATTCGGCATATTTTTTTCGGTGTTTATTTTAAAATTCAATTTTCAGTTTTTTTCGGCGTATATTTATGCCCACAAAAATGTACCGTCTTTATTCGGTGAGTGTGAAAGCAACACCGTCGGACACCGGATCAGAGGATCCTTTTTGCTCTGATATTTGGGATCACTCAAAGAATAACGTCGCAGATCGATTGAAAAAGAAATGGGTGCTTTTAACAAATGTGTGCAACTGTAAAAGAAACAAGAAAAAAAAAAACACAAAAGAAACAGAAGTGCAGACAGATCAGACTGAAGCCTATGCCTAGAAAACGTGGAACTTCACCTTCTGTACATCAGGATTACGTGATCTTATTATAGTAAACACTCGTGTACTTTCCCAGGTTCTCGTTGATCCGCACTCTTTCTTTCCTGTTCATAAGACCCTGGCCTTCGAGAATAACACTGGATACTGGCAGGCTGAGGAGGTAAAGCGCTGCCTAAGCCAAAATCGGCCAATCAACCAAATCTGACCGCCAAAAGAGGCACGGTTTGAAGCACAACATATTTTGTGTACTCATTAAACTTTGGCTGCAGAGCTTGCCTCAAGTCAGTCTCCCTTAGAACGAATTTGAAAACACGCTCGTACACGGCGAAGTCATGGGGCATTTCGGACTTCACATTCCTATCGATGATGCGCACATTAAATAATAACGTTGTGATGGCATCCGGGTGTCCCATTCATTCGGACACGTTTCGATAGACACTGTCGTTCCACTTTTTCGGCACGGCTCTGCGGTACAATGCCCTTTTTCTGTTAACATCGAATTTTAGAAAATAGATTCGACATACTTTTATCGGTTTAAACTGAACACGCCGAACCTACAAACTGACCTTTTTTCAGTTAAAACCGAATTTCCGAAAATGGATTCGGCATACTTTTTATCAGTTTAAACCGAAAACTCCAAACCCTAGTTGTAACAAGGTCGGTTATAACGAAATAGCGGCTACAGCGAAGCGATCACGATTCCCCATTCCCTTTTGCACTTTGTTATAACTGACAGGTTATAACGAAATAGCGGATATAGGGAAGTGATTTCCGATTCCTGTTGACTTCGTTATAAGTGGTCTCGACAGACAAATGATACTCAACCCTGCGAGAATTTTGGAGTAAAGTGGACTATTTTGCTTCATCAAGCTCACCTCCCTCATGGCATGGACGTGTGGTGGAGAAGTTGCTCCTGCAGCAGTTAGAAGAGTGATGGCCGTTTCAAAGCTTGCATGATCCTAGCCATAAAGTACTGCCTAAACGTTCATGGACGGAGAGCACCTCATGGCTGTGCACATAATCTGTTGAAAATATTTTTTTCCATTGGCAAATGGGCCTTACATGTTTTAGGGCTTTCTGGGATGCATTACTTTGATAGCTTATTGTAATAACCAGTAATTTTGTAATTGATGCCGCACCTTTTTTTTTTCTGGCTATTTATGTAAGAATATAACTGAATCAGGTGCATAGTTAGTCTGAACACGGTAAAATCGCAGCTTAAAGAATGGGCCTGGCATGAAGCGTTAGTGTCTTGATATGCAGATACAAGCTGCCTCCGATGAGCACAATGTGGACCTGAAGATGTGCCAGGACCTGAAGCTCGAGAATGAGCGCCTTGCAGAGAAGCTGGCCACTGCCTTGGACCAGAATGTGCAACTACAGAAAAAGCACACTCTTGAGACCAGTCAGGGCAAAGAGAAACTGGAGGAAGTGAGCAAGGAGCTTCAGGTAGGCCGGCTCTGCCACTGCCCGCTTTTCTTGCTCGAAGCTGGAGGCGACTGGCAGTCATAACCGTTTTTACTCGCATAATGAACGCACCCCCCACAACGGGTACCAATATTTGGACCTTTTTTTTCATCGCGTAATCAAAGCACCTCCAATTTTTGGCTTCGCAGGTGTCGAATAGCATCCAATTTAGCTAGCGACCAAGCCAATTTTCTTTTGCCGCCGAGCGGTCAGGCCAAGTCAAGTTAAGCCAAGGCGCTCTCGTAATGGCCGCAAGTGCGTAGTTACGGTAGTTTCAGAAGTGATCATTTGTGAAACCGAACGGTGCGCACTCTTGACGAAGCTTGGGTTGAGGAATTGCCCAGCCCCGGATATTCTTTGCCTATCAGATGCATTGATGTCAACAAACATGCTGTCGTCTGTGGTCTGCATTAGGACAGTGAAATCGTGAAAGTGGTTATGCCTAATTTCACATACTCCGGGTAATTGTGTTTATTTAATCCATAACAGAAGGGCGCAGCGAGGTGCAGTGTGTAATTTTTCGGAAAAAAAGTGTGTTCATTATGCGAGTAAATACAATATTTGCACCTTACCCTGCACGCCCTGGGGGACGTTGCAGCTCGGAGTTAAAGAAGTACCGAGTTATTAGCTTCGACTTTACTGGTGTAGCCATTCGATGTCACCCGTTTGTTGCCTGTCTTGTTTTTGTTGGATTACTTTCTTTGAGTGTCTCACTCCGTAAGTTTTTGTCGTCCAGGCTACCAAACAAATGCTGAAGAAAACAAGACTTGAGAGTGAGGCTGAGTTGAAGAAGCACCAGCAAGAGAAAATTAAGCTGAAGGAAGAACTCAAGCTGCTCAAGTCAAGCAGGTGCCGGTTTTATTTTTTTCGTTTTAATCTGAAAATTGTAAGTTAAGCCCTCCGGAGCTTTCTAGGAAAACAACATTTAGCCACTTAGAAGGCTACTGCAGATGGGAAGACCATGGCAAGAGAGAGAAACCATCCGTCTCTTTACCCATGCTGAGTGCCACAACTTCAGAAAAGTTTAAAGCTTGTTAGCCATTACCTTAAACATCTGTTACGTGACCAACTTTTTCTCTTTAGGGATGAATCTGACCTGAAGGGTACCTTGGAGAAGACCTTCACTGAAATGGCAAAGTTGAGGTAACATACCATTTTATGAAGGCTCACTGATTTAAGGATAGGTGATCTTTCGTTTTCTGTAGAGGTGTGGAAATATTAAATTTTTGAATACAAATACAGATATTAGAAAAAAAAAATAGCTTTGAATATTGAATATGTGTGTACCATTAAGAAATAACAAAAGTAAATATGCAAATAGCTTCTGTATAACCTTCAACCCGAAAATTATGTTAACAAATTCAAGTAAATGAAACTACCTGACTAAACAGCATACAATAAACTCACTTGAGTGAATGTCGGTTTAATGAATATTTCAAAATAGAGAACTTTTAAAAAATCCGCTGCGGTTTTTCTATTCATTCTATGTAAAAATAATTCAGTTAAGGGGGACGCTACACAGAAAAAAAAAAATTCCTGCAAAAAACATTGATTTTGAAAAATTACATATATACATCCACCAACATCTGGGCCCGTTTGCTCGAACTACTAACCGCGGCTAAAGTTAGCCGCAGTACCTAGGAGAGGGATTTTGAGATCAGGTGACTGGGCTCAGTAGGGATGCGGGGAAACATGGCGGTGCCCCAGTGAGTGAGCGCCGCTCGCTTTGGAACTAATATGTCGTTGTAGCTGCAATATTGGGCGCGTTAGTCAGCAACGAATGGTGCAGGAGGCTTTCGCTTTGCTTTACCTCACTTCAACCGCAAAGCATGGGCAATGACATCGCCGCATTTTTTAGATAGTGTTTCGATTCTGGGCACTCCTAAGCCTAAATGAACGCGATAATTGTCGGCATAGCAACGTCTTTGGAAAGCGGATTGTTGATAGCAAACACAAGCAGACGGCGTCCCAACAGACCTTTTTTTCTAAATTATCCAAGCACCGAGGTGCATGCTAGGACTGTAGTTGCACGCGTCGCACGTGCTGCCGTCTGCAGTAGTAACCGTTCTAAAGCAAAAAGTATAAAAAACAAATTTTGCCTTGCACGCGCGTTCGTTAAAGCCTTATTCTGATTTTTTACTTCAAATCTTTTATAAGAGGAAGGCCAGCGCGCGTGAACCGTAGAATCACACTTCCAGCGCTCTCCTCGCGATGCTTGGATAATTTAGAAAAAAGTTTGTTGGGATGCCGTCTGCTTTTGTGTGCTATCAACAATCCGCTTTCCAAAGACGTTGTCATGCCGACAATTATCGCGTTCATTTAGGCTTAGGAGAGCCAAGAATCGAAACACTATCTAAAAATTGCGACGATGTCATTGCCCATGCTTTGCGGTTTAAGTGAGGCAAGGCAAAGCGAAAGCCTCCTGCACCATTCGTTGCTGACTAACGCACCCAATATTGCAGCTACAACAACATATTAGTTCCAAAGCGAGCGGCGCTCACTCACTGGGGCACCGCCATGTTTCCCCGCATCCCTACCGAGCCCAGTCACCTGATCTCAAAATCCCTCTCCTAGGTACTGCGGCTAACTTTAGCCGCGGTTAGTGGTTCGAGCAAACGGGCCCTGGAGAGTATTCCCAAAAATTTTAATTAGTTTACACTGCATAGTTAATTTTTATCAATTATTTTCTGTCCACCAAAGCTAAAGAAAAGGTAGGGTTTGGAGCACTTTGAACATGTTTTTTCTCCATTGCACTTTTCGGCATAAATTCCATTTTAGTCAATCTATCGTTTGATAATGGCAAAACAGGGAAGTCTCTTTCTTCCCTTTTCCTGACTGAAATTTAATAAAGAATGCGGCTATGTAATTTTTTTGTCACTTTAAGGATGCCTTTTATAAAAGTGTTGACATCTTGTCGAAGACACAGAATACCAAAAAGTTGACCAATTTTGCAGAAGAGAAAATTTATAGAAATAAACGACTTTAGAAAAAGCGTTCCATAGCCGCACCCCTTAGGCATTCTGCTACATATCTAGAAAATAAAAATCTTGAATATTGTGACAGTTTTCTGATGACAGATTAACTAAACAATGTAGGTTTGTTGCTGATAGAAGCTACTCTAATTTCCTTCCCATTAAATTTTGTTATACACCCTCTAGCATGGCCACCAGCCTACCCTGTAAATTTAATTAATTTTTAGACAAGGGTTCATAAGTTGACTGCCCTAGTATGTGTGTCCCCTTAAACGAAAAACAAATTTTGGAATAGCGAATATTTCAGTTCAGCGAACTTGATTGGTGGACCCAGCTTTATTTTTGCAATCATTTCAATGAAGTTTTGTGCTCTGCAGTGCTGGCGTAGTTAGTGCCCGCCGCCGCTGCTGAGGCAGCGGCGTCGTATCATTGCTGGCGTTTACAGTGCCGCCGAGGCAAAGCAGCGGTGTGGTAGTCGAAAATGAACCACGTGGGGTGTCTGTTTTTCTTTGTCATCGGTTCCGTTCGACCATCTTGGTTTTGGGTAACAACGTGAGGACACGAGTTTGTGCGCCCACTTTCGTAATACGTATAACGAAACGGAAGTGATTGTCTCTATGATACAAGCTCAAAACCCTTCAGCGTCTGGACAACGGTCAAAGGCAAGTGGCCGTTGCGAAGGACTATTGGATTTCACCGTCGGCGTTGTCAACGTTAGTGAAGCAAAAGTTGAAGCTTGAAGGAGAAACTGTGTTTAATCCCAACGGGATATGACTGCATGGGATATTTCAAGCCAGTGGACGATGCAAATGAAAATTACAAATTTTTTTTCAAAATCTGAGAGGCAGCAATGTAATTGTTATGCACTTTGTATATATCGATGAATACATGACTACCATAAATTGCATTTCATACTTTTGACTCTGTGTATGCTGTGCCCTATGCTGTTCGCTATTCTAGTGAGCATAGTATTCAGTTTACTGGATTTTCAGTCAAAGGGATGATGAACCGAAATTTTGATTCCACAAAACACGCGGTAAAAGCGTGCAACGGGATGCTACAAACACCAAAACATCACTCATACAGCGATATCTCGAACAGATGAGCAAATTTTTCAAGAAAAGGAGGCGCATTTGACAGAGATGATGTCGTCATGTTTCTCCGAGAAGGAGAGTGAATGGCCTCGCGTCTTCTCCGCCTCGCGGCCTTGAGGGAGCGAAGCGAAGAGAGGAGGAAACTCGGCATATTGACGTCGCGCACCTCGTCGGCCTGGTTCAATCTCGACCCCTTTTTCCAAAAACACGGCCATCCATTCGAAATATCGCCTTACGAGTAGTGGTGTAGGGATTGTAGCGTCCCGCCTACATTTCCTGCATTGTCTTTTCTAAAATCCAAATTTCGGTTCACCATCCCTTTAAGTGAACAATTTCCTTGGGTCCCTTGAAGTTTGCTCAAGTGAGAGTTTACTGTTTACTTCCAGAAGGAAGTAAAGCGTAGCTTTGCTTGGAATCTGCTCAATGAGTCTCTAGTGGAGATACAGTGGACTCCTCTTAAACGGAACTCGAAGGGACAGAAAAATTTGTTCCGTTTATCAGAAGTTTCATTAAAGCAAAGCACATAAAATGAGTGAAATATGACTTTATTTCACAAGCATGATGTCCAGCTAATGTAGCTGACTAGAAAAAAGAGGTAATGGTAGTTTGTTTTGCATTTTGTAATCGCTTTTTGACGAAGTAGGTGTGCATGCCTTGGAGGTTGCGCAGAAATTCCGCACAGCCTTCAGATTCAAAGTAGCGCTGCAAGAGAGCAACAGCCTCCCTCGCTGTGCAGTCTGGCACTGCAGCAGGACCGGGGTCATTGCATTCCACGTCATCTTCACTGGAGCTTGAGGCCTCCTCACCTTGAACTTCAGCTACCAGCTCTTCAATGCTCTCTTCACGACACGTGGTGACGTTTGCATCTAACGTTTCATAATCTTGTCGTGTGAAAGAAGTGGAAGATACCAGCTGACCGAAAAGGATGTCAGCATCAGCCGCATCAGCATCAGCAGTATCCCCTTCCTCCTCTGGAATGACTTCTTGCCTTGCGAAGCCAGCGTGGTGAAAGCATCTTTGCACGGTTGAGACTTTAACTTGCTCCCAGGCATAGGTCAGCATGTGAAGTGCCGAAAGCAAGTTCACACTATAATCTTTCCCACTGTCTGCACAAAGAAGCATTCGGTGGAGTAGCTGGCGGCGGTAGTAGACTTTCAGGTTCTGAATAACGCCTTGGTCCATTGGCTGGATTACTGCAGTTGCGTTCGGTGGCATGAACTCAAGGATGATCGACTTAAGCCCATCCACTTCACCATGGGCGGGGCAGTTGTCTACAATAAAGACGACTTTCCTGCCCTCACGGGTAAATCTCGCATCCTGTTCTCGCAGCCAGGTTTCGAAAATCGTTTGCGTCATCCACGCTTTTCTGTTTGCATAATAAGTGACGGGCAGCTCCCGGATGCCTTTACTACACACAGAGGAGTGGCGCCCACTGGATACGTTGTCCTGCTGCTTCTTTTGTCCTCGTAGTTTTCCACGCTCTGCTTTTCTTTGCTGCTTTCTTCGACTTTGCAGTACCACACCCTTGAAACAACGAGGGTTTTGCGCTTTTCCCACTACCACCAGCCTCAACTTATCACTGCCGTCCATATTGGCACCAACCAGCACTGTGATGCGCTCTTTACTCCGCTTACCCCCAGTACAAGTTTCCCCTTTGAAGGTGAGAGTCTTGGTCGGGAGCGCCTTGTAGAACAGTCCCAGCTCGTCGGCGTTGTACACATCTCGTGCTTCAAAGGTTTGCAGAATTTCCTGCAACCGCCCCTGCTGCCAGTTGCTACAAAGGTTTCTGTTGACTGCTGCACCTTCCCCAGAAATAGTCTTAAAGACTAGGCCGTGGCGCTTTTTAAAACGGCTGAGCCAACCGTCGCTCATTTTGAAGTTATCTATTCCCAACTGAGACGCAATCTCTCCAGCCTTTTCTTCGAGGATGGGGCCGCTGATCGGGAAATTAGCACTTCGCGCGCGCTTAAACCAGAGAAAAAGGACGTTCTCTATTTCCTCAAAAGGCGTCTTTCGCATCCTCCTTTGGTCGGTGGCAAAGCTTCCGCGCTTTACAGCGTCTTGAATCTTTTCTTTGTCCTTTGATATCCTTGAGAGTGTAGACTTCGGGATATCGAACTTCCTTGCGATCTCCGTCTTCGAGAGGTCACCACGATCCAGCTCTTGAAGGATCTTCATTTTCGTAGCAAGCGAGATCGCTTGGTGCGGCCGCTTTTTTACCGCTTCCATCACAACACGGCAAGCGGACGCTGGTTTGCGTACTCGATGGCAAACGTGACGCGCAACAGACGAGGCGCTAACCCTAATGGCGGTAGAAAGACTGGATTGGATTGCCTTAATATAATGGCTTGGATGGATGGATGAATGGCTGTACCGTACCCTTTGTAACGAGCGGCACCTCGCGTCACCTAGCCTAACATTTCGTCAACTTTTTTTTTTTTTTATAATAATATTTGTATAAATTTTGTTCTAACACAACCCCTTTCCCTTTAAAGTGTCCTCAGTCTTGGCTATTGCGTACTCCATGGTTGTGAGACTGCTGTAGCTATTTCCGATGTCCGCGGTCGCCTTGGGTAGTTTCGGTTTCGGTCCCGTTTAACCGAAGTAAGCAAAAAGGGGGGTTCCGATTACCCGAAGAATTTATCATTAAATACATAGGAAACCAACCGAAACAACCTTTAGAGTTCCGTTTATCCGAATTTTCCGTTTAAGCGAGTTTCGTTTAATGGGAGTCCACTGTATGTTGATAACCATATATTTTTGTAATGGAATGCATACTCGAATACCTGTTGCCAGTTAGTGCGAAAAAAAAAAGTTACAAAAATATGCATTTTTCAAGGGGGAAAAAAAAAAAATTGTGAATACTCTTTTTTTTTTTTTATTTACGAAAATTTTTAAATTTACAATTTTTCGTAATAAAGGAACATGAAAATGCAAAATCTAAGATCATAGTAACCGGCTCTATGGAATGTTGGCATATAAGCTGCAAGTATTAAAGGGCTACTCCACCGATTTTTTCATTGTCTCCGATTTGCTTGAAATTTTGCTAAACTAACCAACAAACATCGCGAAAATAGTATCCCAAATATTAGGTCAAACTATTTTTTTTTCGCGAAGTTATTGAATTTACAGTTTTGGTCCTCACCGTGTTTTTCAAGCTCGAAGTCTTTACTGGCAACAATGAAAAAGTGACGTCAGTGGAAGGCAGGGGTTCACTCTTTGGGCTGTAGATTTTGTTTTAAACTGATTCGAAGCAGTTTCATAGTGTCAAATGAATGCTTGGGAAGCTCCCTGCAGTCCCCGCGCTCCAGCACGGAACAAATGATTGGCATATTCTATTTTTTGGCTGCTTGCTCGACTGGCAAGCCTGCCTGCCACTGACGTCACGGCACTGAAAAGCGCGCGTATATTTGAATGTTGCTTTTTGCATCATTTTCATTTGCCGATTTCACAATAACTATTATGAATTTCGCGATTCTAAATAGCATACCGGAGGGAGTAAAGGCCGGGGAGTCAGAAAATATAGTTAGTTGAGGTAGCTCAAAAAATCGGTGGAGTACCCCTTTAAGTCTATAGATTCATACTGAAACGATAGTTTTATTACAGTGAAATTTATGCCAAAAAGTTCAACGGAGGAAAACACATTCAAAGTGCTTGAACCTCCACCTTTTCTTTAGCACCGATGCGCTTAAAAGTAAAGGAAACTTTGTAAGGGTACTCTAGATCAGGGGTGGCCAAGCTGCGGCTCGCGAGCCGCATGCAGCTCTTCGCGTATTAAAGTGCTGCTCGCGGCTCCTTCCCCTACTACCCCCCCCCCCCTCCCCTGCCTCCCTCCCGCCGGTCACACAAGCACTTCCCCAAAAAGAGAAATGGAACACGTTTGAAATCGACAGACAGGTTGCGGTTTGGTTGCCTTGTGCTACTGCTACCTTACGTACAGTTGGACTGCTTTGGACTCTGATAGATTGAAAGTAGTTCGAGCTTTGCTTACTGCTCTGGACCAAAGTTTGCCCGCCCCGCCCCCCCTTGCGGCTTTTGGAAGTTTCGTAGTTTTGTTTGAGGCTCTTACGCCGGGCCAGCCTGGCCACCCCTGCTCTAGGTGTTGGTGGATGTAAATATGGCATTTTTCAAAATCAACTTTTTTTGCAGAAAACTTTTTCTGAGTAGTGTCCTACCTTAAGAGTATACAAAACGGCAAATATCTATGCAACCTGTAATGTTGTCGCACAAACAACTGGTAGTAACCTTTTTAAGAAAATAATTAAAATTGCCCTTGACAAGCCAGCAAGTTAGATATCAGCTGCTAAAGCAATTATTGCAAATTATCATGCAAGAAAATTAATTGTTCCAGATTTTCAGTACACAAGCGCTCCCTTTTTGGTGGGACAACTGCTCCTGCAACAGAAAATACCCTTGCTCCTGCAGCATTAAGTGTAAGGTTGCTAGAAAAGTGGCTTGCTATGCAGGCATAGCAAAAAGAAAACCAAAACTGCTCCATTGTCGTGAGCTAATAAATATGTTTGCGCAATACTAACGCACACTTCTTTTTGGCAAAATCGGTATCAATACATGCATGTTACAACTAAAACCAAAAACAGAAAAAAAGAAAAAAAAAACGTTCAGCCTTTCCACTCTCGTGAAGAAGGAAGGCCAGCTGTACTCTGTACACTGTGTGCTTCTTTGTTGTCTATGTTTTTCGCCCTGTTTCCTACGATGAATTCTCACCAACGTGCCCAAGTATCCATTCTTCTATTATAGCTGGAACCTGGAAAGGTTGGCACCATCTATGAGCGACGGCGGAAACCATACTGGTTGTGTGCTTGGCACCGTCGCTTATAGATGGCGGTAGCTGTCCAGGTAGGTTTGTGTCGACATACCGGACACGATCCTGGGGAACCTAGCCCTTAACAGCTCCGCTGTAAAAAAAAAGTCGGTACTCGGTATAAGGTGGCTAGCCCCATTGCAATCGTGACCGTTCATTTACCTTCATCATTTTGGTGTTCGTATCGCATATGAGGAGGGTTTATTTAAAGGAGTTGTGCAACGATCAGGAGTGTGACATCTGTGCCAATTGCACCATTTTGATACAAACCCAATTTTCTGCGCCTAGTTGCGCCAAAAACGCGACACCGGTCGAAATTGCGCCACACTTTGCCAAAGTAACTCAAACTAAAAAAGTTTGCGGCGTCGCTAGATTTAGCGGGAAGCGAGAGCTTGGTTGGCAACATTGTCTAGTCATAGTAAAGTACGCGGCACGGGTACAGGGTGGCACAAGGAACTGCCGGATTCGAAGATTTCAGCTGTAGTACCCTTCTATATACCTATGATACGTGGTCTTTTCCCGATTTTACTACTACTATCCGCTGTCATTCGTGACTGCATGCTGACAGTTCGCTGTCATGCAGTCTGGCTGTCTGGCCGCAGGAGGTACGACGCACAGGCTGTCAAGATGAGCAAACCTAAGTATTTCTTTCGTTCTGAGTGTAAGCCTTTTCTTAAAAGTGCTGTTGAGCTCCTCCATTGTGTAATTGTTCATTCGTGTCCGTAATCTCGTCAAAATGGACGGCGCCGTCGCCATGAGTACTTATCACACACGTGCTTCCAGTGCGTGAGCAATCGAATGAATCGGTCACACACCCGTATTTAGCATGCATGTGGTGCTCGTAGTTTTTGTACTAATTCACTATTTATCTTGCGACTCACTTTTGGGGGATGTTTTTTTCTATCTGCACGTGCTTTCTATGAGGGTCCGATCGTTGTCCGGTTGTAGTAAACCGTGCTTCCCTGTTCATGCTCTCGAATCACCGCTTTAAAAAGTTTTGCACTACAATTGCGCCTTGCCACCAGTTCGTATAAGCTTGAGGTACCTGGTGCCACTGCCCACCTAACTTAGCAGCCGGCCTGTGTCTTCTGTCCTCATCTATGCGCATGAAACTCACGTTTGGCTTTTCCGTTTTTTGTTGTTTTTCTTTTATATTTTATCTTGGTGCGTATCGGCGCTGATGACTTACTAGAACAAGGGTGGACAGAAATAATGATTAAAAAAGAAAAATCTGATTATGTGATTTATATAGGATTTTTTATGATTTGAATTGCTGATAAGCTGGTCTAACATTTTCTGCTCCAAACTGTAGACTTTTGTGCTTCGAAGTTGCTCCAAAATGCACAAACTGCCGCTCCAAAACGAGAATTTTGTGCTCCTAAGCTGCTCCGAAATCCAGATTTTTCTCTTCCAAGAATTGCTCCAAAACCTGTTTCACCTGTCTCACCCCTGAACGATGTTAACTTTGAAAGAATTTGCATCTTTTACTCTTGACATTGCTTGTCTTGTCACAAAGGACAGAAAACACATCTCCTTCCTTCAAAATGTTGCGATTCCGCCGCGTAATCGCGAGGCAAAAATTAGAAAATTTCCCGACCTGCAGCCGGGAACAGCGGCCATGAGAGCCACGGGGCGCGACATCACTGGAGAACTTGTAAATAGATAGTAAGTTGTGGAAATACCTGCTCGATAAAAGGTAAGCTTTCTATAAATCTTGTCGCTCCGACATAAATATAAATGTATTAAAAATGTAGTATCATTGACAAAACTTCTATTTTACGGAGTTTTAGTGGCGCCATCTATCTGAGGTCAAGAAAACCGTTAGCTCTATCTGCTATCGCAATTGGCCACCAGAAGCCGAAAGGAGGGGGACGGGGACAGAAACGGAGAGGGATGGTCGGACCAGACGTTGGCACTTTCCTCCTTTCGCCTCATTGATCTCGCTGCGCAAGCACGTGGCCACGTGGTTGCAAGTGGGTGAGCTCTTGCTGCTCACTGATGGCTCTAAAGAAAGTGTCATCGGAACCTTGCGCGTCCCCCTTTCACTTTGCAACGCAAGTGACTCAGAAGATGGTGAAGGTGTTGAGAGGTGCCGAAAACCTCAATCTTTGTCCATTTTAAAATAAAAACCAGGACATGCAGGCAGTAGCGGTTTTTTGTTCTTTACTTCAGAAAGGTCGAGACACCAACTCCCAAATTATTTTAGCAAAGCACTCAAATTGTTGCGCAGCTTTTTTTTTAAATGAAAGGCGGGAAAAGATAACAACGGAGCAGCAGTAAGTGACCTCGCGAGCCAACAATCCGACGAGCTCGCAGTGTTGTTTGGAAGACGACACTCCCAGTGACAATGGTCGCGCACTTGTGCGAGCACAAAAAGTGTGGCTTTTAAAATGCTTTAGAAGACAGCAAGGATGATCTCTTGTGAACAGCGAAGAACCATTATCAGACAACGGCGACTAGTGCACGGTATTTAACTTTGTGCTGGCATGCGTTTCATAAACTGTTTTATGAGGTATGCGTTCAAGCTTCATTATTTTACCTGCGTGGTAGAATCTGCAGCAATTTACTTTTTGAATATCTGTGAGCTAAATCTGCCTGCATGTTAGATACGGGGCACGTAAGGGTTTATAGGAAACGGTAAGGGTTTATAGGAAACTGGCTGTAATACCAGCAATTTTAGGCAACTAAATACGGCTTTTAAGGAAGCTCCGAATGTTCAGGGCGTGTCCTGCGCGCAGGTTATTGGCCGTTTGCTCAAATATTTGTACATTGCCCGAATATTTGGAATTTCCGAATATGCAGTTCTTAAATCGAATACAAATCGATCAAGACAAATAATCAATTTGTATTCGAAATCTCGATTATTCGCATGTCCCCAGCTTTCTGATGGCTTTCACGAGGGAAAAAGAGGAGGGGGGTAGGGGAATGGAGAGAAAAGCAGACCTGGTGCAACCATCCAATTGTTACATTTTTAAATGTTTATGTTCACCGGACATCCCGATAAACAATTGGAAGGCAGCATTGGTACCTTCTGATGACTTGTCTTTTCATTCAGGTCTGAGAATGGAGACCTCCTGGAAAACTGCAAATCTTTTGAAGAAGCTGCGGACGTGGCCATGGAGAGGGCGCAGCTAGCCGAGGTAGGCGGCGACCTGCATCTTTTTTTTTTTAGATAAGTAGATGGTAAAATTTTATTATAGGAAGCTCGCCGCTACAGCATCTAAAAGTACTGATAAATATTCTAAATATTTGTTGATGTTTTATTTATTTATATTTTTAGATAATGTTCAGCGGTTGAACATTATCTTTCTTTTCCAACTTTTGTGGGCAAATTTTGGGACGCCTCTACTCTGTTCTAAAGATTGTTTGAGGTGGGCATGGAACAGGTACGTGGCACCTACGGGTGGCATGAAACATGTTCGAGTTGTTCAGTGTTGCAAAATATGAGACGGAGTTAACAAGTGATTAGTGCGCTATCTCTTGTGTCATTATTTGCAACGTGCTCTGGCAAGCCCAGCCAAATAGATCATTGATCGGCAAGAGATTATCCTTTTCATGTTAGTTCATTATTAACTTATGGGTATGTACAGTATGGATGATTCTAAAGCCACTAAATGACCTACGCTTAGTGTGTCGGCACTCTATTCCTCGGTCTGCCAATGGGCACTGCCATCTTGGTGCTCATTAAAGAGCAAATGCAACTGTCAATCGTCACAGTTCAAAAATGCGACTTCCTCAGCTTCAGGTGCAATGTTTGGAAGCTTTGGTGATATTGTTTTGCTCTGCCGCGAACTGTTCTTTTTTTTTTTGGGGGGGGGGGGGGGGGGGGGGGGGGCGTTTCCTGCGATTTCAGATAAGTAGCCACCAGGATTTTTTAGCACCAATATGGCTGGAGTATCGTTACTCTAAAGCACAGATTATATAGTGGCTTTAGATGACCAATCGCTCGCAAAATGGATACAGTAATCCATTGTTATTACAAAGTCAACGGGACGGCAGAAAAACGTGATATAAGCGGTAATTCAATAAACGCGATAGAGCCAAAGAACTTCGCCAGCAGCCTTGAAGATGGATGGGAACGCTGAGGACCACTCTGATTGTATATTTAATCAAACAAACCTTGGTTGTAAACGACAAGTGGCAGCTTCACCGAGTAAAAAAATAATTAAGTGGAGTTTGCAGATAATTTCATTCAGGCATCAGTTTTCCTTGAACCGTTCCAGGCATCGCTAGAACACTGTCGCTGCCGCTGCATTCTACTCTGTTTTCGGAGCAGCCGTAGGATGTTTCGCGCCTCCGCAGTTGTCGGCATTTCCCGAGGTGCCTTTTCGACGTCGCTTTGTGTTTGCCCCGGCCGCACGCAGGGTCTACGATAGCAGCATCCGTTGCAGGAGCAACAACAGGAACGTCCGCATCGACAAGCGCGAACGAATCAGTTATCCTCGGTGGCTTTGCCAACATGTTTTCACACACAGATGTAGAGATTGTTGTTGTTCTGGGAATTGTGCGCCGGCTCGGCATGCATGCTCGCGAGAGAAAATCTAACGTGCGCAAAGCAGTTCGTGATCTTTCATCTAAGGTTCTCGTAGTATGCTTTCTGTTGCATGAGAAACTTCTCGAACCCATACGGTGTGCCTTTTTTTTTTCTGTAAAAAGGTGGACAGCGTCGAAGAGTCGATGCTGGAATGTCGAATTCTTTGGCATTTTAGACTTGGGCCAGCCACTTTTCTTAACTTCACTGAGCTAAGTGTGTAGTACGCTTAAATATGCAGCATACTACACATCATATGTGTAGTACGCTGCAGACGTGCGTGTCGGGTGCTCCCGAAAGGATGACCTCTTCCGGGCTCCATCACTCCCTTGACCCGATTCCAACAGTAGTCGGGCAGCATCGGCTGCGGGGGCTTTCTATAGCGTCGAAACGTGGACGCTGGTTCTGCTGTTCCCTGGCCGCATAGGAAGCTGCGCTCTCTGCCCTCTGTCAGGCATTTGTTCCGTTTTCTTGTTGGCCGTTTTCGCAGTTTGCCGTTTGCCTCGGTGGAGAAGGGGGAAGGAACGCAAGTGTCTCTTCGGCCGCCAATACACTTCGAATAATTTGGTCCAAAATGCATGCATTTTGGTCGGGACCATGTTAAACTTAGATAAATGCAATTTCATTATACATAACGAGGGATTACTGTAGTTGAATAGGAGAAGAAACGCGAGTCCTATAAGTGCACTTTCTTAAGAACACCTGCATGTGTAAACAGTCCGATGCTTGTTTCGTGCTTTGTGAATTTGATCTTGATTGTTTCTGAGTTTAAAGAAAATTAGGGGTGTGCGACTACCGAATAGTAGTTTTCGAATCGAATACCGAATCGAATCAAGAAAAAAAAGCCGAATATTGAATCGAATAGTGATTTTATTTGTAGGAATTTTTCAAAGTGTGCTGCAAATGAGATTATTAAATGTGCAGAGTATGCGCCTGTTGCAGAATATGCATCTTGTACGGAACAAAAACTAAAATGTAAAAAAATTCTGGTGAAAAAAAAAATTAAAAAGCAGTTGTTGGATGTTGGGCACTAAAGATCCAATTTTATGGCACAAATATAATCTATCTACCCTAAACGTCACAAAAAACCAAAGTTACATTCACGCATGCCTTTTTTTTTCTTATTAAAAGCACAACCTAACACCGCGACTTTTTTTTATAAATATTTGCATATCTCAGAAAAAGGGCATTTTGCAATATTTGGTTTCCATTTTAATGAAGAAAAACGGCACCTGGGATTTTATTTCACATAAATAAGCAGATAGGTGTTAAATCTGAGTAAACAGGCTTAAACATAATTTGAAGTAAGAAAAAAAAATGTGGTTAGGTGGCGCTAAAGTCACTGGATCCTGGGAAAGTAACGCCAAGCTCCCTGTGTGGTCGCCATCTTGGTCCGTGAAATGAGCAATTTCTCCTTGACCCCTCTGTTCTTGGTGAGCTGATCTAGATTCGCTGATGATGGGTAGCTTTATGGAGTGGTTTTGTGTATACCGAGATATTGCTAACCACACACCAGCGAAACAAGCGTACACCTTCGTACCACCACCAGATGCTGTGTCAGTGCTTGGAGGCACTGAAAAATAAGTTTACTGTATTGAAATACGCAGGAAGAACAATACAATTGTAAGAGATCCATGGAGATGGGCATGAATATTAAGTTGATTGCATACAGAGTGCCAAAGACTCTTATATTGGCGAGGAACGCCTCCAGTACGATGATGCTTCATGGTAATCTTGGCGCGACTGGTTTAGAACGACCCTCTGGAAGCTTCGAAGATTTCAATGGACCAAGATGGCGATTTCCATGGCAACGTAGACCGATTAGCCAATCGCCTTGCTAGGTTTGGGTCGTCTGTATGTTAGTACCCGTTTGTGTCCGGCTAGCAGGTAGGGAAGGCAATGGCGCTACTTTCCCAGGATCCAGTGACTTTAGGTGGCGCAAGACACCGCCCAACTGCCGCTATGCATCCATTTTTCCGTCCATCTACTATTTTAGAGAGGCTGTTTTAAAAGAGGGAACAAGCGAAACTGAAACCACAGAGACGGCTTTCACGCAGATTGGTCGCGTGCGTATGTGTTGTGTTGTCGCGTGGAAAAAGGCGAGCAAACAGAAGGGCGACGACGCCTGCCGTCCCTGCCCTGCCCGCCCGATCCCGATCGACACTTTTGTCTTTTTGTCACCTTTTCGCAGTTCGTAATTCAAACGCGGCTATCGAACGGTTGGAAACCCTCTCAAATCTAAGCACACTATTTTTCCGTTCCGTTTCGTTCCGAATCAGAATTTGCGGCTTGCGGTTAAAAAAAAATGACTACGATAACTTGGCTGCTTTCATCGGCATGGTTACAGTGGTTATCTTTCTGTGATAGTGCAGTCGCTGATTTCTGTGAGTGCGGCCAAGTGTGTTTTACATCGGTGCTTCAATTTGAAATGAGGGGCTTTACTCGTGAAAAGAATTAGGCGTGCTGCGGGATTCCGGCCTCCCAACAATTCTTCTCTAGAAGCGGCACAAACGGGATGTTTCGGTTGTGATTCACGGGTAGATTCTGTCACGATCGTGAGTAAATCTGCGTGCTATAAAGTTTGTGGCGTTCGTTAGTTTTCTTTTTTTCTAATTTGTGCGTTAGGTGTTTGTGGAATGGGTAGGACCAAGAGCTTTTTTTCGCATGGTCTGTCTAACATCACGGCGCTTACATCGGGAGAAAAAACGGCTTTTTTGTCAGCTCCTCGCCGACCGCGCGTCTTTGGCCAAATATATTGAATATTCGAGTGACCGAATACTAGGAATTTGATTCGCGAATCGAATTATTTGGGAACTTTCTATTCGATTCGAATTTGTATATTCGAGTATTCGCACACCCCTAAAGAAAATGTTTTGTGGTTCCTTTAACAAAGCTTTCGAAAATTTAGAACACTAGGTAATGTTTGACAAATATTCTCCAACACACACAGAACGTTGCGTAAGTTAACCTTCTAAGACAGAAATTTGTTCACTGTATTTATTATTTTTTTGTCAGGATTATTACTAAAGTTTATTGCTGTTCAGTACTAAATTAGCATAAAGGTGCTAAACGTGGAAATTGCATAAGAACAAACATTTGAAGAATAAGGTTGGAAGAGGCACGGGTATGTGTGGCGCATATTAACCTCGAATGTAAGCATCTGGCATTTTGGCAGTTTCTTTAAAAGATTAAAAGTGTGAACTGAAACACGCACGAAACAAACACGTACGACAAGGACAGGCACCACTTACAACTCAATTTCTTGAAAGAACATTCACTTCGCCAGAATGTCATTTACCATAGTGATAACAGCCCATAAACCGATAACATATTGAGTGCTATATGAAGCCCTCTAAATAACACAATTCCTTATCCAGCAGAAAAACAGACAGCATGCTCACACATTTTTCATCCACATATTTGGTAAAGAAAACTTCAGCGATTTCTCCGTCTTTTCAATCCCTCTTTTAACAAACTTCATCTAAAGTATTATTCCATTTTGGCAGCTTCATGTTGGAGGGACTCTGCAACAAGTGCCCCTTCGCCAAATGACGGAAACTTTTGCGGCAGTCTCTTGTTTTCTTGAGTCGCTACCTTCAGGGTCTTTTGTGTTCTGATGTTGTGGATGTGTTCAGGAAGATGACAGAGTGTAGTCAGGGAGTTCTTTATTGTGTTTTTCCTGCAGGTGCGTATTCTTGAGACAGCCCTGGAGTGGTCCAAGGAAAGGCACGACCGGTCAACAAAGCCAGTGGAGAGAGCTCTTCAGGAGTTGGATTACCGGCTCTCACTGTGAGCGAGCTGAAATCTCCGAGGGCTGCTTTTGGTACCCCTCATGCGACTTGCGCTGAAACAAATATTATCAATATTATCGTGGCGACAGCACCTAAAAACTTGCATTTAGATTTCGCTTCTTTCCAGAAGTGTTCTTGCTCTCTGCACTTATGCAGTATTGACAAGTATGCTACCATATTGCATTCTTATTGCAGCTAGCTTTGATTTAGCCTTTAAAGTGAAGCTTGCCACGACGAGCCACAGAGTTGGCCAGCTGCCAAACATTTGTGCGGCGAGCTCCGTTAACCACATATGCGACCTAAAAAAAAAAAGATTTATTTAAAGGGGCAGGAGGGAGGACTTCAATATGCTTCGGAAACATGGTGTCACATCTTTAACTTTGAATGTCTCGTTCGGCAGTTTATCTTTACTAAATGTGCTCAGTGAGCTGATGCAGAACTGTTTGCCGCTATTGTCAGTAGCGGTGATAATTTTTAAGGAGATCAGTGAATATGACTCGATTTATTCATCATTTGGCAGTGACCACTAAATACGGTAAACGACTTTGTTTTTGCATACTTGGGTGTTTTGCGAAATTTGTGGACTGGGGGTTTCGAAAACGTTTCCAGGGCACAAAATATAGCAATTTTTAGTGATGTGCTATATATTTGTTATCATGGGGTGATTTCCATCATCTTATACATATATATCATCTTATATGTGGATGACTGAACCATACTGATCAAATAGAAGAAAGACTCCACCAAATATTTTGTCTTTTGGCACCTTCGTGACCTTTATTTTATTTGATCACTATGATTCATTCTTCCGCATATTTATGCTTATTACCACGGAGTACAGTAAGTTCGTTAGTTCGATCTCTGTTAACTTGATTTTTCGTGATCCTGTTTAAAAGTCCCGGCGAGCGCCTATACATTTCTATGAGAGGAGAAGTTTGATAGTTCGAACTCGGGACGACTCCGCATCGGATAATTCGTCCCGAACGAATGCGCGCTGGTTCACATTGCACGGTACCACAGCAGAAAAACCACCAATGTACGGCGAAACACGATTCCTTTGCTAAGAAAAAAAACTGGAAGTACTCTAACCAACTGGTTTAAATTTCCTGACGTTTCGCGGCCTGCTCGGTCGCTTGTTCACGGGTGACTTATTTGGCTGGGTGTTTGTCTTTCTCTTCTCCTTGTTGCTGCCGTTAAAATCGTCTCCTTCTCTTTGTGACTCCTCGAAGTCCGTGAATATAGCTGCACGAGAGAATACCGATCGACCGGTTCAGGTTGTTCTTGGTATGCTGGATATGCCAGGACTCTAAATAGACGCGTTTTTTCCAGTTTCTTTCGGTGTCTAGGACGGAAAGTCCTAGCCTATCTAGCATACCAAGGACAACCTGAACCGGTCAATTGGTACCCTCAGAAGCAGCTATATTCACGAACTTCGAGGAGTCACAAAGAGAAGAAGACAATTTTAACGGCAGCGACAAGGAGAAGAAGAGAAAGCTACCTAGCCAAATAAATCACCCATAAACAAGCGAAACGTCGGGAAATTTAAACCAGTTGCTTAGAATACTTTCAGTTTCTTTTCTTAATACTCACCTAACCAGGCAGATTTTGCTGAAATGTTTACTTTTCGAATCTTTGGCTGCAAAGCTGAACATGCACAAATATGCGCCTGCTCCTCTACGCCATTGAGAGGGACCGTAGCGAATGACATGAGCCAGCGCAACCAATCTGGCCTTGAGTAGCGTGGAGAACATAGCACGTGGTCGGGCGCGGAGACAGCGCGCACTCTCAAAGTGCTTTTCTGTAGCATTGTGTCTGGTTCATCTTGCACAAAGGAAAGTGCAAGTTCTCTTTTCCTTTTTTTTCTTTTTTTTTTTTTTTTTTTACAGTGGAGCTGTTAAGGGCCAGGCTCCCCAGGATCGTGTTTGGTTCCAAACAAATGTCGACACAAACCTGTTAAAACAGAGGTTTGGGCGAGTTGGTTGTTCATGACTGACAACGAAACAGCGCACCCTCAAAACAAGCACTCTAAGCTTTCATGCACACAAAAGAAAGAGCCACTTACACAGCGCTGACTGACAACTCTACGTTATATTTACAATTTTTCGTTTTCTTCATTCTTTGGGACTAGGGTTTCTATGGCAAAAAATTGCCCTTTTCTTCTTCCTTCTTTTTCCTGTGTTTTTGTAATATGAAGCTGAACCATAAAATTATTGTATGGCTAAGTACTCTAATTCTTTGTTGGATAACATTATGGAAGGAGTGCTGACACATCTCTCCTTTTGCCTGGCAATGTTCTCTGCTTCCATGATTTCTCTTGTCAGCTTGTCGTAGTTCCTACCTAACACTGTGCATTTCTCCAGCTGCGCTGTGCAGCTTGGACACAGTAAACACACCCACAAGAACCACAGTCAAGTGCACGAAGAAACATAAAAACAACTTCGTACAGTGTACCGAAAAGGTGGTCTACTCCTTCCCTCTATCCTGTGGACGAGAATACATAGGACAGACCGGACGGTGCGTCAACGATCGCCTTCGTGAGCACAACTGCACTATCACCAACAAAAACTCTGGACACCTGGGAATACACTGCCGAGACTGTGGCTGCACAGCGCAGCTGGAGAAATGCACAGTGTTAGGTAGGAACTACGACAAGCTGACGAGAGAAATCGTGGAAGCAGAGAACATTGCCAGAAGAATTGTGTTGTTTGGATGTTTATACAGCCTAGAACTTGGTCTGCCTCACAGGGGCGACGAGTCTCCCAGCTGTAGATGAGAAATTTAGCCAGTGCGGTACAGCCGCTAGCCTGGGGTCTTTAACGTGCATCACGCAGTAGTGATACACGACCGCATGCCGGTACGATGCTCATCCAGATCGAAACGGGCAGGGGTGGGGCTCGAACCCAGGATCCCTGGGTTCTGCAGCGCGAGCTTTCGCTCCACGTGCTCCGAGCTGGTGTGCGCTAGACCACTCGGCCACCGATCCCCCAGAACATTGCCAGGCAAAGGAGAGATGTGTCAGCACTCCTTCCATAATGTTATCCAACAAAGAATTAGAGTACTTAGCCATACAATAATTTTATGGTTTAGCTTCCTATTACAAAAACACAGGAAAAAGAAGGAAGAAGAAAAAGGCAATTTTTTTGCCATAGAAACCCTAGTCCCAAAGAAAGAAGAAAACAAAAAATTGTAAATATAACGTAGAGTTGTCAGTCAGCGCTGTGTAAGTGGCTCTTTCTTTTGTGTGCATAAAAACTTAGAGTGCTTGTTTTGAGGGTGCGCTGTTTCCTTGTCAGTCGACACAAAACTCTGAACAGCTACCGCCATCTATGAGCGACGGCGGCAACCACACAACCGGCTTGCCGGCCTCGATCGGATGCGGGAACCTTTCCACCCTTTCCACTCTGGTTTTCACCAGAGTGGAAACGCTGAATTTCTCTAGGCGTCGTCCTCGAGGTTGTCCTAGAAGTAGTTCTTGAGGTTGTCCTAGACGCCGTCCTTGAGGTCGTCCTTGAGGTTGTCCTCAAGGTCGTCCTAGAAATCGTCCTTGAGATTGTTCTAGACATTGTCCTCGGGGTTGTCCTAGAAGTCGTCCTTGAGGTCGTTTTAAACCTCGTCCTTCAGGTTGTCCTCGAGGTCGTCCTAGAAGTCATCCTTGAGGTTGTCCTTCAGGTCGTCCTAGCCGTCGACCCTGAGGTTGTCCTAGGCGTCGTCCTTAAGGTCGTCCTAAACATTGTCCCTGATGTTGTCCTCGAGGTTGTCCTAGACATCGTCCTTGAGGTCGTCCTAGACGTCATCCTCTAGGCGTTGTCTCTGAGGTTGTGCCATCATAGTACAGCTTCGCTGGTCGTCCTTTCCTTTTTTTTTTTTTTTTTTTTAAGTGTTTGACGATTTGATTTTTTGGCACCAAAGTCAGTCTGCTCGTAAAGCTTTCTCAGCGTGTGCTCAAACCGCTTTTCTGTAGCATTGTGTGCGGTCCATCTTGCGCGTCGGAAAACGCGGGTCCTCTTTTCGTTTTTTTTTTTTTTTCTGTTACTTTTTTTTTTGTTGATGGTTTGGCTGCTTGGCGCCAAAGTCGGCAAGAAACTTACTTTGTTCATTGTTTTTCTTTTGTACGCGATGTTTTGAAACATATTGTTCAGTTTCGCTGCTCTCCAGAGCATGCTTTTGGACACGCATTTTAAGCGCAGACGGCAGCAGACCATCCGTGAGTACTTTGCACAATAAAAAGAAGTTTTTTAGCAGTTTTTCTGTCCTTTTCTTAATTCGATCATTCGGATAATTTGACCAAAATTCAAGGTTCTGTTGAGGTCGAATTAACGAATGTTTACTAATAGATTAGCTTGACAAATTTTTTCAATATATTTAAGGTTGTGAAATTTGCTAGAATTAGGTTTTTGCAAAAATTAAGCCTTTACCGTAGATAAATATGATATCTGGTATAACAGATACGGGTGAGAGGGAAAAATGCCAATATGGTGGTGTGCCTGTTTTGCTTTAGAGAGCGAGATTAAACTGAATTTCCGAAACACTTCTTTTTTAGGCCATCAGACCCCACGTATCTTGCTGAACTCACCAGAATAAAAGGACTGGCAGAGAAATACCGAATGGAATGGAGCAATGCCTGCAAGGAGTTTGAGGTATTTTATTGCTAACCGGCATTTTCTGTTAAAAACCGTATTTGCCCAATTCTAACTTGCACCTAGTTTTTCCACCCACGACTTATGATTTAGCGTGTCTTTGGTCCTAACGTGCACCATGTTTTTATACATGAGAAAACGCAAAAAAAAAAAAAAGATATTGTGCACAGGGATTATGCAAAGTTTATTTACCCGTAAGCGTTGCTCTTTGTTGTGCTCTCGGACAGTTTTTGTCGGTCTCCACATGCCACGGCATGTGTCCCCGGTACTGTCTGTAGCATTCAAATTCTGGCCTTTCTTGAACGAGCGCTCATTAAAAGGAATGGTCCGGCGAATCCCTTCTGGGTCAATTTGTGTGCGAAAATCTTATCATCTCACTGCTTTCTTTAGTCACGAAAACAAGTTTCAAACCCACTAAAAGCCTGCTAAGTGGCTTTGTTGTCATTGACCTCGGCGAATAAATAAGCCTCCTTCGGGCAGACCTCGTGGCGAGAATGACGCATCACTATTGCTGCAGCGTACATTTCAGTATGGCAAGCGCGTTTGCGAAGTTCAGTGTATGGGTGATGACTGATGTCGAACCAAAAAGCAAGAGAAGGAAAAGGGGAGCTCCTAAGAGTTTCGAGGTTGCAACGCACAAAGGCCTAGCTGTGATCTTGTTCTAAGATGCTATAATAAAGTAGAAAGTTGGGCTAGTTGGTTTTGGTTATACATATTGACAAATACGCAGCGCAAAAGGACAAAAAGGGAAGAGACACACCGGATAGAATAGAGCGCTGACTCGCAACTAGATATTAATAGAAGAAAAGGAGAAAGAAAAATATTTTGGTCACCATAAATTGCACGTGTAACCTGTGCCATGATATGTGGTCTTTATGGCACGCGCTGGGGCTTCATAGTCAGTTTCATGAACCGTAACGTTGTCCAACACAGAGATAGAGTTCATGAAACTTACTATGAAGGCCCGGCGCGTGCCATAAAGACCACATATCATGGCACAGGTTACACGTGCAATTTATGGTGACCAAAATATTTTTCTTTCTCTTTTTCTTCTATTAAAATATCCAGTTGCGAGTCGGCGCTCTTTTCTATCCGGTCTGTCTCCCCTTTTTGTCCTTTTGCGCTGTGTATTTGTCATTATGTATAACCAGGAAGATGCTAGTGGTGCTGCTCCTGCTGCTCTAGTAGCACTCTTGCTGCTTCTGAAGATTTCTCAACATATGAACTGATTCCCTTTGCCTATATTGAGCTTAATTAGGCTGGACTTTGAGAATATCTTCATCCACATCATGTAAAAAAACATGCCTTTTTTTTTCTAGTTTAGATTTGTTTGAATCTTTAGTTTGTACATTTGTCTTTTACAATGAAGGGGGGGGGGGGGGGGGGAGACAATAGTTCCCAATATTTATGTTAGTGCAGGGTCAGTTACGATGTGCAGGGAGCAGTTCGAGTTCATTCATAGGATGGGAACAAATGTTAGAAAGTTGGGTTTTAGTTCCTTCAATTTTTAAGTTTCTTAGATATTTGTTTTCCCTTTTTTTTTTTCCCCATCTCTTTTTTTCCCCACTTTATTGCTTTTTTGCACTGTTTTCTCCTGTTGGGTTTATGCACCGACTAGCCCACCTTCAAGCTATTACAGTGCCTTGCATATGGCACTGACAACATTTCAACGAGATTTTTTTTTAAATTACTGCATCTGGTGTTACTTCGAAGACATGCAAAGAAAAATCAGTACTAACAAGCATCCTAAGGCTCACCATTATTGCTCTTTATGTCTGTTGAGTCGCGGTGTTAATACATATTTGTTTTTGCGATTGTTCGTAGAGGAAAGTAAAGCTCCACGTGGAGAGAATAAATGCCGGAGAGACACTGGCCAGTCTGCCCGTTCTAAACCTTCCTTCGAGGCCGGACTTCAAAATTCACGTGAGTGCCAGCTTTTCGTCATGGAGTGCAAATAGACGTCGGCTGCAGCGAGCTTCTCCTGCTTTTGTCCCCCGAGGCTGTGCCAAGATTTGTCTCGTCTGCACGCAGATTCCTCTTCCTCCGCCGCCACCCGCCTTCCAAATGAGGGAATCTTCTGGCCTGTTGTATCCACCACCACCAATGGCATTGTTTGCTCCCCAAGGACCCACGTCGCGGCAAGTGCTTCTCTGCTCTCCATTCTTTTAATACTAAATCTGTAACATGGCTGCCACCTAACCGCTTCCGGTTTCGAGCTCCAGTGATGGAAGAAAACTACTGTGCCAGCCGATAGCTGGCGCAGTGCTCGTCTCCTCGCCAATTAAACACGAGTGCCTGCCAGACGCCCTGCTCGAGTATCGTAGTACACCGAACATGCGCCCATGTCGCAATAAGCGCCCACCCACTGCTTCTGAAAGGCCTAAAATATAGGCAGAGAACATACAGTCAAACCTCATTATATCGAACACGGATATGTAGAATTATGGCTTATATCGAATTGTTGTCGAACTGTCATAAGAATTACATGCATTTTAAATTTTTTGTAGCAAACTCAGTCGGTTAAAAAGCAAATATTTCGAACTCGGCAGCACCGCCACTCAAGCCACGACCAAGGACGTCATGAGGGAGGTTATTTTTTGCTTGTTTTTGTTATTTTAATGTCCCTATAACTTTTAAAATAAAGTGAAATTCAAGAAAAGAAAAGTTTTACAAAGTTACTATGTTCAGTGCGCTCAGGTTCGGTGCAAATTAAAAACCAGTCAAAAAGTCGTTGCAGGGCCCTTTTAAGCAAATTTCCGCCATCATAAATAGTTGACCTCTCAACCCTCGTCTGTCTTAGAGACATCTACATACTCAATGTGAGCCACTGGTAACGCTGATTCCTTTCTTCACGTATCCAATACGCTGGCAATGCAAATAGTCATAACCCATTTTAAAATAAAATGCAGAAGTTGTGCACATAATGATGGAATGCAGTTGGGTTGTAAAAATAAGTGTCAGATGACACTTCACAAAGCAAGACAAAAAATTGTGGTAAAACGCAATGAGGAAAACGAATATACCACCTTCGCCAAGGCACGGAGGGGAGAGAGAAGCGACAATTTGAAGCCACCTTATGGCGGCCGCATCCCATGATTCCAAGATATCGGCGCCCACGTGACGGAGGGTGAAAAGGCCTACAGTATCCCACTGCCATTGCACCGACCCAGGTTCAAGCTCCTCTGGGGCTGTAACTTTATATACAAACTTTATACATAACCTTGGTGTTTTTAACGCTCCCAGTGTGTCGATCGTTCATGACGCTTGTCCATGACACTGATTCTTACAGTTATCTCATAGAAAACAACTAATAAAACACATTCTGTGTTTATAAAAAAGCGAGAAAAAGGTATTTTACATTTTTATGCTGTCGTCCGTAGTCCTTCCCCAAACTGGGGGGTCCTGTCGCTCCAATGGAACAACGAATATTCTGTAGACCAGTCGCAGATTCTCTGCGACTCCCTGCAGGCCTAGGGAATTTGCGAACATCCGTGACATGGTGTAAGCGACCTCAAACTAAATGACATTTAACCCCCATCCTTGGAAAAAAACTTGCCACCATAACAAAAAGAAAAAAAAGTGGATTATCTGCTAAGAACTAAGTGTCTCGGCAAAGTGATACCAGTTGCAAGCTGAAATTGTGATTGCTGTTTTTTTGGTGGAACTGATCGACAACTCGTGCTCCTTTTTTGCAAATCTAAAATCCTGCTGCTGTACAGCAGGATTCTGTGATGCTGCGTTCAATCAACAGCCAAGAAAGTTCTCACTTTCATCTGCCACCAAAATCGGGCCCCCGGTACCATTTGGCCGCTGATGGGTCGACCCCTGAGCGCCGGCTCGTGTGCGGTCCAAATAAAGACTGTGCATAAAAAAACAAGTACCAGAAGATGCTTTTTCATGCCGTTAACTATGCTTGGATCCTGCTACAACGAACTAGACGGAACACCCGAAAAGTTAGTTTTTGTGAAGTCAGCAAACAGAAGTGAGATATTGGTTGTGATAGCGCATGAGCGAGCTTAAATTTCAGGAATCGGTTCACCTAGACCAGGGGTCTCAAACACGCGACCCGCGACTCTCTAGGAATATTGCCCGCATGCTATGAGCCCCCGTTCCCATGTCTCGAGTGCTAGGAATGGCATGCCCCATAGTGATCTGATTTCGTTGATTTATTTTTGCTCGTAAAGAAGCTCTGCTCTTTGTGACAATCATGTAACCCCCCCCCCCCCCGGTTTAACCTTCGTAGGCCCGCCAGGCTCGGCGGGCAATATTGCTCACTTGCACAAAATAAACGCCGAAGATCATAGCCGCTCGCGTCCATTCATCCTCAGTCATCACCAGGCTGTGTCTCTTCTCTCTGCGGGCACTTCGACCCTTTGTCTACGATCCCGGGCAACTGTGACACTCTTTTAACGTATTCACATAGTGTATACTTATCTCTGTTCATTTGCCCCTTGTTTCGTCTTATTTTTTGCTTCTCAGCTTTTTGTAATGTACAACAGTTCCGCAAGTAGCCTGCAAGCATGAGCTATTTGCCGAAGGATGCATCTCGGCTGCGCTAACTCTGGATCAGCAGTGGCAACTGCTAAAGATAAAGCTACAATCTCGGGATTCTCGCCTCCAAAATATATCCCCATTCAAAGACATATTTGTTGAGAATGTTGTAATAAAAGGTGTCAGGAGAGCAAGAACTGTTAAATTAACTGATTGTTCTTTTAGAGGCATGTTGAGCTTGGTTAATTCCTGAATGAATTGAGCGACGGGAATGACAATGTACTTGCTCTCTTGTTCCATTAAAATGCCAGGACGTTGGCGGGGTGTTGTCATTTTAATTCTTGTTATCAGATCAGGTCAGGGCTAAAGTAGTCATATAAAGAAATCAAATCTAAAGATGTCACTGGGAAAACTGAGTTTACGAAAAGCATAGAGCATGTCTCTTCTCTTCAAAATCTTTCAACCTCTCCCCCTCCTCTTTTTCAGTTGGCCCTCGACCTTTCTGGTGTGGGCTAGCTGGGCCACTCTCAAATGAGTTTAAGACCACTGGTCTAGACTGTTCGCACTTTTTTTTTATTAATCTCTATGAAGGGTTAAACCTTCGCTCTAGAAGGATTCGATTGTACCCCGACAGATGCGCTTAATTGACTTAAAAGAACTTGAGCGAGCTGGAAAACACAGTCTCCTCACGTAGAACGACGTAGCGCAAAATTTCACCATCCTGGCGTCCAGCATGATTTCAAGTCGGGAGCATGTCACGCAAAACCACCCTATATCGTCTTATTAACACTCTTTCAGTTTGCCTTCTGCCTATTTCAGACTTTACACATATAATTTTCTTACATGTTTATTTTTGTGTGTGACAATCTTGTGTTGCCTTACCTTTAAATTTGATGGTTTTCTTTGGTGATTGTGGGCTTCCTTCTGTCTGCGTTGTGCAGACCGAGGTTGCCCGTGCACCGGCCTCCTCCTGGAGTGGTGCCCCCCGCGGCCCCTCTGTTGTCCATTCCAAAAGTCCACTTTCCCAACGGAGCCACAGCCAGGACTGCCGAGGCCTGCCAGCCACCCAGTGGGCCCCCTCCTGGCATCGGCCGTTTCCCAGGTGATTGCTCCTGCCGCTTCCCTCTACTGTAAGATACCGCTGAAGCGCCCACTTTGTTCAAGCTTCCACTATTAAGGGAGGAAGTGGGTTCTCAAAACTTTTTTTTTGTTTATTGGCCTATCTCAACGATTTTTGGCACATGCATGCAGTTTATTGTGCTGATTTCATAACTGCTATCAGATTTCAGATATCTCGTTTTTGTGAAAAGTTATTAACAAAATAAAATATTAATTAGCTAATTTCAGGAAAAGTTTTTAATGACCTTCTTATTAAAATTTTAATGAAAAAAAGGTATCAATTGCTTCCTAAAGAAATGTCATACAAGCTAAAGCTATTTTTATTTCTATAGCACCATACAATCACGTAAAAAAATTAAAGTGAACAGAAGACATACAATAGAGGCTATAACAATGGCTAATAATGAACCGCCAGTTCTATGTACCAAAAAATATCATAATAAAAATAGCTTTAGCTTGCAGTCCAATTCATTCCAAAAAAAATAGTACCAAGTTTATGAAAATCGGTTGAGCGCAAGTGAATCAAAAAGCCTTCCTGGCCGGAGAATATGCTGAAAAAAACAAAGCTGAGAAAAAAGACTTTGAAGTTCGGGTATGCAAAAGTAACAACATTGAAGCTTTAGATGGGTGGAATGCCCTTGGTTTGAATTTCATACTAAGGGAGAGACACGGGTAGGGAAAAACAGCCCGATATGCAACAATTGGTTAGCCCTGAGAAGGGCTTTTTTAGGGGGCGTCTTCAAAACACCAGCTTGTGAATGGGCGATGGGCGTGCCTGACTCTCAGAGAAGCCCAGGACTATAATCCTGGTCTGTGCCTGCCCTGTGCCTTGTGGAGAGTCTCTTCTTCATGCTGTCAGCATCAGAGAACTCTTTGTTAGCCTTGTGCAGCCTCCGACTGTCCTTCTCGGTGCTCCTCCTGACGAGGGCAGTGCCAGCCGCGTAGCCCAGGCTGCTAGCTACGCTCTCGTTTGTCTTCCTCACTCCCTGGTTGAAGACGCTCACAGCTTCAGCAACAGCCCTCTGTACACTGTACAGTGATGCATGGGTGTTCTTCGAGACCTGTGCCCAGATGACGGAGTGCAGGCTTTCACTCGGGTTCTGCGTCTTGCCATCACTGCACCGCTGGAGCAAGTCCTTGTTGCTAAGCCTGGCAAACACTGGTTCCAGTGCTTCTTGAACAAAGCCTGGGAGGGCGTTCTTGTGGCCACGGGGTTGCTCGTTGTTGGCAACTGCTCTGTTGTAAAAACACCATGAGCTGGCTCCCTCGGGGCAGAGGTCGTGGTCGGGAGACTCGTCGGTGGACGACATGTGGCGAAGGGTGGCTTGCACAGCTTTCTGCATCGCAGGTACGTCGTGGCTGTGGCTCCGAAGGGCATAACCATAGTAGTTGGTTATCTTTTTTATCCTGTCTTGTGTCAGCCTGCCCTTTCCTCCGAGCACCTCGCCTTGAGCCTTCTTTTTGTCAACAAACGTCCGCAAGGCTGATCCCATCCTCTTGTGGACATGGTTGAGGCAGTCCTTCTTTTCAATATCCACGAACCCGTAGACAGCTTCATCTGTAAGAGCATGATGCGTCCTACTGTCTCCGTCAGAGAGGACCGTTGTGTAGCGCAGACCATGCTTCTCAAAGGACCTTCTGAACATGATGAGTGCTGCCTCCACCTCCATTCGCCCCGACTTGCAGTCTATGTTCTTTTTGCAGTCTGGCTTGTGCTCGGCCAACCACGCACTGTAGCTTTCCTCTTCGGGCTTTGGGCCAAGTGAACATCCCAAGCAGAGGTTGCAGAGGACGATGTGGTCGATCACCAGGCCGGTGTATAGCTCCACGATGCAGCCCACACCAATGTGAGACGTGCGACCCCGCGTCTTCCAGGTGCCATCATACATGACGTCAATGTTGTTCGGAAGGTTCAGAAAGTCTGCATAGAGGGTCCTCACAGCTTCAACACTTCCTGCTTCACAAGCTGCTGCTGACAGCTCACAGGCTTGCATCACTGTCGGCAAGTGGTGCTGGAACGTCTTATGGTGAAGGCCTCTGTGAGAAACGTTCAAGGCCGCGCAGAAGTCGGAGAGCGCAGTGGACCCTTTTCCAATGGACTGAATCCCTTTCACAGCTCTCATGTTGAGCTCAAAAGGCGTAATCCGTGCCTCCCCTTGAGTTCTGGGCGACGAAAAATGCTTCTCGCAGAAGCCGCACGACGGGCACGTCAGCACCAACTTCACAGCCAGCCCGTACTCTTTCTCCTTGGCTTTCTCGAGCGTAGGCGCGGCCAATCCGCACTGCCCACATTTGGTGCTCGCGAAGAACATGTTCAGCACGTTCAAATCGACGATCACGAACTGCGTGCCGGAATCTGTCTCTTCATCCTCGACCGAGACATTGAGGAGGTCGAACTTCCGTTGCGTGGCAGACTTCGCGGCCAAATCCTTCTTCAACTCATCAGCCCGCGCCGCACGTTGGGCAGTTTCGCTTGCCGTGTAGAAATGCGAGTCGAGTCGTGACGGACCAGGGCCGAAGCCGTCGTCTCCTTCATTGCTCACATCAGGGGCGGGCATCACGGAAGACGATGTAGCTGCTGGCAGCTGAACTTGCCGCATGTCCGTCTCAAGCAACGCGGCTGGCGATGCGAGCGAAGTCGTCTTGTTCCACGCCCGACGCTTCCGCTTGCCGTACGCACGCTGCGTTGAGCGCTTCACGCTAGGCATCGCGATCACTACCGATGTCTCCTAAAGACGTCGTGCTAAACGAAGCAGGCGGACGCCGAAAAATAACGTGCTTGAAGCCAAAACGCAACCGCTAGCAGACGACAAACAACGATCTCAACTGCGTTGCTGGACCTCTTGGCTCCTTCCGCGCCGCGAGGAAGGAGAGGAGGGAGAGGAGAATGACATATTTCAGGAGAGGAGGCATGCGTTTCGGCCAATAGCGACAGCGCTCGCTGCGGCCCGTGCTCCTTAGCCAATCGCTAGCTCGGTTTCTTTCTCCGGGGAAACGCGGTATTCTGTGCTTTCCCCGGGTGGACGCCATTTTTAGTGGCGCCAAATATGTAGACAAAGAAGCAAGCTTTCGAACGAGACCAAAATTGCCGCGAACGGGCGCGCACCGGCGGAGCGCGGAGGGCGCGCATTTCGACGTCGGTTTCCTCTTTCGGGAAGATTTTGGGCGCGTTCCGCGCGACGTAATTATAGTTTTTTTTATACTTTGAGTTTGAATTACGCTATAATATTTCGGACAGAGGTGCCTGGATATGTAAGGCACCCAAATACGGGATTTTTGAAAAAAGAACTTTTTTGCGATTTTTTGCATTTTTAGGACCCGCGTCCCCCCTTAAGGCACTGTATCTTCTTGGTGGCCAAGGAGGGGAGCTCTTAGTTTTCAGAGCTTTGGTGTCCTAAAGCAGTGTTGGCTGCTCAGAATTTGCCCGCAAATTAAATTGGCAAGTCGCCAATTTCTCTATTTTCTCTCTTAAGTGTTTTACTTGCCTCCTTTAAATGCGGTAGCATTTCTTTCATGCCCCCTGAAACGGGGCCGTATTGCAAAATTTTCTCAATCTTACTCCAGAGTAAATATTTCGTACCACGGCATTTGAAAACCTACCAATGTCCAGTGTTGCTCTCTCTGTGTTGTCACATGACGCAACCTGCCGGAGTAGCTCTGATTTATTTGGGTGAGATTTGGAACACAGCATTGTTGCACTGCAGTCTTCACAATGCCTTGCAAGACGAATGAGCGGACTGGACGAGCAGATAGCTAACAGGGGTGTCGACATTTTGAGTATGACTGTGATCAACGTGCTTAAAGGGATGCTGAACCGAAATCTGGATTCCCCAAAACAAGTGGCAAAAGCGTGCAACGGGATGCTACAAACACCAAAATATCACTCGTACAGCAATATCTCGAACGGATGACCTTATTTTTCAACAAAAGGAGGCGCATTTGACAGAAATGTTCACGCCATGTTTCTCTGAGAAGGAGAGGTAACGGCCTCGCGTCTTCTCCACCTCGCGGCCTTGAGGGAGCGAAGTCAAGAGAGGGGGAAATCAGGTATCTTCACGTCACGCGCCTTGTTGGCCTGGTTTAATCTCGACCTCTTTTTCCAAAAATACGGCCGTCCATTTGAGATATCGCCTTACAAGTAGTGTTGTAGGGATCGTAGCATCCCGCCTACATCTCCTGCATTGTTTTTTCTGAAATCCAAATTTCGGACATGGGGAATTAAAAAGAACTTCCTTATTTCTATAGATATCATAATGAAATTTACTTGGTGTGTTCATAACACAGACATAGGAGTAACTGCAAAGTTTCATGGAACTGTGTACGGTCGAACCTCAATATAACGAACTTCAATGTAATGAAATCCTCGATTTAACGAAGTATTTTATTTTTCATAATTTCTTGCCCATAGACCCCATGTATTTTTAGTCTCTATTTAACGAAGTCTATTTTGCTGCTATTTCAATATAACGAAGCGCCATTGCCATAGAAGAAAATAAATAAATAGACTCTAAAAAACAACTTCGCAAAAAAATTGTGGTTAAAAAAAAAATTATGCGCAAACGCGAGCGCTTGATAGGTTACTTCACGGGGACAGGCCTTCCAACGTTCCTAGGCTGCCCGAGGATACGGCGCCGGTAGCGCCGGCGAGGCATGCGGCAAAGCGGATTCCGCGGGGCTGGCCAGAAAATGCCGAGCAAAAAGTTTACACGCCATAACAGCATCACCACTGACATTCACTGATCATCATAGTCCACTGTACCGCGGGTAGCGCGGGAGCCAACTTCAGCGGGGGAGCGACGTGATGGCGCGACCGCACGGGCAGTGCCATCTAGGAGAAGACCGAGAAGACCGATTATCGTCTTACGACCGTGATCGTGATGACCGTGATGCAAAGCAAAGGCGCAAGCACACTGTGGGCGCAAGAGGGCAAGTAAACTGTGCGGGCAAGAGTGCTGTGTAGGTTGGAAACATTGGCACCGCCTAAACTAAACAGCTTTATTTTTCAACCGGGCGGTTCACTCACGTGCTTGCTGCCATAAGGGAACGTAAAGTTCTTTCTTTGGATGAGAAAGCAAACGTTTTGGACGCCATCCTGAAGAAACTGCTGAGATCACGAGCACTCGGGAAGTGCTCGACGCAATGGACGTACTGAGGAGGTACACGGCGTCGCATGGGCAGCAAGATGCCGTGCAAGCGCTCTGGGCGCTCGAACGCCGTATGACGCTGCTGCTACTGTCGGACAAGGCGCAAGCAAAACTCGCGGACTACTTTGCCCCAAAATAAATGTCATTTTCGGTGAGTTTTCATACCCGTAAAATGTTTCGGAATTTTTTTTGCATGCTAAAGCCAAATTTCGATTTAGCGAAATTTCAATGTAACGAAGTAAATTGCGAATTTTACCGACTTCGTTACATCGAGGTTTAACTGTATGTATATTATTTCTCTTGTTACAAAATCGTCCTTATCCGTTTTTTATCCCAGGCCTGGAGAATTTGAAAAAGGCAGTAGAAGTATAAAATTCGTTATGGCAACCCCTGATTAGGTTCCTCAGGGCATAACAGAGCCCCTTTTTTTTTTATTATTTCTGTGTTAAAAAATTTTAACACAACTTTGAATATTATGTAGTCAATAAAACTTGCATTCATCTATTTTTTTATTATAAATTTTTCAGTTTTTTTTTTTTTAAGGGCTTTGTTATGCCCTTGCAAAGTTACGTAGGAACAGTATAAAAAAGACAGTATGAAAAATCATTGAGCAGTTCCCGAGCTATCCCTGGGACAAGCAGGCAGTGAAAAAATCCATTCTGACAAAAATGCCCTTGAAAGTTGCACACAGATTTTTGGCTCTAGAACGACCTTGCAGGGTAGTCCAAAGTGTTCTTCGCACTTTCTTCGTGTTCCACCTATCCGACTTGATGTTGTTTGCTGGCCTTGTGCAGACGTAGGGCATCTTTTTCGACAGTTCGCTGGAGGACTAGATGCCGGCTGGAGTCCCACCGCAACCGAAATTTCTGCCATTGCCCTATAGCAGCCGGCGTTGAACCTTAACACCGGTTAATGCAATGCAGTTTCGGCAGCGATCATCGACGAATATTTGATAAAGCGGCGAATATTTGATAAAGTCGTGGCCACAGACTAGTTATTTTCAAGAGTGGAGCTAAAATCAGAAGTCCCTCTTCTGAATTTGGTGCTGCTATCATTGGCTTGTTGCACCCAAGGGGGTTAAAGTACTAGAAGAGAGCATGACGCCAGCCTTGTAGCTTCCGCAAGCAATCCTCTCATAGAGGAGTGTCCACTAATGAAAAAAACAGTGAGTGTGCAAGCGAGCTGGGGATAATTATTCATGATGTGACACCTGAGATTGGGGTGCAAAAAAATTAAGGAACTTTCAAGTCGAAGGAAAAGACAAAAGAGAATGTCTCAAAGCCTTGTGACGTTCTCCTCTGTTGTATTTTTCTTCGACTTGAAAGTTTAATTTTTCCGCACCACACTCTCAGGTGGTACGTTATGATTAGTTTTGCTCACCTAATATTTTTAGCCTCCTTGCCTGCGCTGACCGACTGAGAAGTAGCGAGAATTCAGAAGGCTACGGGAAAGTCGCACCCAGAACGAACGGAGCAATGCGTCGTCTGTTCACATTTCTGGTGCGAGTAGAATATTCCTCCCAGTATTTCTTGAGAGTTGACAAGGTATCATTTCGTGATACAAATTTGTCAAAACCAAATTTTGGGAATGTACTTTGAAGTCAGGAATTGTACTTTCCTTGGAAAATACCAGAAAAAAATACTTTAAGTGAAGTACAAGTACATACTCACAGAATGTACTTCAAGTAAAGCACCGTTTTCCTAAACCTACTTGAAGTAGTACTTTAAGTACAATGTACTTAAAGTACTTCCCAACACTGCATAATGAACACACTTGTTTTCTCGAAATATTGACGCATATTTGGGAGGGTGCGTTCATTATGCGAGGTAAACTTTTGTGGATTTACACATTTTTTGTAACTGTCGTTCAGTTGCCTATCTAATAGGGGCATTACTTTGGTACGTCAGCACCACAGTAACCATGCTCTTCAAATTACTAACCTTTTTGAGGGTGCCTTCGGCATTCTTTTTCCCAAAGAAAATGCACCCTACAAAGCTCACTCGGCACCCGAAAACGGACAACAGACGAAGACGCATTTGTTGACATCAGTGCATCCGATGGACTCAACATCTCCGGGGTCCTGGCAATCCCTTGACCCCAGCTTTGTTGGCTGTGCGTGCCGCTCGGTTACACTGTTGATCACTTCCACAACTTCCCACGTGCAGCCATAATGCTCACCTATGCTGCCATGCTTGGCTTGACCTAGCTTCTGGTGGCCTACACGACTTGGTGGCTGGCTGAGTCGAATGCAGTTCAAAACTCGTGAAGCCAGAAAATGGGGATGCATTCATTACGTGGGGGGAAAATAATTAAAATATTAAAGACCGTTGTGGGGGTGTGTTCATTACGCGAGTGCGTCAATCGTGCGAGTTAATGCGGTAAATATTTTATATGAAACTGGGCGAATATTTTTCTTAATGTTTTTGGGGTGTGCACTTATCCCCATGTTTCTATGTTATGAGCTTATTTCTTTGGACATACTTTGATGCAACCCTTTGTTTGCAGGCATGAGCGGCTCCCACTCATCCGTTGGTTCTTCGAGGGGTTCTAGTCCTGGCTCGGAGGGCTTTCCAGCCGTAACTGCTGGCACGCAGTCGGCGAGCCGATTTGACAGGGCGGTAAGTTGCACCAGCTCTGTGTGAGATACTGTGTTCTAAATGGTCTTGGGCTCTCTGCAGTGTGACATTTTCATACCTCGCTGTTTTCAAAGCCTGTGCATGTCAGCACCGTCTTACTTGTGCTCTAGGATGATATAATCCGCCAGAATAAATCGGAGCTAGCGGAGGGAAGAGTTGAGACATTGCCAGACTGTTGGCATAGTAGTCTGGTTGATTTCAATGCTAAGATCTTGCTCATGCCACTATACTCAGTCTCATTAAAACCGTGCAGTACAGCAAAAGCTACAGGCGAGAGAGCGTATGCCAACCTGTTCAAGAGAAGGGCTGGGATTCCCCCGTTCCTCTTTTCCCTCCTCTTGAACAGGTCGGGATACATTCCCCTGTAGCTTTGGCTGTACTGCACAGTTTTAGTGAGACAGAGTATACAGTAGAATCTCGATGATACGAATCTCGAGGGATCGCGGACAATATTCGTATAATCTGAAATTCGTATCAACGAAAAACAAGTCACATAAGTACATGAAAGCAAAGGGGGGCTACTTGCCGTTTATTGGTCACACTCCCGGCCCAAGAAAAGTGAGTAAGGTTCTTCCGAGTCTTTTTTTTTTTTTTTTTTCTTCCAATATCACCCAGGAGACAGTTTTGGAATGTGTAAAAACGTGCGCATGTGTCGTCGCTGACGTAGATAAAGCTCACTATGCGCTGCAGCACGTCGAGGACATGCAGTGTTTCAGCAGTCGTCAGCGGTTGCTCATCGTTAGTTACGTCGTCATCATCTCCGCTACTACCCTCCCCTTGGGGTGCCTTCACTTTGTCACTGATTTCCTCGACAGTTCGTAATCCGCAAATCACGAGGTTGTCATCCGCGGTGATGAAATCGACGGCAGATTCTTAGGTACAAAGTAGGTGCCAGTCCTGAATTGTCAAGTTTTCTTCTGGCTCCGGAGGAGCAGCCGCTGCAGGGTTTACAAATCCACGCTTGCGAAAGTAGTTTGCCGTGGTGCTCGCAGCAACATGGTCCCAGGACAGGGAGATGTAGTGCAAAGCGTCCAGCAGGCTTATTTAAAGCTCCTCGTCTTGCCGTTCGATCTTGGCAAGCAGACGCCTCACGAGAAGCCCCTTGAAATGGCACTTTACGTTCCGAATTATGCCGGCGTCTAGTGGCTGGAGGTGGCTTGTTGTGTTAGCCGGTAGAAACACCACACTAACATTTTTTAGGCGAACTTGTTTCGGGTGGGCGGCACATTGGTCGAGGAACAGTAGGATCTTCCTGCCCTGGCATGACATTTTGTTGTCAAGGTTTTTGAGAAATTCTTGAAAAAAAGCTCCCGTTATCCAAGACTTCTTGCTTACCTTATAAATGCAGGGCAAACGGCTCGCCCCTTTAAAACACCTCGGCTTCTCGAATCTACCGATGACGTTAAGTTTTATCTTTTCCATGCCGTCGGCAGTACAACAAAAAAGAATGGTCACTCTGCTTGCTCTTCTGTCTGCTCTTACAAGTCTGGCCCTTGAAGCAAAGGCTCCTCTCTGATTGTACATTGATGAAGATGCCCGCCTCATCAGCGTTGAATATATCACAGGCTTCGTAACTCGCAATAAGCGACGGGAGAGTGTTTGTCATCAAGTCATTGATGACAGATTCATCCACTTTCTTGCCTTCGTCCCAGACTCGTTCATACGCCAAGCCATGTCTAGCTTTAAAACGGTGCACTCAACCGCCCGATGCATGGAAGTTCTCAATGCCGAGCGAGAGCCCGATGTCGTCGGCTTTTTCTCTTAGCACCTTTCCATCAATGTTAACGCCCGCCGCGAACACTTCCTTAAACCACGTTAACAGTACTTTTTCAAGCTTCTCGTGTTGTGCTGTCTTCGCTTGTTTCGCATTGACGCCGAAATGCTGGACGTTTTTCATTATTTGCTCTCGTTGACCCACGATGGTGCAAAGGGTCGAAGGTGCCAGGCCTAGCTCTTTCGCCAAATCCTTGCGCTTTCTTTTAGGGTCCTTGTCCACTTTTCTCAGAACTTCAAGCTTCTCTTTATAGGACAGCGATTTTTTTTTTGCGAGACATGTTCAAGTCGCAACTCACGCTGGACAGACGAGGCAGGATGAGGGATATCCTCCCGAAAGTTTGTTGATGAAAATCGCACGAAGCTCAACAGACATGCACGTGCGGCCGAAAACAAAGGCTGCTTGCTCGTTGACGTTTATGTCATCAACGCCGATTCCAAATGTCATTTCTAGTGTTCACTCGAGTGACTGGGAGTCGCTAAAACACGTTTATCACGTGACAATGAAAATAAAGCAGCAACCCTGGAGTAGGTGATTGCGAGTTACTCCAGCAATCCGAATTTGAATCACGTGACAATACAGATAGTGCAGCAACGGTGGATGGCGGTATGTTTTCGAGTTTTGGAACACAGCCGCGGTTATTGTGATTGCGGCGCATATGTAGAAATAACGGCAAAAAGAAAAATGGCGGTTACGGTTTTTGGAACCGAGTGATGCCGCCCTAAAGGATGTGTAGACGTTGTCGATCATTGTTCGTATGATCTGCCGCGGCCTGATGAAGCATTCGGACTATCCCGAAACGTAACACATTAGTCTTAAGGGACTTTGGCCGGGGATTTTGAAACTTCGTATCATCCAGAAATTCGGATGAACCGTGATCGTATCATCGAGATTCTACTGTAGTTGGACATATCTTTAGAAAGTGAAGATTTTTGCATGGAAATTTTCTCGTGCATATGGGGCTTTTAATTTCTTCTGCATCTATTTATATGGCGATGTTTTCTTTAGGAGGCAAGCGCTGCAGCCGAGACTCCAGTGGCAAGAAGTGAGAAGCTGTTTGCAAAGCTTTCTTCCAAGTATCCGAATCACTCGGGGTAAATGCCTGATTCCTACCTTCTCTTAAGATTTGCCCTTGGGTATGGTGCTCGCTCAGAGAGGTTAAACCTTTTGAGTTGTGTTTCTTTGCTGATGCGTGTAGGGAGGACATAAAAGCTGCCCTACAGAAGGTGTACAAGGAATGCAATGGCCTCAAGGGCATGACCATTGCACAGATCATCAAGGCCACTTCAAAAGTGATAGAAAGCAATTCAGCGGCCGCTTCCAATGCTGCTTCCTCAGTAAGTGTGCCAGCATTTCATTCGGTTCCTTTGGTGTTTTTACTTCTTGAAGCAGCCTTCATCTGCTCTTTTTGATGAATGCTCTGTGACGTCGCAGTGAAGCTTTCCGAAATGCCGGAACTGCTAAAATTGCGTCATCTGAGATTGCAAAATTTCCTAGACAGTCTGAAACAGGGTCTAAGCTGTTTCACCTCATCCACTACTAGGAACCCAGGTATTCCTAAAAATACCCCAAGCTTTCAAATTTCCTTTACAATACCTATAATTTTTTTTTGTCCAGTTTAAGCATTATTTTAGAAAATGAGTGCTATCCAGTGATGCATATTTATCTGCCAAACGCTCTTTAGTGTGAGTTGTTTACAAGGTTTGTAGGCCTCTGCACCACTTTATTGCATCGATGCAGAGACTAGGTGCAGTTCCTCGGCTGCTATCGAGAGAGGTAGGCATTCTTTGAGGTTAACAAGTTAGAACCCCAATTAATAATGTGGTTTCCACATTTATTGGCCCGAAGTCCAAACAGAATTTCACATCTTCTTTAATTATCATCGCTCCTGTTGGCTACTTTTTGAGGACCCCTCTGTCCACCTTTATTGGTTACCGCCTATGCCTCCCGTAGCATATCTGCCCCGATCGTGCGCAATTTCGTAAAATGGACCCCGTAGATGTGTTTGCACAATGTGCATTCCAACGCTCTATTTAACGGCACGCGACTCCCGCCCAAGACTAACCCAAGCTGTTGGCACGGTTGCCAAGGTGTCCGTTGTCAGGATGTCGAGGGTCGTTGGCACGCTGAGGGACATGAAACGGGAGAGTGCCAGGCCGACAGTGGATGTCCAGCAAGGGCAATTTCAGCGTTCCTGGGCTCCGACCGGACCCGCTGGCAATGGTCTGGAGGCCATGCGCTGGAACGGCAAGGACTCCCAGTGCAGCATCTGCCTCGAGGACCTGGATGGAAGCAGCAAGCAGATGCAGACATCCTGTGGTCACAGCTTCCACGAGCACGTAAGGGACTGCTCCGAGGCTGAACCTTGACTGGGGGGTGGGGGCGCCTTGTCATTGGCGGAGGAGACCCTTTGTGGTCACCAGCAGAGTGAGAATGGCGGGGAGAAGTTTCCGTCGTCCTGCCCCCAGCACAAACTTTCTAGCTTCAACAATGCTTTGGTGTTTTGGTGCAAACTCCATCAAGCCGATGAGAAGCGTCTCGTCGGCTTCGGGCATGTACGTGCACCCAAGCACTGCGGATAGCAAGAAGCGCATATAGAGGTCCTGCTGTCCTCACCTCGTCAGTGACTAGTGCCATTCTACGAATGTGCTCGAAGTAAACTTCGGCTTTTACGTGCGTGCGCACAAGTCGCATGCAACGCAGTTGGACCGAGTGCAATGATCTGGTCGCCATGCTGTTTGCAGCGGGTGCTCACCCTGTCACATTTCCCCGAAGTATGAGGAGTCTGCACCAACAGTCTTTCTTCACGCATTTTCTTCACACCAGGACTAGTAACTCGTATCCCGTTACCCTGCCAAGTCGTTGCAGCAGGCCTGTGAGAATATTTTTAGACCTTTTATATTATTCGCGACTCCAACTAACTATAGGTGGCGCCACTCATTTTCCAAGATGGCGGTTATAGTGAGGGTCGGAGATGCGTGCCGCTGTTCAGCCTGTCTAGTGTGCTGGCTTCACTGAGCGACACAAATTATTTGTGGTAATACGAGGAAGCTAGGGTGTTATGAGCGCAGGTCACCTGTTTCCCCTGAAAACAAGAACGGTGTTTAACGTAAAATTAATGCAAGGATGCGCGTTTTAATACTGGAGCGAAACCGAAACTGACCTCTATTTTGGATTTAATTTCTCGACATAGGTCTTAATTTTGGGACTCTTTCATAACTCAAGCTGTGTCTCTCATCGTAATTATTTAGTTAGAGAAGTTGTTCGCGGAAACATTATTTTGTGACATACATTTCGATCCAGGCTATTTGTAGTTGTTGATGAAATTAATGCTGATATTTGTACGTTCTCGCTGCCTTTTCTCGCTCAGATAATTGTCGTGGGAAATATGTAAATGCGGGCCCTTTTAATGGATTTTGGGTGTTTATATGATTCATTGGTTTAACATTATTCCCAGCAGATTAATAATATAGTTCACATTTTTAGAATATGTCCCCAAACCGTATAAATTAATAAACGCTGTTCTAACTGCAACAATCCAAAGACGGAATCCGAGTCAGACAGCTGAAGTATGTGCGAGTTTCTTTTTATAGCAACGCGGTCACACATAGGATTTTATATTCCATCCAATGTTTGACTGTTTGTCTATCTTGATAACGATGTCAGAGTTTTTCATGCGCTAAATAGAAAACAAACTGATACCATTCTGGAAATACTATTACGGCTAAACTGCGTATTTGTTGTGATCGTAGCGTTAATTGGGGGCATAAATTTCTGCGATTTGTAATAATAATAATATTATTAAAATTCAGATATTTTAATACGTAATTTTTCAAGTTCTAATATAATTTGTTGCTTATGATCGAATTTGAAACACGCGAACAATTCTGACAATCAAATGTGTGCTAAATATCATCGCTGCTGTCAATTGCAGCAACTTTAATTACCAAGTAATAAAATAAAACTAGTATAAAATCAATAAAAAATTCTAGCTAATGTAAGAAATTCATGTAAAATTGCATTATGGGTAAAGTATGTTTTGATATCAGTGTCGCGACTTTTAGCGATCGGCAAAACATCCCAGAACGCCGCCAATATCCTTCCAAACCAAATGCAGAGATAAAAAAAGACATATTTTGTATGTACCAATTTTTTCATAGCATTTAATTACTTTAATTTTTACGCTCGGTCGTTTTGCCAATCTCAGCCTTTCAAGTTCGAAGGAACGCCTACCTGCTTGCCCGTCTGCTCACTGCAGCACGTTTCGTTGGTGTTGGAAGCCGGTGAAACAGTAGTGAGTGTTTGTATTATGTACACGAGCGAACGCAAGCGCTGTGTGTTTGTGTTAGCTTTGCGTGTTCCACACTGCGCGTGCGTGGAGCCCGAAATTGTGGTCCTGGATGGCGCATGGCGATGAGGCGCACGCACAACGTGTCGCACGGAACTCTAACACAAACGCACAACGCTTGCGTTTGCTTCTGTATGCGCAATACTAAACCTATCCAGTAACGTACAATCCCATACCGGCTGTAGCACTACGTTGGGACAGTGAAAAGTGTTATTTGATTGGGAAATGATATTTCGCGAGCCGGGATCGCGAGCAGTTCCGCCGCGCCCGCTGAGCAGGAGAATCTGGGGACCCTCACTAGAGCGCTTCCCGTTTCCGCCGCGGGAGGGCGAGCGTCGAGCTGGAGACGCGAATAGTGCACTACAATCAAATGCATTTATAATGTTTGTTTGGCTGTTTATGCCTGTTTATTGAGGAAGAACTAAGTCCTGGGTCTATTTTTTGCGTGTTAAAAAAGCACTGTCGGGTCAGTCATATTTCTTTCTTTTTTTTTTTTTTTTTTTTATCCGAAACAATTGAAAACGATGCCTGGACATTGGCTACAAAACTCGGTATTTGTGAAGTAAAGAAAACAATTACCGAAAGCAGAATTTGAAGTTCATGCGCGATCCGCGCCAGTGCAATGACGTCAAAGATTGGGCTGTCCTGCAACTCATTTCTCTCACGCCTCTCAACCGTCCATACCCGAAGTGTCGTGTTCGCCCACGTCCTGCGATCACGCTCTCCTCCGTGCCTGCCCCCTATCGCAGGCAAGGCTTCACTTTCGAGTTTGAAGTTCTTTTAGGGCCCTTTCAGCAATCTCAAATTCTTTGAAACGGTACGAGGTCAAAGAGAACGCGCAGTGAAATTTTGTGAGTGACATGAGGGGCCACGTCGTGCCAGTTCTGCATATAAGCCTGGCCCAACGGAATCACAACTGAAACTACGGTACAGAGACACCAAACCCTGTTGTTTTGACCATTTAACGATTTCCTTTTCAAAGTTTTGAGATATCAGGCATTTAAAAAAGATAGAAATAACCTAAGCATTTCTCATGAGTTGTGAATGCAAAAGCGTGCAAGCCGCTCGTCCGCTCCCTTTTTCGTCGGCGGTCGGTGCGTGTGCTCTCCACCTTGGACGCTCTGTGCTGATGGACACGCAGCGCCATGGGGTGAGCGGTCGCGGAAACTGACGAGCGCAGCGGTCGATGGGAGCCCCGTTGACGCGCACCAGCCAATAAAACCGAAGGAAACTATCTGCCGTTTTCGCGCTTCAGACTGATGACGCCAGAACGCTCCATGGGACAGTTAATGCTTTTGCATTAAAAGGAGAACTTGGTTCGTTTCCCCGACTCACCAATCATCCTCAGTGCTACATGTGCTGAGTGCCGCCAGCACTGCCATGTTTTCCGAGGGAGTATAAAAAGCCAGGAGGCAACATCACTCCCGATTCCGATTTTCGGTATTTCAAAAAGAAGGGTCGTACCGCGTTCGCAGTTGCGTTAAAAAACATGTTTTACAAATACCCTTATTAAATATTATAGAAATGTTGCTTACAAAGCTTCTAAATTTCATAATTTTTGTCGTCACAAATAAAACAAAGTGAGGAGGTGAGAAGCGGGAGAGAAGGACGCAAAACAAATAAAAAAGTGCGCGTGGGAATTATTTTTTTTTTTTTTTTTTTTGCATTGTGCTATTTTTTTGTGTGTCTATACGTGTAACTTCCATCGTATTAGACAAAAAAAAAAAAAAAACCTTTTGGGTGCCAGTGCTTTTTTAAACATTGCACAACCCTACCAACCGCGGTCTCAACGCTCCGGGAGAAGGAGCGGTTTCGCGGTGACCTTAGTTTGGTGGAGACTGACTTTGACCCTTGCACTCTGTGGTTACACTTCAGGATATAGGGTATTCGCTGACCTCGCGATCCCTGAATGAATTATTGCTTCTGTTGTCTTGCCGATTTTGTTGTTTTTTTTGTTAGAAAGAACTGTTTTGTAAACAAAACAAAGTTTCATTCTGCTATCTCTGTCGCTTTCCTTTTGCACACATGTGCTGCGACTTCGGGGTCGCAGAAATCGGGGAGGAAATGCGTAAACAAAAAGAAGTGTCTTTCCCTCCTTCGTTTTGCTTTGTCACGGACATTTTCTAACTGTGAGGTCTGCGGCTGGGTCATTCTGGTAGGATGAATGTTCACGGATTGCAGAGTCTGCGTTGGGGTATTTGTAGCGGTGGGTTGGGTGATGACTCTGGATATTATGGTAGATGCAAAATTTCGTTACGATTTGAAGATTCTAAGAACCAAAAAGGGGGTGTACAAATTGTGAAGAGTGCTCAAAAATGACTAAATGAGAAAAATGCAATTGAAAGTCATAAAAACAGAAGCAATGACCATGACATGAAATGAAATACAGTAGACTCATTAATTCAAGCTCCAGGAAGCCACAAACTTTGTATGAATTATCAGAAAATCTAAATATGATCTAAGATAAAATTATTATTTGCCATATGAATTAGGGCACATACAAACCAGATATTTGATAATTTCCTCTACGTAGGCCTACTGATCATAAGCAGGTATGCCACATATGAAACATTTGTTTATTTATCTCTTAAGAATGTTGTTTATTGTGGGCTCTTTAAACAGCACATGACAACTCGAATTAAAATTAAGTTTGTTCATCGAGTGAAGAAGTTGTCTAATGTGGATTAATAAGCAGCAAACACTTGAGCATTGAAAAGGAGCACTGTGCGGCAGTTTTCATAGCAACTTGCGTGGATGCTGCGACGAGGACCAATGCCTTGCTGCCACGTCAGAGCATCCGTGCAAGTTATGGAAATTTCTGCGTGGTGCTAGTCCGAGCCCGTTGAGTGCGCTTCTCACTGATGCAGTGTGGAAAAGCAACGCCCATGGAAGCAAGCTCCGCGGGTGTGGCCTTTCTGCAGCGCACCGGTGCTCGGAAAGAAGCGCACTCAATGGGGCCGTGAGAACAAAGAGTATGAATTAAAACGAAAACGTCGTTCATATTAAGTGGCTTATCAATACATTAAAAGATAGTGGGACAACCAATATATTGAAATTTGTTTGAATTAATCAGAGTTTGAAATATTGCGAGTTTACTGTATACTAGAACTCAACATGTATTCAGGGATATAGGTGCAAACATTTTGTTATGATGCAAGTATTTTATGGTCAAAATGGGAGCACACAAACTGTGAAAATTGTCCAAAATTGCAAAAAAAGGAAAATTACTTTCAGGGTTAAAAAAATGTATACTCATCAAGAGCAGCAGCAATTAAATGAAATTCGGCCGTAATGTAGGCGGAGTATCCAAAAAGCATCCAAAGGCACTAGAACTTTCCCACACCATACGTAGTTTCCTCATTGTTCTTTGGAGTAGAGTCTCTGACTTCAGCTTTCTTCACCATGCTGCAACAATGAGCTCATGCTTCTGTCGTCAGTCCGTCGTCATGGGAGTCGCCAAGGGTGAGGAGTCCTTGAGATGGAAGCATGCCAAGCTCCTCCAAGGCGCACTCAAGAGGCTTAAAAACCGGTCTTGTCTCAGTTGGTCCTACTCAATTGCAAGTGTGTGACGGGCCCTAATCGATGCATCACCATACACATCTGGCTAGAAGACTGCCGTGTTAGGCTTCCTATCTCCATCACTAAGAAACTTGGTGAAGCATGGTGGCGTCTTGTAGGGTGGGGTTCTCTGCCATATACCTACTGCTGCCTCGGTTTCCATAGCACGAGAAGAGCACTCGGCATTCTTCTCACGGACAGGGGCATGGAACGCCTGCCAGATCTCTTTTTCTTGGCCTAAGTCTTGGTGCCGACTGCATGCGAGGCTGTAGTTTGACAGAACTTCAAAATCTAAGCAGAGTTCAGTGTCCAAAGATACGACTGTGCCCACATATTGCCGTCAAACATTACATATACATCAGCTCCACCCACCTCTTTTTTCAAAGCCCTGACCGTCTGGAGGTTTTGGACGATGGCTTTCATGGATGCAACATGAACCTTCTCGCTTATCGCATTGAAGGTCTTGTGGTGCATAGGCGTTGGCAGCCCGAGGGTCGCGCAAAAGTGTCAAAGTTGCTCATGTCCCGCACTCACTGCATGCACGGCCACTATGGCTTTGACGTTGACGGCGAAGCTGTCGCGCAAGCTCCCATGGTCGTAGCCTCCGTTTGCACTTGTGTTTCCATTTGGCGTGACATTTTTTTGACGTAAATGTTGAAGAGAGAATTGCCTCGGGGCAGTCGCTGCTTTCGCAGTGCAGTTCGAGAAATGATGCGAGCCCCTCACATTTCTCAGCTGACTGCCGAATGGAGAGCTTGCGCTCATTACAAGCTGAGCAGGTCGTGCCGCCCAAAAGTGTCGTCAGCGCACTGATGTCACACAACACTGAACATGCAGAATCTATTTCGAAGAACCCGATTTTTTCCGAGACGCTAACGAACGTAAATGCAGTGTTTGGAGGTGTCGATCTTGTCAGAACTGTCACTGATATTGCCATTAAGCCTAGCAGGCATGGGTAAGCTTTCCTCTTCTGGCGTTCTTCGCTTCAGTTTGCGCTGTCTTTCTCGAAACTTACTCTGGAAAGGTTGCGCTTTTTTTTGTAATGTACATCCCAAGTGAACTCGTAAAAGCATAGAAAAAGAGTGATTCTAGTTTTTCACGCTCGACCTTACAGGGGTACGGAAACAAAAATCAAAATACTCAAATTTCGTTCGGAAATGAGTCAAGCATGATGGATAATAACCGTAAATGATAATCCCACGTTTGTATTTTGAACGACTTCATATATTTTTCGTTTCTAACGGTGCGCTCGAAGAGAAGCGAACGGAGAGCGCGATCAGTCATGGGATGTCTGGCGCAAACAAAAACAGAAAGAAAAGATTTCCCGCGTTCGTGGAGCAGCAAGGCAGGCGTGGTTACGAGCTTTGCCCTTGGTGGCGTTGTCAGCGTTGTGGTGGTGTCAATAGCGTCAGCGCGTTACAACCGAGCCGTTCGAAGTACCCGTGGGGTGACGAGCGTGTGGCTGACCCAAGGAGCACGTAGCTTCCACAACACTGTCAGCTTAGGGCTGAGCGGGGTGGGGAAAGCAACTTTTGTTTGAGTTTTGAGCAACGGGCTAATCTTCTAGGGGGAGAGTGGCTGTGTCTGGTTGCACGAACGAGGGCCCGAAAAAAGGGGAGTCCTTCCTTTCCGCCTTCTTGGACCGTTTGGTACGATGCGCGACTTGTGAGTTGAGGACGAAAGCTAAGAAGGAAAATGTTGAAATGCCAAAAAGCGGCGCTGCTTCGAACGAATCTGCTACGTCACAACTACGTAGCAGATTCCACAAGGTTGCTAGACTACCTCCCAAATAGGCTCCTTATGTATCCACCAGGTGCACATTGAAAAATTGTTTATTTAGCTTTAAAATTGGTTTTCTTGCGCCTTTCAACGGAAGGCGCAAGAAAACTAATCTTTCAATAAAGGGGTAGGGAAACTTTCGTTTCCCTACCCCTTTAAATGGGCCGTAAAAATTGGCACCTGCATGTAGTAATCTAAACTTTTTGTCAGAGGTGTTTTTCACAGGTTGGTTTTATCTTGTAAGATTACAAAGTGTAGCTCCCTTTTTGTAAAAAAATGGCGCCAAAAAACCTGCCAGGGTCAACGGTAGACGGTGTCGCAGATGACCGACTCAAGTGCGGGGTGCGTTTGGTGCACATATTGATAGATGGTGTCGGTAGCAGCGTCGGAAGGTGTAGCTTGCCAGCGAACGAAGCAGACTACACGCAGACGAAATCTGTTGGCCACAAAAGTGCCGTCGTCAGGCGACTGCATCTTTTTTTTTACTTTTTGTTTTTATTGTTTGCATTTATTTTTAAACTGAATGGACATTACGAAAAGATTATGTTCATTTAGTAGACCACGGTCTATCAATATGTGCGCCAAACGCACACCGCCACTCAACTCTGTCGTCTGTGTCGCCGTCCGCCGTTGACCGTGGCAAGCTTTTTGGCCCTATTTTTTACAGAAAGGGAGCTATGCCTTGTAATTTTACAAGATAAAACCGACCTGTGAAATACACCTTTGACGAAAAGTTTTGTTTGCTACGTCCAGGCTCCGATTTTTACGGCCTTTTTAGATAGAGCCTGGTTATTTCTTTAGACACCCGTATGTATACGGTGTTTCCGGAAACTCGGGCAAAAGTGCACCTGCAAAAACTGCTCGTCGCACAGAAAAGAAAAAAGGTAGATGCCGTAGTGGTCTGTGTCAAAGGGCCCATTAAGGAAAATTATTAGCTTTCAATATAATTCGGCAATCAATTAATTTTGAGTAATTTAAGTCTTAATGATTTTAAAGGGATGGTTTCAATTAGAATCTTCTGGGCATCATCACATTACAATGGTATAAGGCACACACAGCATTTTATGGTGTTCCGAAAGAATGCTTAATATAAATGCAATTCTGGGTTGTTTTTTTTTCACCGGAGCACATCTCCATGCGGGCAATCCCACCCCTTGTGTCTAAATCGCGCAATGTGCGTGTGCAGCCATGGATCGCACGTAAGGGTTTGCCTTCACACTGGCACCGACGTCAAAAAGGAAAGCCTTATGTGACAGTTCGGAGGCTTTCTTATCTAGCATCTTCTCTTCTGTGTTTTGTGACACTTGGGTGTGCACTTCTGCTCCGAGCATCTGCTCAGATCTCTCAGCTTCACAGTGTTCATAGAACTGCTATTGGTGCCATTGAGGCACTAATCTAGGGTTGGTGACGAAGCAGTGTCTGTGAAAACGCGTGGTGCAAGTACTAAGTTCTACATGACGTGGGACACCCAGAAAACAACTCTAAAAAAAAAAAGCATGGAAAACCGGGCCCGTGACAGGCTGCCACTAGCCGTGTACCGAAGAGTCATGTGGTGGCAGCACCTGCAACCAAGGCAATAAGAGGACTTCGTCTGGCCTCTGCGACGCATGCACCGTCCACACCTACATAATTTTACATCGTTCCCCCAACCGATGACAGTCTCGCGATGGTGTCACAGGATTTAAATGTTCACTTAGCACAGTCGAAAGACATGGTAAACCTCGCATGTTCTTCTTATTGGGGGTCAAAATGCAAAACCAATGGATGTTTTGCCAGGAAGGATTTCCTGGTCACCTTCTCAAACGGTCCCAATAACGGGCGATGACACGGCTGCAAGAGACAAGCGCTCGGAAATGGCCAACATTCACATAAATTTGTGCCTTCTTGAGCCACTGCGAGGTACTTTTCACTAAACACTCGTCCTAATTTTAATTTTTTTTTATCCATGAAAGTAGGTTCTGGGGTGACAAAACAAACACGCAAAAATTTAAAAAAAAATATTTAAAAACATTTTTTTAAATTACAAGTTCTAAGGGTGCGTGCATCTTGTTTTTTCAGTGCCTTGAGAAGTGGTACAAGACGGACCAGAGCTGCCCCAACTGCCGTACTCCCAGCTTGTCCGATAAAGACTTCCCCAGCCTGGGGAACTAAAGCGTCACCAAATCTTGAAAAAAAGAAAAACACGTTACAATTTTTTATGTCTGTGTGAGACAGCAGAGCTTTTTGTGCCTTAGTGTCCTGTTATGTTTCGTGCCAACTTAAGGATTTCTGAATAAACAAATGTCTTTTTATTCCAATGAACCAAGTGCTAATCCTACTTGCTTTATTCCAGACCCCTTGGAGGTGGTTTTTTTACAGGCAAGAAAAGGGAATTACAGATCATTGTTTTATTCACATTAGCCCTTCTGCATTGTCACATGCCGTTGGCTCTTCACACAGTTCACCAGTTATGACAAGCAAGTCGCAGTTCTGCAGCACACAATCGGTCACATCGTTGACACCGTGGGCCTGTGACAAGGTTCCCATGTCGGCTGTCAGCTTAGTTCTATTGTTGGGTCTTCGGAGACTTGTCTTCAGCCAGAGGTCGACAACAGGCTCTGGGTCCCAGTCCTCGAGCGAAGCTCCATTCATGTTTATGACCATGGTCTGCCAGAGGGTGTCCTCAGTGAGGACATTCTTTCTAGATTCCTTGATGAGGCATAGTTCATGAAAACCGTTGCGCGTCACGCTGCACGAGGGGGACAGAAGCATGGCTGCTGTTAGAAATGTGCAGATGGATGGGTAGATGTTGCTAAATCGTGAAATCATGACAGCAGCTAGGCTGTTGAAGTCCTTCCTCAGAGATTCTGCAAGACTAGACTGCACAAATGCCTTGTAGGAACACCACTCCTGAATGACGTCTGCGGGACATTTCAGTGACAGGAGGGGCCTCATTTCCTCGGAGAGCTCCCTGACCTTCTGGATTCCATAAGCACCTAGAAGGGTATCCGAATCCAGTGGCCAGTTTTTTGGATCCAGGACTGAAAACTTGCAGATGGATGGCGAGCTCTGTTCTGCCATCAAGAAGATTTGGAGGGAGACTGCGCGGCACAGCTCGTCAGCACTGCTGTGGAAGGACTGGATGTCGAAGTCATGAGTCACTGGCATGCCCTGGAAGAAGCCGCTCCTTGCTTGCAGTTCTTGGAGGACTGGTACTAGGCAGGGGCCTAGAATAATGTGGTTCATTATGACAGAGGCAGTGCTCTTCAGCTCTTCTTGAACTGCATAGCAAGGAAGAGGGCAGCCATCTGCCACCCTGTCTTGAAAATTCTGCAGTGCTTCAAAGATTTCCTTTAGGAGATGCAGGTAGGCAACAAAGGTGGAATTTTTGAGGCTCGTCAGAATTTCGGCAGCATCTAGCCTCATTTTGCGGTCAAGATTGTGGTAAGTGTCGGTTAGGAAAATGGTAATGGTGCCCCATTTTTCTAGCGTGGCTAATAGGAACTTTAAGCTGAACACCAACCACTTTGGATTTGAGGAATGAGTAAACTGGTCCATAGTGCTCATCGGTGTCCACACATCAATGCTATGGCCAGTCTTCTTTTGCAAGTCCTTCAGAAAGCAAAAGAGCCTGTAGAGTGTGTCTACACAATATCTGACTTGTGGATGTTCAAACAAGATTGGCTTCACTGAGCACTCCAACTTGTGAGCAAGACAGTGCATAGAGTAGAGAACGGGGGCTTCTTTGCCAAGTGCCATTCGGAGCCCTTCCTTTTCAACCCGATGGAGTGGTTGCCCATCCATTGTCAGGCAGAGCAGCTTCTCGAAGGGGGATGGTAAACCAAACTTTGCCAACATTTCCACAAGGGACAGGGCAATCCCCATGCCATTGTAGTTTTCCACAAGGCCAAGGTACTTTGTATGCCTGCAGCAATCTTTGATGTAAGTGATGAACACTGCATCCTTGCAGCTACCAAGGACATCCGACACATCATCCAGGATTATACCAAAATGCTTAGCTTGGTGAATATCTGCCACAGTGTCGTTGATCATGGACATTGCAATGTACTTCGAGAAGTCTGGCACAACATGGTGGTGATTTGTGTATCTTCCTTTGAGTGGTACTCCATTCTGTATCTGCTGACTGACCAGGATGGGAAACTGCGAGAAAGACAGCTTGTTCTTTTGTATCTGGTACACAATCTTGAAGAGAAGCTCGAACCTGGCGCGGGAGTCTTCTTCTTTCAAGGACTTCTTTCTGGACTTGACTGACTTTGCAACCACTACTTTCCTCTCGGCTTCGGTTTTGTCGAGCAGATTGCGGTGCGCGGATGTTTTCTCGTGTTTCTGGATGACGGACAGCTTGAAGTTGTTTGTACCCTCCACAAACGGCACACATTTTTCTTGTCCAAAGTAGGCGTCTCTGCACAGGACACAATGCATCGTGTTTTTTATTTCTTCGTACTGTAGCCATGTGTAGGTTTCTTTCCAAACAGGCCGAAACTTTCTCTTGCAGTCCTTAGCAGGTTTGTCGATCTTTAGCCGTGCCGACGCTTTCGCCGCTTGTTTCTTCCCGGAGCTGCTCACTTGCTTTCTTTCTCTGGAACATAAAAAGAAAAAAATACGCGCTTGCAAAACGGGCATTCCCGCGCAAAGCTCGTTCCTATCGAAAGGCAACCGCACATTACGAAGTGTCTCCCACACTTGGCGAAAGCTGGTAGATTCGCTGACTGGCTTTCTCGCTTATGAACGCATTGTTTTGAGAAAATTGTGAGCCCTTTCCGCTACAAATTTAGTGGTCTCCACGCCTCATACACGCTAAATTCCACACTACTTAAAACGCCGGCAAAAGCGCATGCAAGTACACTAGCCAACCGACAGACCACGTGCGGAAGAATAACAATTGTTATTGTACTTGCCTACAGACGCTGCTCATTCTGAATGGGTCACCACTTAGCCATTATTTCCAGGGCGATAACGAGGTGCATGCGATTGCATTCCGAAACTGGACGTAAACATGCCGGTCTCGCATTTCTCAGGATCACGGCATTGGTAATCGAGACTAAAATATAGCTGACTAATATCAAAATGTGGAGAAATCGCGTCTCCTCGAGCCCTATGCCTGTAATTTGGCCCCGCGGTTTTGCCTTCTTTGTGCCTGTGCCTCGCTGGGTTTCACCTTGTTTTTACTTTCCGCACACCTAGAGGGCGTTAGTCAAAATAAACGAAAAAAACTTCAATTAACGTGTTTCAATTTGATTATTATAAATTTATGTGTATGTGCGATAGAAAAAAGATTGCATTAACAACGACTATTATTTCAGGGTCATCGCACAAATTATTTGTGTAAGGTAGTGCTCCATCCGGATCCAGAAATCAATCGAGATGCGTAGCAAGTTTTTGTTGCCATGGTTACTCGATGGCTTGTTTTTGAAACAGATTTGACGTTGAACTCCACACATGTGTCCACCGATAAGCTATTTGCTACCTCTGATACTTGCATGAAATAAGTGCTTTCACATTTCAACAGCTTTGACATTATAAGATGTCTGCGGTGTCGGCCGTCTGGGAAGTGCCCCTCAGTGATAAAATACACAAGATCGAGTTTGAACACGGCACAACTACAGGTAAACGGGTGGTCAAGGTCGACGGAAAGGTACGTTTACGGTGCATTTTTTGCAATAAACAAATAAAAATACGATAAAAAAAATCGGGGGTCCAATCCACGCTGTGAGGGCCAGCGCACTGGTTCAGCGAAGCCTGCAACTATTGTCCACTGCAATATACCATATGCCGCCGCTGGTCGTATTGCCGTTTCTTTTCCCATTGCCGCTCCCCGTATAGGAGGTATTCACTGGACGCCATATTTGAAAGCGATGTTTAGAGCGCATGCTCAGAACGAGCTCACATTAATAGCCTGCTAAGACCGGCAACCTTGATGGTGCTAAATGCACGCTCTAAAAGGACTGCGGAAGCTCGCCGTCAGCACACACTCAGCAGCAGCGCACACGGATATGGCCGCCAGTGAACACTCCCTATTCACGCTGCTCCTCGGGGGTCCTAACTATGCGTGGCCTACTTATAGTGGTGCTGCGACAACAATAAAACCAATTGCTACTAAAAAACAAACAAAAAAAAACGCCACTTTTTATGTTGCAAGTTTCTGTCGCTTCGGCAGCTTGCGCTACAGTAATCTTTACCAGGAAATGTATGTATACGAGCTTCGCATTGTGCTTGTTATTTGTTGAAACGAGTGCTGTGCTGTATGTTGTATGCGTGATATGTATGCAGTACAGTGGAGATGGCACGTTGAGTGTAATGTCATGTGCAGGAAATCGTGCGGCGTGACTGGATGTTCAAGCTTGTGGGCTCCGAGCCGTTCGAAGTAGGAAATGCCAAATGTCTGATCGTCATCAGGGCAGTGAGCGGTTTCACATACGAATACTCACTTGTGGTGAACGGCAAGCACTTGGACGTGTTCAGAGAGCGCCAGTCGAAGATACTGAACACCTGGGTGATCGAAGACCTCGAAGAGCCTACTAGGGTTGTGTTGGGTGAGAAAAATTAGTTTGTGCCTGCAATTACACGCTTCAAAGAAAGCTCATTGTTGTGTATACCTTAAAATCGCACAAAAGCCTTCGGTAGATTTTCTACTGAAGTTTGGACAAAAATATTAAGTATATTTCTCTAGTGAAGATTTGTTCTTAAGTTGAACTTTTTTTCTTGAGAGGTATATGTGCCCATCTTCAGACTATGAGGTGCGTTCGAAAAATAGACATAATTTGTGACCCTTTGCAGCGCGGTTTAATCAAAGAAACATTATGTCCAACTTTCAGTATATATATGACAAGAGCATCTATTTCAGTGCTATGGGCTGTGAATTAATTTAAACTTGTATATAGCATTTGTCTCTTTTATTATATTCCAATTCCTGTGCATCAAGCTTGTCTTCATAACATAAAGGTTGTGCATCCGAATATAACTATTATTTTCTTTAGAAAAAGAAACACTGGATGTCTATGTGAATGGCACCAAGGTGGAAGTGGTGGTAAGCTCCTCCATTCACCCTTTTGTCAGTCGGATTGCGAGCTTATCCTGCCTTGGTTTACACTCCTATTCATACCTCTTCTTTCCAGTCGGAGTTTGTTGAAGGTGGAACCGAGATGCATTTCCAGGTGGGTCCCTGCCAGGCTTACATCACCGCATCCAGCAGCGGAAGCAAGCGTGAAGGAATCTTGCATTCTCTCTTCATGGACGGAAAACAAATTCCAGAAAGTGCAGAGTGAGGCCATAGAGTAAACTGCCAAATTGCTAGATCTAACACAGCTCCTGCTGCATTAAGTTCTTAAAAAAAAAATGTTAGTGGTTAGTGACCTTTGGTCAAACTCAGTAAAATTGTTTTCTCGTTCTCGCTCTCTTCAGCGAGTTTGTGCTTAAGTTTTCCCAATTTCTCTTTTTCCAGTGTCCTGTGACTGTTCTAGTTTTATTTTTGTCTGCTAGATTGTGGTGAACCGCAATATTGTCCAGAAAGAGAACCTAATTATATTTTCTTATCTGAGGTGACAGCCAATTATCTGCCACTTGCCTGCCTTCCAATGAAGTTGTTCTCAACTGTGCAGACTTTTCTTGTCCTGTGTCCCTTAGGTTGGCTCTTCCTCTGCAAATAATTGCACAGCTTGTTTATTTTGTCATGTTTTGACTAACCAGCCAGACCAAAAGTACCTTGCTACTGTACTCTAGCATCCTTCAGAAGCAATAAAGTAAACTCTTGGTGTACGCCGTTTCACCATAATTTGGCGAAGAATAAATGCTGTATCCTCCACTAGGCAAGAGTGACGGACCGAAGCACCCGACAACTCTCCGCAGGAGGAGTGAAATCCGACGATATGTTGTCATGTGCCGCCTCCCTCTGACATTTTGATTGACTCGCTGGGACGTGGCTTTTGCCATTTGCCAAGTTTTGCTGGAGAAGAGCGTAGTGTTAACACTTCTGAATTGCACAAATGTCCAAAGTTGTATGAACAGTCACAAGGTTTATGCAATTTTTTTTAAGAATTATGTCTGCTAAAATCATGAAATGGCTGCCCAGAACTGTTTCCAGATAGTTCACGTTTAATGTATAGTCTGTAAAGGCAGTTTTGGGCTGGAAATATATGTTTTCTCCTTAGGTAGTCTGCACTATGTGCTTACTTCACCCATGTTTTCTCCTGCTAAAAACAGCAAGTCGTTAGCTCTGACAAATAGAATTCCATGCTCACTAATGAAACAAAACGGATGTAAATCTGAATTCTTTTTCATAAATCTTATTGCTCTTATAATTCGTATTGCTTAAAAAAAAAAAAAGAAAAATGAGTGTGAACACTCCTTTTATTATAATGGAAAAACAGTGCAAAAACATGACAGACGAAGAACAGGAACCGACAATACACAGCACCGACTATCAACTAAATGTTTATCGGAAAAAACACAACGCATCACTTATCACTTTGCTTTCATATACGTAATTGACACCTTCGATCATACATGTTACTACATAACAAACACTGTTGACGTCAAATGTCCCTACTAGACCCTACCCTAGATCTAAAAAAAAAGCCTCAATGACGATAGTTTGTTTTTGGTGTCGATAGTGTTTGTTATGCATTATCGTAAAAGATTGAAAGTGTCGATTATATGAGAGCAGAAGTGATGTTTTTCCCAATAAATATTTACTGTAACATCCCAAGAGATAGCCCACCTAAAATCGAAAGCAAATTCGGTGAAAATAAATAGTGGGTTATAACTTTCAACGAGCAATAAAAACAAAGTTGAAAAGGACAAGCTGCTAAATATCCATGTGATCACAGGGAGGGGCGATGAACCAAAAACGACTGCCCTTCAGAATCAGCAATGTTCGCTTATCCCCTGCCGTAGCTAAGTAAGTCCATTTCTGCTGAGGTCACCATTGGCCAGGGCCCTGCAATTACTAAAAATAAGCCATCTTTCGGCGTTTTCGAAAAAAATAGCAAATCATGCCAAACATAGGGGTGGGTTGTCTTTTGCTGTGTGCTGTCTTTCCGTTATGTTATTATACCAACTCGCCCAACTTGTCCTTTTAAGTACTCTTTTTTAATATTGGAGGCATCACAACTGTGGTTCCTGAATGACTCCACAATTGTGCATTTACCTATAGTAATTTTAAAACCACAAGCAGTGGATGTTTAGAGTGTAACCCACGGGGGTATCGAGGGCAAAAGCAACACACTGAAAATCTCAGCTTTCTTGCTGACCAATGCTCAGTATGAAACAGCATGATCTCAGCATCTGCAGTGACGATTTCACTTATAACGAACAAGTTTTAAGAACAAATTCTCGTATTGCCTGCACAGCATAGAGTACCAACTTTTAAATGTGTGTAGTCTACTGACTATTGAACTTGACGACAGCTAGTGGCTAAAACAAAGCTGTGGCGGCAAGTTTGCTTGCCAGCCTTCTCAAGCTTCACAGCACCTGGCGGTCTAAAGACGAAGCCGTGAAAGTAGGTTCGAAAACTTGCGATGAAAATGAAACTTGCCAAACGTCCGGAACATATAGTTTTGTGGAAGAGAAGCATGCCGGTATAAATAATTGTGAAGATTATTACATTGTATAGCCCCCCTTAGTGCAGAGGATAAGCTATATTGCGATACATTATTTTTTGTACGCCACTATGAATTCATAAGATAAATGATCAAACATTTCAAGGACGGAGGGAAGTGACAACACAACCCCCTTTGCGTTGTCACTCTCTTTAAACTTTTGGCCCTTTATCATATGCAGTTATGTATCAAGTAGCCCATTTATTCATTCTAATGCACTACGAATTTTCTGACATGGCTGCTACAAAATCCTACAAGATGTGACCCAAAAGTAATGAGAATATATTCTGGCTCGCATACATATCCGATCGACGATCACCTTGGATCTACCTCAAGTTAGACTCCTTGGGAATGTCCACATCATTTCCAGCGATTGTGCCATCCCTGGAAGCAGTGCCGCAAGTTTGTAGCTGTGAATGTGCTCCGTGCGTGCATTAAATCTGGTTGAGAGTTCCATGATAATGACCTTTTAACAAACCTTTCTCTTAAGAAAAAGAAATCATATGGCACCAGGTCAGAGTCGTAGGCTGGGTATTAAAGGATAATGTTTTTTTTCTCAATCAGAAACTCATATTGTTTGTGCATACAGTGGCAGGGTGCATGATCGAAGTGCAGTATCCAAGACGCCTGGTCGGACACACATAATTCATTTCCAAAGTGTCTCAAGCACACCTCTATAAAAAAAAAAAAAAAATATCATCAATGACTGTTTATCCAGGTAGACCAATCTGCGGTGGTCTACACTGACAATGAATGTGAACTTCTCCTTTGCATGCGTTGCTCAAATTGGGTGTGTAACTTACCACACTCTGGCGCTTTATTTCGGAAAGGCGCCACCAAAACATCCGAGTGGAGGACAAACAGGTATCCCCGTAGACGGTGCATAAAATGTCTACCGTTTCAGATAGTTTTGTTGGTTCACGCAAAAATTGATTGCATTCCTTTGCTCGATTGACACCTGCACAGTAACCGTGACGAGCAGTTTACACTAAGCAGAACAATACGGCCACTGTTTTCCTACATGCTCCACTGCCGCCAACAAACTGTACCAGGTTTCTTCCCTTCCTCTTATGCAGTAGATGATGCAACATTGGCTGCATAAGAGCCCAATAAATTACTTCTCATTACTTTTGGCACACATCTTGTACCGCTAGTTTGAGCCAAGTTTTACCAAAAATCGAAATCCAGTTATCAAAATTGTTACACTATTATATTTATAGACCTTTTCATCCTCCTCCGCATGGGCGCTGCCATCTTGGAATCACGTGACGCGGCAGCCATTAGGTTGCTTCAAACTTGCTGCTCTGCTCTCCCCCCTGCGCCTTGGCGGATATTTTGTATTCATGTTTTTCCTCGCGTTTCACCGCGCTTTCTTGCCTTACTTCGCAAACTGTAGTCCGATATGTCTACTCAACGACTAAGACATCACGAGGGTTCAAAGATCCTTATGACAACTGAGGTTTGTTTACTAATAGTGGCGGAACATTCCAAATAAGAAGCGCATATATTTATTCCGCGCATTTAGGATCGAAAGGCGTCAAGAATAGTCAGTGTAAGGAGACTATCTTTATTTCCTGAAAGTATCGTTCTTTGTATTCATAATATATCGAAAACAGTTTCTTTTAATTATGCGAGGAAACTCGCAGAGGAGATAGACAATGAATGTTTAACTTGTATTTTATCTGAGGCTAGAAGTAATGGTACGTAAACATCAGGCGATTTGTTTGTTCATAATATCACACCTACATGTGGAAGAGGTTCTCAATCTTCTTTTGCGACATAAACATTCGGTTGGTCGGTTTACTTATGAAGAGAAATTGTATACAGTGCTCACTCCCATTTCAACAGTCATTTAAGTGATTTATTGATTATCTTAAGATAACCAAGTGTCGTCCACTTAATTTATTTTAACACAACGGTTGGGACTTCCCACATAAGAAACTGCCACAGACATTTAACGGTAGCGATTTTTGGAATAGAGTGCACCAAGAATTAACGTTGCTTCTATTTGCGAATCCAAAACACGGTTTGGGTTTGGCGCATGTGCAATAATGAAGCTTTTTTTTTTTCGTACGCTGTTTTAATTTTTGTGGGTATCTAAAATTTACAACATTTTCCGCCAAAAAAAAAAAAAAAAGAAAGCAGTCTGCATAACAACTACTTGAGCCCAGGATTGTCGATGGTGAATAGAGGTTTACTTCTGGTGGCTGGCGACGCCGAAATTTACAGAGCGAATCTGGTCAAATAAATATTTACTCACACAGGTCCACGAAGTGGCGCCTAGCACTAGAATTGAGCCAAACTTTCCGAAGTATTTCTCCTCCAGCGCCCTTCAATTTTATTTGGCCAACTTTACGGAAGACAAATGCCAGATTTAATTTGACGGGCCTGTCACTTATACCATATCTTGAGTAAGCAAATGTTTATATAAAAATAATTTCTTTCCTAGGGCCAATATCGCGAAACGCTGCTTATGGGTACTTTAGCAGGGTTGATAATTTAAGAAATTTCTCACTCGACATGTCAAAACATGCTCGAGTACTGAATTAAAAAAAAAGAGGCCGAGACAATACTACTTGTTTATATCAATTATCTGTGTCATTACACAATACGTTTTTAGTCTGCGAAGTTCGCTAAAGGTTGGATGCCCATGAAAACCAAACAATGAGTAGTAAACTGGCGAGTTCATCTGTTCTGCCCGATTCAGCGCATTGCTAATCAAGCTGTCGATATGCTTATTTACATTCACGTGTTAGTCTCTTCATTAGTTTGTTTTCTCGAAACTGGTGTCATCGGGTACGCCTGTAGGCAATAGTAATTTTCCCTGTGCATCAGTCAGGCATTTCGCAACCGGCCAACCAGCTAAAAAAAAGCCCGCAATTTAGGCTAAAATACACCTCGTAGTCCTCAAAGTGACTCAATACCACTGTTTCATTGGTTGTGTGCTACAAGAAAATGAATCGTATCACAAAATTAAGCAGAAACAATATAAAACAGCAACATAGCCGCGTTCATGTTGAAACCGAAACCAACCAAATTGAAGCAACCTAATGGCGCCGAGTGCGTCAACACCGTCTATTTGCCGGTGAAGCAACTACTAAAATGAAAAGGACCATATGCTAGTAATTTGTGAACATCAACTTTATGCAATGGCCCATCTGTGGCCAAAATCCCATTACTTTTGTTCTTAATATGTAAGCAAGATGCTCAAGCCTCTTTTGTTAAAGGCAAAATATGTCATGTCTGCTTCATGTTTTTATATTTTTTTACATCTGTTTTTTGAGGACATAAAAAAAAGTGAAAGCCGCTTACAACTCCCTGTAACGCCGAATTAGAGCGCAGCTCTTGAGGAGGAGGAGGGAAGGGCGCTGGGGGGGGGGTTAGACTAACCAGTGGGGGGGGGGGGGTCACGTGACCCCCAATGCCGATGATGTCATCACTGACGTCACCGATGATGTCATCAGTGACGATGACGATGCGGGTATTGACGTCATTAGTGACGTCACTGATGACTTCACCAGTGATGATGACGATGCGAATGTCGGTGACGTCATCAGTGACGTCGCTGACGACGTCATCAGTGATGATGACGATGACGATGCGGATGCCGGTGACGACATCAGTGACGTCACTGATGACGTCATCAGTGATGATGACGATGCAGATGTCGGTAACGTCACCGGCATCCACATCGTCATCATCACTGATGACGTCACCGGCATCCACATCGTCATCGTCATCATCACTGATGACGTCACCGGCATCCACATCGTCATCGTCATCATCACTGATGACGTCACCGGCATCCACATCGTCATCGTCATCATCACTGATGACGTCACCGGCATCCACATCGTCATCGTCATCATCACTGATGACGTCACCGGCATCCACATCGTCATCATCACTGATGACGTCACCGGCATCCACATCGTCACTGATGACGTCATCATCATTGATGATGTCATCATCACTGATGACGTCACCGGCATCCACATCGTCATCGTCATCATCACTGATGATGTCACCGGCATCCACATCGTCATCATCATCATCACTGATAACGTCACCGGCATCCGCATCGTCATCACTGATGATTACGTCATGAGTGATGATGACGATGTGGATGCCGGTGACGTCATCAGTGTCGATGACGTCATCGGGGGGTCACGCGACATCGGCGGGGGTCACGTGACCTCAGGGCAGTCACGTCACCTCGAGGAGGGGGTCACGTGCCCCCCCACGAAGTCACGTGACCCCGGTGGGGGGCTCGCGCGGTGCATTATGGGACATTTCCCATGATGCACCGCGCGGTTACGCCGACGCCGCTCAAGCCGGAAACGGGCCCCTAAGAGCTGCGCTCTAAAAGACTTGTATGAGTGTACCAAAAGCAGCTCTAAAATGCAGCTGGCAAACTGCATCCACCCACTCTTTGTCTGGCATAATAAGGCATTAAGGTGCAGCTTTGACAATCTGTATTCCTCTATGTGCCCCAAGGTTAACAGGCAAAATAGCATGACAAGCAAGTATGTCAATGACTATAAAGGCAACGTATGAAGAGGTCATACAAATTTGTGTTGAACCATAGAAATTTGGCCGAGTTGGTGATGCACCGGAACGAAAAAACAGCACAAACAAACAACAGGCCAGTAGTTTTACTGGTTAGTCGGTTTTTTTGCACAGTTTTTCTCACTCCGAATGTTGTGTTGCGTTCCTTTGCCTGTCTCCAACCTTGTCACTGCAGATTGCTATTTCCACCAAGGTTTACAGGCACTGACAGCTAGACGCAAATTTATGGGTCAGGTTTGGCGGTAGCAGTAGCCATTTAACTGGAGGGGAGGGGGGCAGGTGTCTGTTGAGAGATGACGTTACAACCGAAACGTTGCCCAGGTCTATTTTGTTAACCAAATATTTGCTATGTCACCCAAAACCAAACTTCTGACTGATGTGTATCAACTTTTTCCATTAAAAAAAGAAGTTGACCTTGGGTGGCTTAAGAAGAGCGGTTGCCCCCATTCCCGAAATCCGCCAATGCTGAAAGAAGAAGAATTCAGGCAAAAACAGACATTTTTGCAACGATGTGTTCTGCAATTATGTGCCTTCTGTACAAAATATACAGGAAACCAGACTGAAATTTGAACCCTAGGCGTGTGGTTTAGTTTGGCTGAGCAGGCAAGATCTTTGCACTGAGGTAACGAATTCGGTCCTTGGATGCTGGCCTCAGTTTTTGGAGCGTATCGAAGCTGAGTTCGACAACGCTGTATCCCAAGTTTTCCAGCAGCCGGATCCTTGTTGCGTGTGCCCCCATTGGGTGACTGCCGTCCATGCAGTAGTGTTCGGGTAGGGCGATGATCACAGCGAGCCTGGGTGTAAAAGCATTCTTTTGCACGAGGACATTGCACAGCAGACACCATATGCACTATGAAGAACTGGAACCCACTCTACATAACCCTACACTCTGTGGTATAGAGTTGCTTCAATATCTGCTATACTTCGTTTCAGCTTCGGTCCGAGCGTGGCCGATGTTATGAGCCGAAGGGCCAATCAAAGAGCGAATGAGGCACAACGTCATGGCGTGCTCTCTGCAGTTCATAGGACCAGCCTGTATTCGCCGTCTCTCTGTGCGTCCTCCTCCGCCGGTTAGTCCTATCAAGCCCAAAGAGAACGCCATGATGTTGCACTTTTTACGCTGTTTGATTGGCCCTTCGGCCCATAACATCAGCCATGCTCGGACCTAAAGGTAAACAAAGTATAGAGACTTGGCAGTTTCTTCAATATATGCTAGAGGCTCCAGTATGCCATTTCAAATTGAATGACAGCAAGTAGTAAAACAGCGTTTTCTGGCAATACATACATATGAAACAAATATGATGCACTTTTGCTTGTTAATTACTTAGGTAGCAATGGATTGCTTGCTATGCAAGGAGACTACCATAGAATACCGCACATCCACCTCTTCCACACTAAGCGCCCATTCCCAAATTTGTAAGATCTGAGAAAATGTGCAGAGTACATTTATATGTAAAATTAATGATTGGACAAGCGCCCCTCCTTCGTTGTTTCACGATTACCTCCAAATTTTGAGTGGGCGCTTGCCCGGTATATTACGGTACACCTAAAACTTTTTTTTTTCCGAAGGAGTTACAATGAAAACGATGCTGGGGTACTACTGTCACTAAAACCTGCTTTCAGAATTGCCTGTCTTGTTCAGTGTGAAGTAAAACATGCCACTTATCTTGAAATAACATATTTACTGCAACGAAAAAACCTGAGTCTACAGACCAGCTGGTGACAATTACCTAGTTATAATGTAACGCCTGAGACTGTTAATTGTGTAGAAACATTGATGAACTTTCAAGTTGAAGGAAAAGCCAAGAGTAGGAGAATGTATCAAACTCGGCTAATTTCATTCATTTTTCTCGCTCCTTATATACACCCGATGCTGATGTCATCGGCCTGATGTCGCCAACCCATGGCCTCGGCTTTCTACCATCGTCACTCAGCCACATCTCTCATGGAAAGAGCAACATCTATCGCCGGAGCGGCAACTGAGCTGAGCAGCATTCCAAAGCAACGCACCACCTGCTCGCCTCTGGCTCAGCGCCAGCTGTGTGACGCTCATACTGGTCCGAGGCGCTGACATCAGCACAGCCATTCTCTCCCTCTCTCGCGAGCGGAAACAAAACCTCCTCACCACCCCATCCTCTTCACAATGTCATGCATGGCGCTGATATACAGACTGACACTGGCAGGTTTTCGTGAAAACGAGCATTTTATGCCAAAACATTACAAATTGGCAGCAACCTTAATGCAGTAATCACACGAGGGAGAAACCTTCAGACGGAGCTGCATGACGTCAGCTGGCGAGGCGTGTCTCCTCACTTCTGATGCGGAACCAGCGTCGCAGTCGAGGTGTGTTTGTGTCATCTAAGCATTTCCTCCGCGCCTCCGTCATGGAGCTCGACGTCACCGCGCTGCCTCAGAAAAGCGTGACGTCAGCATCACATGACGTGCACTCTGCAGGGCAAAGTGGTGGATTTGTTTCTTGTGTGAATACCCCATTATCCCCACCCCATTATCCCCAAAGTCCATGCGTGAAATAAGTATCTAAAGGGACACTAATACCCCCCCAAAATTTTTTTTTTTTATTTTTTGTTAGGCGATTTAATACAGTGTCAGAAGACTACTCAATCAATATCTTGCTACCGCATCACGTCTCTTCCTTATAAAGTCAAAATACGCAACTGCTCAAAACCAAAACCAGACTGGGCAGGAAGGCGAAATATAAAGTTACCGGAAGTCAAGTGTCTGTGCAACTTTTTTTCTTTTTCAATCAACATATCTGCAACTTTTTAGAAGCCACAAAAAATCGATACATATTTTTTTTAATGTTGTTAGTATTGGCGACGAGATGTTTTAGTGGTGCCATTTCGCGGGCGCCCTCCTGTGACAAAGCTGGTAGGATGCGAGCAGACGACACGCTATGTCAAAACACTGAGTGGCCATGTTAGTTTGCATCTCTGCCGATTAAAAACAGTTTATTTATTACAGAGACATATATGACATTTTTGTCAGTGATTTTTCTAATGAATAACAAAGCCCCCAAGTTGTTTTTCTTATTTAAAAACATATAAAATGTTTAAAAACAACCCTGGAGCTTCACATTACTGCTTGCATGGCGTGCTTCAGGGCTTTTCACAGCCTCTGTGATTCTTGTTTATTTTGGATCTGTGGAGGCTGCTGTAGAAAATGGTTTTGCATTTACCAGAGTAAATGACATGCTGTCTTCTTAGCTGCGCAGGCACGCACAGTTGTGTTGCAAAGCGCCGCACACTTGTTTTAGCAACATTGAAGTTGCCGATACTGACGCTTTTATCCAAGTGCGACTCGACAGTTGCCGATACCGACGCTTTTATCCAAGTGCGACTCGACAGTTGCGACAACAAATGCTCGTCAGCATCTGACGCTTAGCTCTTCCCGTATAGAATATGTGGCGAAGAAGTTTGTCACATCGTGACCTCTGCTTAAAAAAAAGCTGAATTTCTTATAAGTTCTTAAATTGTCGGACATAGCCCGGCAAATTCAGGCAATTGATTAATTTGTTCTGTCCAATTTTTACTAAGAATTGTTTACACATGTAAAGTCGCTCGCTGAGAAGTGCATCTCTCATGATATGCATTTGGGACCGCAAAATTAAACATACAAATGGCAGTAATTCATAGCAGGTGTATACCTCATTCTTTTGGGACACTAAAGTGTCACCAACTTACTAGATTTAAACAGATGCTGAACCAAACATTTCAGTGTCTAAAATAAGTGGCGCACTTTCCATGAGTCAGCAGCCGCCGGTGTGTGCGAGCACATGCAACGAAATTACGTCATCATGCTTGGATGGGGGATATGAAATGTTTGGTTCAGCATCTCTTTAAGACTTTGATTGCAAGGAGGTCTTGCATGTTTCGCGTCGAACGGGTGAATAGACAGGAATTTAATTGAAACGATTACGGAAGCCTACCACCGCTTCTTCCTGCCAGTTATTTTGAAGAAATATTCATTTATTTGTTCACAAAATTCACAAAGGAATCAACTCGGAGCTAGGAAGAGAACAGCACTCGGAGAACACGTTGGAACCAACAGGACACATGGAGTCGCTTTCACTAAAGTGTTTACTACATACTCAAGAGGTTCTCGAATTTCGCTTTCCTTTTTTCAACTTGATGAGTCATTCCTTTCTCAGTTCTATTTTGTCCGAATCATAATAAAAAATATACCCTATTCGCGTGATAGATGTAGTTGGGTAAAGTGCTGGATATTGCATTTTCATCATTCAGCTTTTTGTACTGGGGTAGAGAACAGCACATTCTCATTCCAAGGCTTTGACACCTCAGCGCCAAAACTGTTCGTTAGCGTGACTACGTGTGCCACCGTTTCAAACTTCGGTAATATGTCCTACTACAAATATCACTTCACAAAATAAACACAACGCGTAAAACAGGCTCTGCCGCGCATTACCCAGACAGCGCATGAAGCGAGCTGACGAACCGAGGGATCCAAGATCTGCACATTCTGTCCGAGTCTGTCCCAGTGCCCTGGGTAGTGTGGCTCTCATATGTCATGTACAAATTAAAAACCTTGGCCACCATAAATACCCTTTCAGTGTCCCTTTAAGGTGCGATCTCGTTTAATATTATTTAGAATACACTATACTGCCATTCCAGGGGGTGAAGAACCTTTGTTTTTATCAATTTCCCTGCTACATTGAGGGGGGGAACTGGGTGCATAGATCACAAGGTGTCAATTTTCCCACCAAATATAGTGGGGAGACTAAATTTGTGTATAGGTCATGCGACGTTAATTTTCCTGCTCGATTTAGTGGGGAAATCGTAGTGATGTGTATGTTACATCCCAAGTCACGTGACAAATTTTCCCGCTGAATATGGCAGGGAAACTGAATGTGTTTAGGTAAGGGTCAACCCACACGCGCAATGTCTTGTCCGCTAGCTCCCGAAAGGCTTCGTGTCGTCCGCTAGCTCCCGAAAAGCTTCGCGTCACTCAGCAAGAGTTTCAACACATGGTTGAGATCAGCATTGCTCGCCCATCCTCGGGTAGTTGGTCCTCTGCCCTCCACCTAGTCCCAAAGAAAACAGGTGACTGGCGACCCTGCAGCGACTATCGCAGCTTAAACGTGGCTACAGTCCTCGACCACTACCCTATCTCCAACATTTAAAACTTCACTACCAACCTGAACGGATGTACTATATTCTCGGAACTCGACCTACAGAAAGCGTACCATCACGTCCGGGTCACCAATGTGGAGGTACTGACGAAAGGCGACTACGTCTGATGAAATCCAATATCAGTTCGATCTTGGATTTCACCAGAGGTAGTCACCTTTCATCAGACTCTCCACAAAGTCATCTGACAGTGATGTTCCAGCCAAATTTAGCAAGGGAAGTAAATTGGTATATAGACCACATGACATCAGGTCATATGACAAATTTTTCTACTAAATCTAGCAGAACTAAATTGGTGCATAGGTCTTGTGACGTCAGGTCATGTGACATCAAATTTCCTGCCAAGTCACAATACATAAATATTTCTGCTAAATTTAGTGGGGAAACTGAATTGGTGTATAGGTCACATGCTGTCAGGTCATGTGACATCAATTGACGTCACACGACCTGGGCACCAATTCAGTTTCCCCGCTAAATTTAGCGAGAAATGGACGGACGGATGGAGAAAATTGAGATTGGGGAGATTTGTTAAAATCATTTTACGTTTAAAAAAATTAAATCAGATGAGTTTGAAACATTCTCCTACTGTTCTTCTCCTTCGACTTGAAAGTTTCTTCATTTTACCGCACCAGTCTCGGGTGTTACATTATGATGACATATTTTCCCCTTATTTTTGTCACTCTGTCGAAAGAAAGTGAGCAATGAATAGAGCCTTCAATGCACTAACATTTTTTAATAAAAAATGCTCCCTTTCTTAGATTTGTTTTGTGTCCTTAGCCTTTGAAATAGCCTGTTCACAGAACAGTCAGCAGAGACAAGTGGGAAATCAAAAAGTGAAGTCCCAAGCGAACAACACATTGGGATTGCTATTTGAAAACCCTGCTTATACACAGAGACTTGCCACTAGTGGATCAAAGGAAAGTGCTAGCCAAATAATAAAAGTTCAAGAAAGGAAAAAAAAAGTTATAAGGCCAGCTTACTTTTTGTCAACTCCAGCAACAGCATTTGAAGTTACAGGCTTTCCTTGTTTGTTCAGCTGTACCACATAATCTGGAGAAAAATTGCAGATGGAAAGGGTTATAGGTCATTTTCACGATTCCATCAATCAGCAATGTCAGCATAACTGCCCATGGATCAGGAATGGGTTACCTATGATGTACATGTCGAGTAGGGGAAGACGTGGCTGCACAACCGAGAAGCTGAAGTTTTCAACACCCACAACCTGCTCCATGTCTTCTTGCAGCGAGCACATCAGTCGCAAGAGCCTGCCATCTAAAGAGCATTATCAGCGGTCACAGCTTGCTGCTCATATCTTTAGCGTAACACCAAACATCTGTAATGCCAGACTGACTCCTTGTAGTACTCTACTGCATGAATCAAATATATCACTGGCCCTTCGTAGAGACTACAAAAATAATTTCTACTTAATGTATTGAGCTACAAGTTTATACAGGGGTGGCCAAAGCTGGTACACTATGTGCATTAAATTTTCAGAGAATAAGCTAGCTTGTGTAAGGAGCAACAAATTAATAGTACGAATCTGATACCTATGATTGCTGTTTGCTAACAAAAGAAGTTTGATTGGTGCAACACCTGACAGATGGTGGCAGTGCTTGACATAGCAAAAATAGCATGACCAAGAGTCTTTCTTGTTGGTATTGTGTTCAATCAACGTGTTTTATTAGTAAAAATAAAGAAATTGTGGACCACACCGAAAAAGCCCACACCGCAGTTGACTCGTAAAATATTGTCTGCTATCGGACGCCCTTACTCCTACCTGCCTCCGTCTATCGGCTATTACGCCAATCAAACGCCTTTTGTTAGCAGACGGCTACTGTAGCTAGCAAATTCACGCTCTTAATTTGTAACCCTTTACTTGGGTAAGCTGATCCTTCAACATTTTCATACACGAAACATAACATCTTCGGCCTCCTCTGTACAAACTTATAGCTTGACACATTATGAAGCCAATTCATGTGGTACCTTCAAAGAGCCAAAAATACTTCTGACTCGCACAGTAGTTACTACAAAGTACTGTATTCTAATATCACTTAGTACTCTACAGCTGTCATTCTGGTCATTGCTACCACTTTGCTCTACCTTTACTAGTGGCACTACCATACCTCTTTTTACACTTTTGGCCGAGTAGTCCCTGGGCAAGAAAGGTCCGTAGTACTGCTTGCACTCCAAAGTCAGTGCAGAGTCGAGGAACTTGAGTTTCTGGTGAGTCTTTCGGAGGATGCTCTCTTCCAGCGTGTCTGAATGGAAATTCCCACAATAAAACTGCTTCAAAGTTGTTTTGGAGCCAGTACAAACAGTAGAATACATGGAGGAGAGCTAATTGTGAACTTCGAATAAAACGTGAAAGATATGCCTTGTGACATATAGTCTACAGATGCCATAGATAGCGTGCCAATGATCTTATGGTGGCTAGGCTTAAGAACTGACTGTCATGTATGCTGCAATAAAGCCCACACACAATGCTTATTTTTTTGTCTTAGTGTGACACTCTGCATGGAACCTTGGTTGCCATAATTCCAAATGCATCTTGCTAGTGTAATTCGCTTGGTAATTTGACAGTTCATGTGTTGAGTGTTAAGCCAGCTAGACCATGGCCAGCAATTATTATTGAAAACTAATTATGCACTTCATACATCCTAAGCATCAGGCACCCATCTAAATAGGTCGCCCCTTGAGGAAGGCTATCTTCTCGCTGTTCGTACATTCAAACAGCAAATTTGACTTTTTGAAATATGTCCCATGGCAACAATATCATCAATCTGTTTTTCTTGTGCCTAGTGATCACAACAACCGAGCCACTTACCAGTCATTCTGTCAAGAAAGTATGGGCTGAAAACCTTCTTGACGAAGTTGAGCGGGTACCTCTGAAGATAGACGCAGGCCACCAGAATTTCGACCAAGTGATCGGGACGAAACACATTGAACTTCTCGCGAAGCAGCCACTCGAGCGACCCAAAAAAGCCCATGGGGTTCTTGGGCGTCAGGTTCAGGTATCCAAACGCCCTCACCATGTTCACGGCAGTTGGCAGCGACATGCTTTTGTGGTTTGCCACAAAGAAATCGGAAGCGGAACTCAACACGGCATCGCTCCTCCACCGGAACTGGTGACAATATGCGGACAAGGCGTCAATGGTGTGCTCATCGCAACTCGAGCCCCTGATGCGGACATAGCGCTCGACCGCCCTGGAGATGCTTGTGTCGAGGTGCCTCAGGTCATTCAGGCAGCGCACGACCGAACCGAAGTCTTTTTCTGGGATGACGTGAAGGTTCAGGTTCACCCATTTCGTAAGACTTGAGAGCAGGCTCTGCGGAACGAGCTTGAGCCGTGTCAGGACGTTGAGTATGTAGGCGACGTCCTCGGAGTTCAAACTGAGAATCTTCTTGGTTGTGTTTCGAGCTACTGTCCGAAGCACGACGCTCTGTGAGCTTTTGAAGTACGGGAGCAGGCCATAGAGCTTAACGATGTCGTCCTTCTCCATGTCGACAGTCTGCGTAACAATGCTCTGCCAGAAGTGGTCGACGGTGTCGAGGTACTGCGTGCCACAGTTCACCAGCAACAGTGTGACCTCGAGGATTTCGGGCAGGCTGATAGTCCCATCGCAGATTCGGCTGAAGATGACTTCGATAAAAGTATCTACGTATAGTTTTCTCTCGGCTTCGTTGTGGCGGTGCCTGACGACTGTTCGAAGCCCGTCCAAGATAACTTCGGAGCTTCCTGAAGACGTTATAAGGTTGCACAATTCAGTGATCACGACGGAAGCTCCGTCCGCATCATTCTTCCGTCTTGATCGCGCGTGATTTTTGTTAGAATCCCGAAGTTCTAAAATTTTGTCCAGTGCTTTCACGCCGACAGCGGGAGTTATGTCCTTGGAATCACACTTGTGCAAGGTGGCGTACACGTCCTTAATCGACGTACAGTCTTTAAATAATTTACCGCTCGCCTCTATGGTTGCGTGCGTTTCTGTGGGCGGTGCGTCCGGTTTCGATGCATACTCTCTCGATAGTAGTGACTCGGCGGTAAGTTTCTTAATGAGGACAGGCAATTCCTCAATGCTCACCCCGTCTTGCAAGATCATGGTGGACGTGGTCACACCTCCGGTGTTGGTTGTCTTCTTGGAGAGGCAACGTAGGGTGGAGGTGAACTGTGGGATGGTTCGTTTTAAAATTACGCAGCGTTTGCATGCCGGCGAATACGAAAAGCTTGCAGGTGCCGTTGAAATACCGACGCGATGTAACGCGGCTCTTGCCCCCGATTCGCGGCGTAATAGATTACTTAAGCACTTGATTGAGTGTTTTGTACTCCCTGTAAGATACATGAGATGGCCCTGTATGCGTGATGCCACTTTTTTTTTCGCGCTTGTGATTTTGAGACAGAATTTTGTTGGCCGAATATAATTTCTACAAATTTCAAAGAGTAAAGCTATACGCACTCCGGAGTGCGCTTCGGAAGGAAATGGCTATACGCACTCCGCTTTTCTCGTATAAAAAGAGTGGACACAACGAGTTTCCTAAGCGGTGCCATGGCGTAGTGGTTAGGGTGTCCGCTTCATAGGCAAGTGGACGCGGGTTCGATCCGCGGTGGGCCTACTTTTTTTTTTTCTTTTTCTCAAACATTTTATTTTGTTGAGGCATTTGGCGATATTTACGACATTTCCTTTTTTGCAATGAACAGTAAAAAAAAAAAAAAATCGAATGTTGTCGAGAAACTTTGCAGAACTAAATGGTATCGGACTCCCTTTCCGGAGGTGCGATCGGGGACAGCGGGGTTTGGATTGCCGGCTGGACGCCGCGAAGCGGCGTGTACTGGTTACGCTTAGTAATTAGCAGCCGATACTGACGCCGCGAAGCGGCGTGAACGCAGGCGGGGGGCTGTGTTAACGAGCGCCCCAGTGATTCACGCGCCGTTCGAAAAGGGTGGCCCGAGCGGCATGATCTCTCGGAGGAGTGCGTATAGCCATTTCCGCGCGAAGCGCACTCCGGAGTGCGTATAGCTTTACTCAATTTCAAATGCGAGCTGCCATTTTAGTTCTGCACGGATGGATGAATGAAAGCTAATCAGAGCTCTGACGGCTCTGATGCTAATCAAAGCCGCTGTACTGTAACCTTTATAACGGGCGGTAGCTTGCGCCACCTAGCTTAAAAATAAAAAAGTATTATTAGCGGCCAATGTTGCCAAGGTTTAAACGGGGAAAATAACTGAAAACTCAAAAGTGCTGAAAGTAATTAGACATGAGGAAGATACATAGAAAGGGGGGACGGACAACGAAGACTTCCAACTAGCAACAACATTTATTGACCCGAAGTTTGCATTAGGGGTGTCGCGAACTTTTGTCGAACCAGATTTTTTGGTCGAACTTCCGGGGTTCGAGAACCTTCGACTTTTCACCAGATTCGACCGGTTCGACTGGGTTCGACTCAGGGGGCTAAAGGTGGGTGAGGAGGAGTGGCAAATCCCGTGCGCCGACATCCTGGGTCCCGAGTGAACGAACGCAAAAGAGAGCGACAGAACACGAGAGAAAGAAAGCAACGTTGCCATGGTAACGCGAAGAGTGAAAACTCTCAGCAATATAAACAGTAATAATTTAACGTTGTAAACTAAATTATTAGCTATTCTAACGCTTATAAAAAGCAATAAACTCATTACGCTGCATTAACTTCCCTTCTGTCGAAATCTCGGAAATCTGGTGGTTGCGCAGTTTCGTATTCCTCAACCGCGCCCAGCCGCGCCCCACCGGCGAAGCCGGGTATATGGTTTAGTTTAGCGTTAACGCGAGGCCGTACATCTGCGCGCTTTTCAAAAAGAAAGCTTCGAAAGGAACGTGAATATCTTTCTACCGGTAAGTTCGTGAATTGTTGAAGTTCACGAAACTGCTCTGATGATGTAACCGTGTTTGGGACCCAGAAGGTCTGCCTGCATGATCCGCCGCTTGCGGCAGCCAGAATGTATGGGAAAATGGCGGACCTTTTCCTCTAGAGTTAGTATGTATGATCTCTATGGTTCGACTTTATAGACAGTGTGGCCAGACCTTGATACAAGCATGTCTAGGTTTGGAGAATTTTTTTTTTTATGCAAGGGGTTATTTTATTTTGTGAAAAGCTGCAATTAAAAGAAACTAATTCTAATCACTGAAGAAGTTGATAACTTAATTTTTAGTACTGTATTGACTGAAATAGCCAATCAGCGCTGCACTTAATTCATCTCTTAGCCATTACCATCCAATCCGAAGCCAACTGGCCAGCCTGTCGCGCATGCGCACACGAGTCGAACCTCAATACAAGTATGGTGGCTAGAGACACCCTAATACAAGGTTCGTCGAACTTTCCACTAAAAGTTCGAAAAAGTCGAACCTGGTCGAACTCGAACCGCGACCGGTGTATATAGGTGAACGAGGGGAGGGTAAAAGACGCTACACTGGAAAGTGTACCCAAGTAGCCAATTATTTTAAGAACATCTTTGTGCATACTTAAGACTTTCAGACTTACGCTGATTTATTTTTATTAATTGGCAAACGACTCGAGGGAAGCTTAGCCGACAACGGCATAACAACGGTGCCGAGCCGGTCGGTCGAGTAATAAGTTGAGCAGCCGAGCCAGCCGAGCGGGCCTAAAGCCCCTCGATGTTTTTGCGTTTGTCTTGCAAGTAGCGTCAAATGCGCGAGTGCACGCCCATGTCTCGAGTGGCCCTTGGAAGCAAATGGCGGCGCAGCGCTGAAATAAGCGGGCCTTGGAAGCGAATGGCGGCGGAGCACCCGCTCATGGCACGTGTCTCGCGCGCTTCCACAACAATGGTTGGCGGTACTTGTAAAAAAACGCTTTTATCAAGGGGCTTTAAGGCTGCGGTCTCACGGCAGCCATCTTGAACAAGGCGTTAGTTCAACCAATAGATGGCGACACGTACCCGTGGGGTGGCCGAAACATTGGTTAACAGTGGGATGGCTCGAGCACCATCACGTTCCCCTCGTGGCCTTGCTCGCGCCGCTGCCAGCTGTGCTCAGCTAGCTCAAGTAGCCTGGCCCATCAAACGGATGTATCCGAGAATGTCAGGCTGGGTATAAATTGTTCTCTGATATAGGAAGATGCGGTTCGGCGGTTGTAACGGGCTTTCGCAATAAATCTTACCAAGAAGGAATCAAATGTTGATTGACGTGTCAATATTCTATCAATGAAAATTTCTTCTGCAGGAATGCACGCTCAGTAGACTCAATCTTCCAAGACACCGTGGAAGCGGACGTCTAGTGAACGGCTTCGCGATTTACGGTACTTACCTCACCATTTTAATGACGACTAAAATAACGTCACGATATATTGTGTTTCATGGGATTCGGGAGATGTTGTAAAGGTTGTTACATTACAGGGGGGGCGGGGGGGGGGGGGGGGGGGGGTTCCCAGAAAACCAACGCCGTTGCAATATGTTCGGAAGTACCGACACAGATAATGTTGTAAGTACAGCTTAGGAGGAATATGATGAAAACCATCAGAAGAAATAGGAAGGCGTTTATTTGCAATGATGACGCTATGAATGAATGGCGTTTAGCGACGGCAAGTTATGAGCGTTCGGGAATTTATAAATTCACGTGATTGCTAACTATGGACATGCGTTTTTGTCGGGAGATGGTGTTGCGGTGATGACCTGATATCGGACGACTCGTGGCAGACGAACAAGCAAGTTTCGTCTCAGCGAATGGTAAGTGTCCAGTGTCAAGCACAACACGTGGCTACCGACGTTGTCGACGTTTCGAACACTTACCGCTTTCGACAAAAGTCCTGGCACCTAGGCTAACTTTCTGGAAAGACTCGAAGTCTTCTTTGTGTCCAACGCCATCATGAACAGTAACTGAAAACGATCCACTATTCAATCGGTGGGTGGCGAAACGTATCCGCATCTGCAGAGTCATGGGCGATGCGTACTCCAAGTGGCTGGAAGTTTACACGATGCCTGCCACGACGTCCAAACATGTCATTGACGTTCTACGGTCTCTTTTACCTACTTATGCCCTACCGAAAATACTTTTCTCTGATAACGCGCCAAATCTTGCTTCAAACAAAATAAACAAGTTTTTGAAGAAAAAAACCGGCATCAGGCAGCACATTAGCGCACCATACCATCCTGCAACTAACGGGCATGCAGAACAGATGGTGTGCGAAACAAAAAAAGCCCTTTCGAAGCTTACGGAAGAGGCAGTTCAGTGAAGAATCGCCAGGTTGTTGTTCCAGCAGCACGCGACGGTCTCCTCTTACACGGTAAAAACACTCGCCGAAGAAATATTCGGTGGACGAAGAGCCACACCCCTCGATCTCATGATACTATGGCTTACAAACGAAGATCGAGAGATTCCCAGATCAGGAGTAATTGCAGTTTATTCGGTCGGACAACTCGTCTACGTAAGGACTTTCAGCGGAAGTCCTGTAAAACTTGAGTAGAAAAGGCTCTATGTTGGTTGACCAGAAGGTGTCATCTCTCTGTATACGTTGGATATCAACGTCCTTGAGTGTAAATATAACTAAATCACAAAACTCTCTTTGTGTATTGTGTAACTGCCCTTGCATTTGATAGTAGAAGCCATGGTGGGTGATTTGGACCTTTCACACCAGGCTCCTTTTTATTATTTTTCGCCTCATACTCCTTTGCGGTTTAAGTAGGCTTCAAGAATCTTTTGTAACGGGGACACTTTACGTCAATGAGGCCATTTGTTCCAAGTAATCAATCAGGGAATGCTGCTAGAAATCCGTCCCTCTTATTAACGAATAAGCCGCACTTCTGCACAGTGCAGTTTTTCTGTTCCACGTACAGTTGTAAAGTAGCATCCTCATTGATTCTACCATATTCTGTTGCGGGTGAAGAAAGTCTTTGGGCACACGATACTTGAAACAAGTCTGGCACTGTACGTTGTGGTTGAACACCCATTAATGTCGTCGTCCTTATAGAGCCTCATCATTTAATCATTACCTCGTCACCTCATATTGCTCTTCATCAACAGTAAGTACAATAGGCTACCGCCACATTACAATCCAAGAATTGAAAAATTAAGTCGTTCAGTCCTTCAACCAGTTTATAATTTATATAATGTTATTACGTTACATTACCTCGAGACGATCGACGTCCATTGTCGATCTTCAAATACTTATAACTGTATATAAATTAGACGCACAAGGGGGGGTTGGTTGCCGAGTGCATGGTCTAGCGCACACCAGCTCGGAGCAATGGGAGCGAAAGCTCGCGCTGCAGAAGCCACCCCGCCCCTGCCCGTTTCGATTTGGAAGAGCATCCTACCGGCGTGTGGTCGTGTATCACTACTGCGTGGTGCACGTTAAAGACACCAGGTTTGCGGTTGTACCGCACTGGCTAAATTGCTTATCTACAGCTGAGAGTCAGACGCCCACTGAGGCGGAGTAACTTCCGGCTGTATAAACATACACACAACAATTTGCAATTAGACGCATAATAACAAAGAGCACAGCGTGCCGCCTCTTTTCTTTGGATGCCTTTTTTTTTTTTTTAAACCAGCGCAAGCTCGCGCGTTCTCTCTTTTGAGACGGTTAGAACGGTCGCACTAGAGCCACTAAATAAGCTGCGCTTAGAGTATCGGCACTCCGTTCCCCGACATTGTTGTGGGCGCCGCCATTTTGGCTCGTATGCAGAACAGACGCAACGGCCGATCGTCATGATTCAAAAGTGCGACTTCCTCAGCATTAGATTCGGTGTTAGGAAGGTCATGTAATACTGCTTTGCTCTGTCGCGAACGGTTTAAACGTTTGTGGAGGGCGGAAAAGCATTTCCTGTGATTTCAGATAAAGCTTCAGATAACTGGCAACCATGATTTTAAGCCACAATATGGCCAAGTGTCGTTACTCTGAAGCGTAGCTTATTTAGTGGCACTAGGTCGCACATAAAACCCGCGTTTCTCCTACCTGGCCGCTTCCTCCTCTTGTGCAGAGCAGGCGCAACAGCCGATCGTCATGATTCAAAAGTGCGACATCCTCAGCATTAGATTCGGGGTTAGGAAGCTCATGTAATGTTGCTTCGCTTTGTCGCACACTGTTTAAAGTGGAAGACGGAAAAGCGCTTCTTGTGATTTCAGATAAAGCTTCAAATAACTGGCAACCATGATTTTAAGCCACAATATGGCCAAGTGTCGCTACTCTGACGTGTAGCTTATTTAATGACACTCATGCTCTTGTTCAAGAGGATTCTAATACCTGGAGGGGCCAAGACGTAAGCCCCGTGGATTCCACAAGCCACTACTTTTTGACACCTGCCTCTTCTTCATTGTTCCCGCTTGTGCCAGTAAATTAGCTACGGTTCAGAGTAACGACACTTGGCCATATTGTGGCTTAAAATCATGGCTGCCAGTTACCTGAAGCTTTATTTAAAATCACAGGAAACGCTTTTCCGTCCCCCACAAATGTTTAAACTACCCGCGACAGAGCATTGCAATATTGCATCAGCTTCCTAGCACCGCATCTAATGCTGAGGAAGTCGTGCTTTTAGATCATGACGATCGGCAGTTGCGTTTGCACTGAGCAGGACCCAAAATGGCGGCGCCCAAAACAATTTTGGGGAACGGAGTGCCGATACTTTAAAGCTCATTCAGTGACTCTAGGCATGAAGTGAACTCGGGTCAACGAGGTAGAGTGTGTATTATTTTCCTCTTCGTCCTCATTGTTTATTGATTTCAATCATATCGAATAATTAACACATTATATCACGCTACGCGTGTGTAATTATTTGTCTTAGATTTATTAACCTGACCCAGTACTTAAACCATTCATTTATCGATAGTAAATCTTCCAATATATTTTTTAAATGTGAAGGTAAAAAGACACGGCGATTGATGATGATACAGACGCCAACGCCGCCCTCGGAAATTTTTCGAACACTACAAATCAGCACTTTGTCTGCCATCCGCCAGGTAGCGCAACAAAACACCCAAACAGTTTTTAATTGTTTTTAAAATTAGCTAAGCTCTACATTTATTATAAAACCAAAGCAAGATCATTCTGAAAAGTTAATACATCGCAATGTATGTCTATTCCAAACAATCAATGTTATTAGATGCCAATAAATCTGTTTGATGTCCAAAAAGATATGCGTCAAAAACAGGTAAGTTTGAAAGCTCCTGGAGCGTTATGACTTTGAAAATGAAAAAAAGTCATCGTCCACCTCTTGGGCAACCATTGTAGCTCTAAATGTTATAAAATATTTTATCGTAGTTTAAATATTTCCTCAGCGGCATTTGAAGTACGATGACTCAAAGCACAAAAAAGTGCTACGTTTGATATAAAATATCTAAACAAAAGAATTTTACACAACATTAAATTTTTTTCTGCATATTACCAATTATAAGCACTACATCTGTAGCTAATTTCATTGCCCTAGCGCTTGTCAATAAAAACATATTTGTGCTGAAAAATGTCAATTTTAGGGCAATATTTGGAGGGATGAAAAAAACAAAGTAGTGCAAATACCAAAAAAGTGTATCGTTACATTTTGCTCCGACTTCATCTTAACAAAACTGCTATATTGGAACCGTGCTATCTTTAATGGATCGTTCATAAAACATGAACTAGCGGAGCAAGTGAGGGTCCGCGCCATCATATTCGCAACGCTACAAACGCGCATGAACAGTAAAATCCAACACATACATAATATCAAATGAAAGAGGATTGCATTACCTTTCGAATAACATCAATCCCACAAAACAGTATTTATAAGGAGATGAGTAATGACCTGCCAAAAAGTACCTAAACTGCCACATTCAGTGGGACCGTGGCCTTAAGCGGGCCGAGCCGCCGACGCCGCCGAGCGGCCGAGCTGTGCTGCCGAGACAACAGTACCCATTTTACGTTTAGGCGATCACACTCCTTGATCTTCTCGACTTCTTATTCAGCAAACAGGTACTCTTCTTAGTTGTTGCAAATCATGCATCTTGTAGATTATATCATCCTATAATCACCCTTACTTACGCGGCTCCACATCCAGTAATTTAAACTGGGTGTTTGCAGGGGTGGTGCACGAAAGCACCCGATGCCAAAAACTCCGTGTCAAATGCCCCGCGGCAAACGCCCCGCCCTCTTTGCCCCGTTTTCAAAAGCCCCAGCGCGAATTCCTCATGTAAGGTGGCCGGTCCCTCAATGTGACGGCGGAGTGTTCTAATTTTAACTAGACTAAGAGACAGCAGGTGTGCAGGCGACCTTGTGTAACGTAATCATGCCGTGCCCGTGACTCAAGTGAGGAATAACGATAAAACTGCCCGTTCCTCAGGCTTGCGCTAAACAGATCCGCCTTTTGCGACATTAGAAGTGAAAACAAACGGAACATATAAGCCACATGGCGAAACATTTGAAGTGACGGCTTTACTCTTATCAATCAGCATTAAACCAAAGCTTTCGTCGACTCTGAAGCAGGCGCGGATTCGCAGATCCGACGAAGTGGGTTCTGTTAAAGCTAATAACCCGCAGCTCATGGCGCCATACTTGTCACAGCACCAAACACCAGTTCCATTCTTACGTCGTTCTAAAAAAAATATTTGCATCAATCTAGGTAGATAGTCTAAATCTGCGTGTGAGCTAAGTGCATTGTTTGTGATACAGATGCATGACACTGGCCACTTGTAGGTCTCAAGTTTTTCAACAGTTCAAGTTAACCTTATACATAGTTTGCAGGTGTCGTCATTGCTTGGTACAGACGGTTATTTCTACTTACTGGTTTTTTAGAACTACAACTCCTGCGGTGTGCAAGTAAATACGGCGAACCAAACGCTCGTGGCACATAAGGGCCCCTATCATTTCGTGGAATTACGTTCCATGGACAACTTTTGATGGACGCACGTTTCATGGTCATACGTCTCATCGACACGATCGTTTCATCGACACTCGTTACGCGAATTTCACACTGTAGGGACATTTTACCATGCATGTATCACTAAAGTGCTTATTAACCCCCCAACGCGCACGCGCGTGCGCCTGCATTCATGCTGTTTTGCGGCGAGTCTACGGTGTTTCATTACAAAAATGTTAACCCGCCTGACTGACCCGTACACGCCGCTTCGCAGTGACAGTCTCATGCTGGTAATCACCGAAAAAATCTCATTTGAGCTGTCAATGAAATGATCTGTCGATGAAACAATCTGTCAATTGTTTCATCGACAAATCAATGTTGACTTTACTCGAGCTTACTGGCACTAGGGGTACAAATGGATACTCGCACGCAATGCCACTGGCCAAGAAACTCCTTTGTTGCGGCGTAATTTAAAGGACAAAAGCGAGCATTTTCATTCAATCTTTCCTTCGCGAAACTTCATGACGTAATTGGGGAATCGCAGTATCCTCCAGTGACAAAATTTGAATGCGGCTCATAGATTGGACGTGAGCATTGCGTGGGCACTTGGGCTCGTGATAATCTATATCTCGAGAAGCATCATGACAATGTCTGGAACTCTGCGCGTGTCCTGTGCCTTGCCAACCCCAGCGCGTGGCTATGATCAACATTGGCGGCATATTATCGGCTCTAGATCACGTAGCCGCTTGTTCTGGCTGCGAGTTGAAAGGGTGAAGGCTGCTAGTTTTCCTTTAATTTTTTTTTTTGCGGCTTTGATTGCATCTGGTGAAAAACGAAGGGGTGTTTCACAGGTCAGTAACGTCGGTGATCCGTTCCTAGCGGTATTTGCGCAAAGTGCAAAAATTGTTGCATCGCCCCCTTAAATGAGCTTTTGTAGGCCCTCAACAAATTAGGTTAAGACATGGAACAATGATGGTTGAAGTGGACGAGGGTGGGACGGGGACAATAAGGACGGGGCTTTTGGCACGCGGGGAATACGCGATGGGGTAATTGAACGAGGGGTCTTTGAAAAGTGGGGCACGTGGGGCTAATGAAGCGAGGCTTTTGCGACAGGGATTCTGCATGCGGGGCAATCGTGCTACACCCATTAAAATCTTGTGGGTGACATTCATTGAAACAGTGGTCTCAAACTCGTTCAAATGTGGGGGCCAGAAAGCCTACACTGGAAGGGTCGATGGCCTTTCCGGTGTAGGCTAGGAAAGGTCGAGGGGGGAGTGTTAAAAAGATTTCAAAGAGACCTCATCCTCTGCTTTTTGTAAACTCAGTTTTCTTTGTTTCATCTTTAGATTTGGTTTGTTTATATGACTACTTTGGTCCCTGACCTGATGTGATAACAAGAATTAAAAAACAACTCCCCGTCAACCTGCTGGCTCTTATAATAGAACAAGAGAGCAAGTACACTGTTGTTCCCATTGCTCAATTCACTCAGGAATTAAACAAGTTCAACATGTTTCTAAAAAAAACAGCTAACTTGACAGTTCTTGCTTTCCTGACGATTTTTATTACAACAGTCTGAACAAATACTTGTCTTTTAATGGTAATATGTTTTGTTCTTTTAAGGCAAGAGTCTCGAGTTTGTAGCTTTTCTCATTGGTGGTTGCTCCTGCTGATCGAGAGTTTGCGAAGCCGAGATGCATCCTTTAACAAATAGCTCACACTTGCAGCCCAGTAGCGGAATGGTTGTACATGACAAAAAGCTGGAAAGATAAACATAAAGCTAACAAAGGGAAAATGAACATAGATCATGGGCGTACCAACCGGGGGGGGGGGGGGGGGGGGGACAAGGGTTGTGCTTGCCCCCCCAGTTCTCAGAGTGGGGGGGGGGGGGGGGGGGCAAGGCATGGGTTTCGCCCTCCCTGAAACAGCCGCCACTGGGTAGGGCGAACACTATCCGGCGGCACCCAAGAGGTACTAAGGGTACCGCCTCCCGGCCCTGGGGGGGGGGGGGGGGGTCTGGTTTGCCCCCCCCCCCCCCCCCCTCAAAAACAAGTTGGTACGCCATTGACACAGATAACTATAAACTATGTGAATATGTTAAAAAAAGTAGAGCTACGTTTGGAGTGTACATGAATCGGCGAGATGCAATCACTATAGCGTATACCATTTCTAGTGCTTGAGACATGGGAACCGGGACTCAAAGCCTGCGGACTGCATCTCAACTAGTCGCGAGTTGCATCTTTGAGGCCCCTGCACTAAAAGCTGAATCCTTAGGTGATGGTTTTGAACTAAACTTCAGAAGGCCCTATTCATGCCGTGACTTTGTAACTGCCCGCTTCATCGTCGATTTTCTTTTTTTTCCTTGCTTTAATTTTAAAGGTTGGTCAACACGATTCAACGATTAATCTGATTACATGTGTATTAGTTTGTACGTCACCTGAAGCCTAAAATTCAAGCACTGGCATTCCAATCATTTTTAAAGAGGGTCACAGTAAAACCAAAATGATGGACCTTTTCTGGAGATATAGTTGGGCGCATGTGCCAACTCTGCGAAAGGGGAGGAAAGAGAAAGACGCCATTTTTGGGTGCTCTCTCGTCCATTCAGTCGTTCAGACAGTACTGATTCGGCTTGACTCTCTGCTATTCTCACAGCTTGGCTTCATAGTCATGCCTCACCACTGCACAGCTGTAGGTTGCACAAATAGCAGCAGAAATGGTTCAAATGCACAATATTATAGAGTTCCAGCAGCCTTTTGCGGGTGGTGGACAAAAGCACCCAATGTCAAACACCCCGCCCTTTTTGCCCCTCTTTCAAAAGCCCCTGGTTCAGTAGCCTTTGACGCGAATCCTTCGTGTCAGGTGGCCGGGTCCGCAACATAATGGCAGGGCATCTCCTTTTGACTAAAAGACAGTAAGTGTGCACTCGAGTTTGTGTAATGTCATGCTGTACCCAGTATTCAAGTAAAAAATAAGTGGGTAAAGCTTTCCGTTCTTCAGGCGTGTGCCATACGCATTCACGTCTTGCAAAATTAAAAGTAAAAAAAAAATGAAGATCAGTCATCAGCAAAACATTTAAAGTGTGCGAAATGGATTCACGTCCTACCGCAACAGAACCCAGGCGGAACGCCTTGGCCAGGGTGTCGAACCGAAATGTTTTTCGTTCCGGTTCAACTCCGGAGTGAAAAAATAAAGGTTCAAACTGGTTTGAATTGGTTCATACTCATAATACAAAAACAGTTGACGTCAGCAAAAGATAAACTTTACGTATATTATAAAAGTGTTACATATAGAAAACCAAGGCTCACATCACTTTGTGGAACTAACGAGCTAGTGCCGGGGCACCTTGGGACATGGGTTAAAACGCAGTTCAATGTCGGGCAGCTGACTGAAGAAGCAGGACGTCGTCACGCATATCCGGGGAAAGATGACACCTCTGAGACAATAGAATGCACGTCAGTGCAAAAAAGGCTCATGCACGCTGATCTGGGTCGCAGGCACTCCCAGGGCTACTTGCGCCAACGGGTAGCGTTCTGGGTGGCGTTCCCTTCTGGTCCTCCCAAAACTGTAACCCGTTAGCCTCCCTTGAAAGCCGTGGCTCCTTGTCTATGCTCACGGTCAGCTTTCTGTGGCAGTCCTAAAAGAGGAGGAAAGCGCGTGTACAGTGGTTGGTGCACTTTCTCCCCTAGCATTGACTGCATTGTCACAGAAAGCTGACCGCAAATGTAGCAATGCTCAGAAGAGGTGTGCGCCTTGATCTTTGTGTTTCTGACGAGTAAACGTTTTGGGTCTTGCTGTTTCTGCTACAAGAGATCGAAGCTGTTTTGCTATTTTCTGTAGCTGTAACTGTTGATTGAATCCCCCCTCCCCTTTCACGGTGCTAGACTTTAATTTCAGTCAGATTATTAAATCCGTAAAGTTAATTTGAAAGCAGATTTGATGTGCCACAGCATGGCAACTAGTGCAGGTTCTAAAATATCCATCGCCCTTTGTATCACTTTCTTAACCGATCAGTTGTACAATGAAATCAAGGTGTTTAAAGTAAATTACACACAACTCTACAAAATTGAAGACAAGAAACGCCAAACATAGCTTAGGCTAAACGCCAATAAAAAAAAAAAGAACGAGGACAAAGAGAGGCTTAAACAACACTAGGGGTGTTGTCTATTCCTCTCTTTGTCCTCTTTGTTTGCGTTTAATCCGAGATGAAAAACCAACTAGCCCGCAACTCACCTTTTGCCACCAAACAGGCTCATTAATTGGTCACTTTTGCTGACGTACGAATTGGATATGTTCAAATGTTAAATGTTCTTTGATGAGCCATTTCCAGTTCCCAAGAAAAAGGTGGGACGAATGTGGGCATGTGTTAAATAAATACATAAGACCAGAAATTCCGGAGAATTTACAGTTACTGTGCTCATTTCGCTTGACTTCTCGAGACAAACTTTATAAATTATGAAGACGACCGTTATGGGAAAACCTGATAATGGAACGTTACAGAGCTTTCCGCTACCTATTTTTTTTTTCGCTTTTTGACTTTCCACATGAACAAAACACCACAAAAATAATTGATCAGGTTTGTCCAGGAACGAAAAAAATAATTATTTCGGTCCTGCTCAACTCTGATTTGCGCAAAATTGTTTTATTTTCCATTTTTTTTGTTTGCTTTTTAGGTTACTGTGTTTTTCGCCACACACTTTTCATGCAACCTGACTTCACGTATAAACCGAAAACCGCATGGAAAACATATTGGTTCCGCTCCGGAGCAAGAAAAATTATTTCGTTCCCGGTCAACTCCAGTTCGCGCAAAAATTAAGTTTTTTCTCAGTTTTCGATTTACGGGTCGGGTTTGGTTCAATACCCTGGCCTTGGCAGCCGACCATGATCTCCCCTGTCATTTATTCATCGTTGTAACCTTGAAATAGTAAAATTCTTAATGTGTCTCGTGTGTGTTATACTTGCAGCTGTTTGGTTAGCTTGATATGTGCATGGTGGCTGTGCTTTCTTGGTTCTTAATTGCTGTAATTGATCTTCGAATTTGTTCTTAGGCTCCTCAAGTAGTCCTGTTGCTCCTCCATGATCTTGCAAGCCATTGTGGGAGCCTGACTGCGGCCAGTAATTTCTATGGAGCCAGTTCACTCTTTAAGTCACGGTGAGTTCTTTTTTTCAACTTGTTTTATATACTACAAAGGACAGTGACAATGTCTAGAATACAGGCGGCCATGGTCTAGAGCTGCACTTCTTGTACAGCTGTCTGCAAACTCCTAAGAGTTTGTGCTGACTCTGAGATCTTCTACGAGGAACGCGTTATCAGTTTAACCCAGAGCCTGCTGTTCAAAATTGCAGACGTGTTGAGTTGCAAAGGGGTTTTGATTTCGCTCTAAATCTATCTTATTTTTTGACCATACCCATAGAGTGCCGATCATCCAGGATCGATGGGCGCGGAAGCCCATTTTAGAGCTCCCACAGAGCTCCTACGCTCACAGCATAGTCTCCAGGGGAATGCAGCTGTAGCTTCCACCGTGGCAGGGTGAAACTAGCAACATGAGGTGCATTGCGGAAGAAAGGAGGAATGGATGTACGGCATCAGACAGAAATCCGCTCGATGCTCCCGAGGGATGGCACTACACATCGGTGCCGTGCTCAATTGCAACCCCCTCCCACCTCTCTTTCTGTCCCCGTAATTATTTTTAATGACGTTATTGTTTTGATATTACTCGGGTTGTTCATGTATCATCTTTCTAACCATCTAACTGAGCCCAAACTATCTTTCACTCAACAGTTGTTTTCGAAAAACAAACAATCTAGTTTACGACATAATGTGAAAGTGAGTAGAAATAAACTAGGTTCATAGTGAGTTGAGGCGATTGGCATTTTTATTTGTAGCCACAGCAAAAGGGACAGATATATTGTGAGACAGGTGAAAGGACTAGCTGATTTAACAATTTTTCGGCATTTTTAGGAAGCTCATTCCGCAGTCCTTCGTAAGAACCATAAGCTTGTAAATCTTCACGATGCACTTCTTCGCAGGCAGATATTCGACATCCAATGAGCGAACCTAATTTGCATTCTTTCACTGTGGAAAGACATGCATAAACCCTTTTTTAATATTATTGTCCACTTGCTACTCCTCGTATTTACAAGGCCTGTGACGGCAGGTTTGTTGTTAAAGGCCGACCTACAGAATCGTCTTCTACCAGGAAGAAAACCGATTTCCAGTTTCCTTCTCTCTATTCCCTCTCTTCTCTCCTCCTCTTTCCACAAGAGTAAGTCTCTGAGCTACTCTCCACAGAACATTCAAATCTGAAGGAGGAATTGAGGGAGAGTTTTCTCCTTTTTTGCTGCTTGTTGGCCTTTGACTTTATTCAAACACCATTGATATTTTTTTACAAAAATTTGCCAGTTGAATTGGAACTCCCTGCACTTGGAAAATTTATCCTGAATGTTCCAGAATATATCGGAAAAGACTCCTGTCGTCAAATAGAAATCCAGCCTGCCAGTCTTGCGTGGTTCTGGCATTGCAAAGTGATGAATGAAAATTGCCGATCTGTACAAAAATACATTTTCCCTTGTTGTCAAAAGCTTGACATTTCTAACTGCTTGCCTGCAAGATTCGGTTTGCACACCACGCATCAGAACGCTTTGCTTTGTGCATGCCAAGAGGAAAGGGAGCAAAGCGGTTCTCAGTTCCATGAGCGTCGGCGGGATTTTCTCTTGTTAAAGGCAAAAATTTCACACCTGATGTTTATTTTTTAAAGGGATACTACAACGAAATTTCGGCGTTCATTTTTTGGTTGATATGTGTTCAAAGGAGCAGCATCACATCGAACATACCAATATCTTGGTAAAAAAGTCACGAAAAGGAATTTTAAAACGAATTAAACAATTAGCAAAGAGCACCTGGTGGATGTCGCTAACGCCTCGCTTGTAATGCCCGTCTAGGAACCTTGACAGCTAGTGACGGAGGTTGTCTCGCCTCCGGCCACGACGAGAGAAGAGGGGCAGGAGGAACTCCCCTCTTCGCGAGAATGCCTTTTGTGTGTCGCAGAAGTCGCTATTGTCCCCCTACAAGATTACTGAAGATTAACCCGTCACTCAAAATTTGTACAAAAGCAGCCGCTTCGGTGGCTGGAACGACTAGGCCATCCTCTCGACGTCAGCCTCGCCTTAGCTTTGCTCGTCCTGAGACGACCTACGTCACGATTGTGTTTGATGTCACGTGGTCTCCGCTGGGCCTTCTCCGGGCGCTTGCCCTGAGTGGGTGGTTTATAACGAAAAATACAGCCACCAGGCTCAAAATACAAACGTGCGATTGTCATTTACGGATATTGTGGATCATATTCAACCTATTTCTGAACACGACGGGAATATTTCAAATTTCGTTGAAGTATCCCTTTAAAGGGGGGGAGGGGGGGAGGGTTGCAGGGTGAAAAATATATTTTGCAATCTGCAGAAATATATAATGGCCAAAAATGAGCAAGGAGGTTGTATATTCATGCAATCACAACCAACACATTCCTGCAACATTTTTACAACATGCTTATAGATTTTCAAACAAATGTTAGCACTATTAGAACTAACCATGCTAATCTAATCAACTAATCATGCTAATCTAATCACTAATGTAAAAAGGTCCTCTGCAAGTATTATGACAACTCTTGATTCAATTGTTAGTTACTGTTCTTATCTATTCACTGAGTGAAATGAATAATCATTACTCTGGATTGAATGGCTAAAGATAGCATAGTTTTTTTTACGTTTTGAGCAGTTTGTCGCCATGTTTCGGATCTCGTGCGTAATGTCTTCCTTGATGTGACTGTTGCCGACAGGGATCGGGCTCTCACGTCCCAAAATAACTTTGATCTGACCTCAGATCTTAAAGTCTTTGAAATATACGGGAACTCGGCAGGTCCTGGATGGGTGCAGCTGTATACCATCAGGGAGTTCTGGCCCTCTACTTGGTACTTCAGGACTGATGTGGGTACCTGGCTTGAAGTCCTCAAAGTCATAGTTGGGATAGCGGCCTTCAATACTCTCGGCTGCACCTTCTGCATCGGGTCTCCGTTCTTCAGAGTTCTCAGTCTCACCTTCTGATTTGGGATTCTGTTCTTCTGAGATTTCAGCATCACCTTCCAAGTGGGATACTGTCGAAGTTGCCGGCCGATGATAGAATCGCCTAGCTTAGGGATGCTGATGTCTTGCGTAACCAGGGTTCGTACAGCTCCTTGAAGTCCTTGAATACCTGTGATTTTATTAGGAGCCTTTTAAGGGCCCTTAAATACCCTTGAGAGTTGAAACGATCCTTCTATTCTTTAAAAATCCTCCAACAAATGCGTAAATGGGGCTGCGTCGTCTGGCAACATGGCATGTCGTTTGTTCTAAAGGATAAAGCCAATTCAGTCCAAGGCGTCCCGTGTCATCGCCATTTTCTCTTTGTGTTGAGTGTGTTGAGGATCGTGTTGGTGAACGTGAGACACTTTCAATCGAGATTGAAATCCGAAATGCCGGGTAAAAAGTGTAAGTTCCAGCCTTCATGGCTGGAACAGAATGACCTTCGCTAGTGGGTTAGACCAGATACGAATGACTCCTTTCGAGCGAAGTGCGCAATCTGTCGAAAGTCGATTGATGTCACCACAATTGGTGAAAGCGTTTAGAAGAGTCATTTGAAAAGCGCAAAGCATCGATCTGGAGCCGAGTCAGCTGCTTCCAGCTCATCTATCACCTCCTGTCTATCAGCATCAGACTTGGCGTCGGATACGCCTAGGCACCAGCGTGCAGATGCAAGTACCTCACGGGCCGCGGCATTCATTTCATTTCCTTTATTAAACTCTTAAAGGCCCAATGGGCATTACATAAGGGGGGCAAGGAATATAAAATCGAAAATACAAAACACTGCACAAAGCGAAAAAAAACCATCAATTATACATTTTTACATGCTATGAAAAATCAAAGAGAAAATCCTCACAGAAAAAAATGAGGTTAAAAATCACCAAAATATTGTCTATGTAAGCACTTGCTAAAAGAATAAAAGAATAATAAAATAATAAAATAAAAGAATTAAAGTAAAAGTAGCCAACTGTGAAAACAATGTGCAAATCGCCTCTCGGAACAGGCCGGTGTCACTAATGTCGGCTATGGTGTTGGGAAGGTTGTTCCAATCGCGGATGCCTCGCGGGACAGCGGAGTTAATAAACGCATTAGTTTTACCAGTTAGGCGCTTGGAACTTTTGCTGTTAGTGGTTCGACGGGAAGATCTTTGGGAAACTTTTGCTGTTAATGGTTCGATGGGAAATGACATTGAAGCTTCTTGAAAAAAAAATTGTGGTGGCTTAGCTCTGCTATGCCAGGATATACGTAGCATGAGCTTATGCGCACAAAATGAGAGGCACTATGAAGCGGCTCCGGTGCAGCGTCAGACTTGACTGCTGCGCAACGGAGGCGCACAGCTGGGCACGCGGCGGCGCCAGTGCGTCTGCTGCGGCTATGACGTCTTTCCCCTGGAATGTGCAGACCGGCGAGGTGCGCACGGTGGCGGATTTAACGCGCGGCGGCGGCGGCTTTGGCGCGCGGCGGCGTCACCAGCTGTGCGCCGTGTGACGTCACTGCTCCTTGCGCATGTGCAGACCGGCGAGGCGCGCGCAGTAGCGGCATCTCGGGCGCGCCAGCTGTGCTCCGTGTGACGTCACTGCTCCTCGCGCTTGCGCAGCACGGCTCTTTGAGGGCCACTTGAAAGTGCTCAATCTCGGCCAGTGTAGCTAACGCTACAAAAGTCCTCTCACATACCCAATTGTCCGAGGGCTGTCCTGCTTTGATCCCAGGGAAATGTCGAAAAGAGAAAAATGCCCCGGGAAGCTCAAAGTTGTAAAGTTGTTTTGAATTGCCTCATCGATGCAAACCTTCCTTCTGAGCACAAGAAAGATCTGGTTTGTGGGCAGTATGTTAATTCCTGTTCCACCACCAAAGGAACCCAACGCGACGTTATTTGCGGTCCGAGTCCTTGCATGCCACGTGAACTTACCACCGCGCGTCGAATGTTTTTGTACCCGTCAAGATCATTGAAGCTTTCTGAGGCGAAGTTCTGCTCGAGGGATGCCTCCAGTTGCTTCCAGAAAGAGGAATCGGTGTCATATGAGGAGTAACAGAACTTGTAGA